AGTACAATAAGTGTGGCCTAAACTAGGACGACAACTCAACCAACTCAGACCTAGACAAAAGCAGGAAATTCATATATAAACCAGGACTTAATCAAAAATCCAAATCCAAAGACTAAACTTGATTAATTTATAAATATTTCTGAATCAAAACAAAAGCTAAGTCCAAACAGTGCCAAAAAAGGGCCTCAAAAAGCAATTCAATGGATGAGCCAAGTCAGGCCAGGACAAAGATTGGTCTAAACCCAGACAAGGCAATGAGGCAGGACTAATATGATAATTTAACGGAGACTACATTCATTCCGAGACCAAACTAAGTAATCTAAGGTTAACAATGTTGGACTACTAATCTAGAAATACCCAGGTTCTAACCCAGACAACATGCAGAGACAACTCCATACAAGTCAATATGCAAATCACCTAAAAGTGTGCATTTTTATTGTTGCATGTTTGTGTGCATTCAGTAACGGGACTGAACATTCAATTCGCAAATGAGACAATTTTGACCTTGCGGTGCAGGTCTTGGGATGGTGGCCACAACCCAGGGAGCTTGTCACAAGGGAGGAGGAAAGGAGAGGAATGGAGAGATGCATTGAACCGAGCGCGCATGCAGGGAGGAAGAGAAGACTGGGATGAGTGGGGGTGGGGTGTCCTGAGAGAACTTCCAAGTCAGTTTTTTTTTAAAGACACTTGCATATGCCCCCAAATCACATCACATCATTTACGCACAGTGAGAATATGGGAACGCATACCTTGGAGATCAAATATCCAGTCAAAACAGCATTCCCTGGGCGCGTGTGGGCATTTTATAGGAGTTTCTTGTTTATTTTTTACTTAAAATCTCCAAATGCCAAAGCCAGGTGTTCACGAGTTGCCTATGAAGCAGGTTCCTTTTTATAGCGTGCGTCGGCCTGCTTCCAAACACCACGCATCTATGTCCTTCAAGAAATCCATCGCTACAAGACTTGCGATGTATTGGTTTATTTAGGCGGGCTCGAATCCGATTCCGTTAAGCTTCTTCTGGGAATAAACATCCCCAGAACAACCGTCTTGAGTTGCGAATATCCCGGTGGAATCAGAAAACGCATAGATGCTCGGATAATGCCTGTGTCCTGGGTGTGTGTTGTTGGAGATGGAGGAGAAAGAAAGAATAAGGCAGGTTGCAGCTGTCGGGACTCGCTTTTGCTCTCCTCTGCCAAGCGAAGCAATGCGTATCCGCTGCGTTCGAGCCCAATACGCGAGAGAAAACGCCTTTTGTAGCGACAGCAGCTCGATTTTTATCTCCAATTTAAGATGGATAGATAGCGCGGTCACTCTCTGCACTCCTCTATCCGCCGCGTCCAACCCTGCCAGATGTTCTTACCGCGATCACTCGGGTTTTTCCTCTGTGCTCACTGCGAGTTAATCCCAGCTTGAGTGAAAGGTTGCTGACATAATATCTCCCCGCTCCGCGCTGCCCTGGGCTCGGACAACTGTCAGGCAGCGAGTCGGCTCCATTTCTGACCAGAGGTGTCGTGCGCGGAATGGTAATGACGTGCGCGCACAGAGAACGCGTTTGTGCGCACAGATGCAGTGGATGTGTGTGTGTGCAGCCTATAGCCATCTCTCACACGGGCGAAGAGAAGAGAGGCAAGGCTTCATCATTTATTCATGTGCGCTGAACTCTGGACTACATGGCACGGAATGCAGCAAGGGCTAGACCAGTCCGGGGGCAGGCATAAGTTCATTACGTTTGGCTGTTTGTTATTAAAAGAGCTTAGTCATAGTTTCATGTCTAAGTCTTTAGCTTTAGGTTCTATAACAACCTTATTTACTATTTGGATTAAGTTTGTAATCAGATATAAGGATTGTGATTTGGTTTAGTTTAAAGCCAAGCCAGGTCAGTGACAGATCAGACTATTCAAGACATATTGTCATCCCTGCTTATTCAGACACATTTAGCTAAGCTGTGCAGTACATGGTTAGCCTGGGATGTGGGACCTCTACAGCTTTTCAGGTCTTTTCAACGTTCACTCTTTGGGCCAAATCAGGCCCCCCAAATCTTAACTGGCTCACAGTTAATATAAAATGTATTCCTATTGTTAAGGTATACTTGAAATTAGTACTCTGCATTTGACCCATTGAGTCAGGAGGAGTGGTCGCCACAGGGACCTATCTCCAGAGGTTGATACATTGCTTGGTCAGAACTACTTTAGCTGGAAGATTATTTACCTACAAATAATGTTTTGGGTCGTGGGGGGAACCAGCCTGCCCAGAGAATACCTTCCCAGATACAGGGAGAAACATGAAAACATACAGAAAGGCTTTTAGTCCTAGTTTAGTATTGGTTTGGTCATTTTCATATATGAGAAGTTGTTATAAAATGGTATCTAAATGAGGTTGGTGTATTTGGTCTGACCTCAAACTCTGTAGTAGAAGTGCAATTCTCTGACCCAGAGAATGTGGCCATCAAAATGATTCAGCACTTGGGAAAACAGAATCCCTGGTTTAAAATACAAAACTGTTCCATGTCTTCAGGCAGAAAACTTCACCCACATTTCTTTTATGAATCCTTGAGAGAATGTGGTGGTTGGAGGGTTCAATCATGCCACCCATGCCCAATCTGTCCCATGTCAGCTGTGGCTACAATGATAGTTTAGTAGTAGTAGGCAGCGATAGTAGTATTTGTATATATATATATATATATATATATATATATATATATATACGCATACTTTACAGTTAAAGATTACTATATGCATTCAAGCAAGTCAAGTAGAAATCATTATCATTATTATATAGGCGACTGTTCAGGTTCCATGGTCACATTCACAAGAAACATACACTTCACCTGGGATTTATTAAGCCTTACAATAACCACATAGAAAGCTAAGAAAAAACCTTCACGGCCTGAGTTTCATGTTATATGACATTTAGTGTGGCCTCAGTATATCCATCTATCAACAGGCGTTTTCATACTGCAGTCCAATGTCGAAACGGTCGGTGTGTTCTTTGGACCAGTATCAGTTTTTCAACACAGGGAAGACAGGAACATGTCAAAATAAAATAAATGTAAAATAAAATAAAAACAAAAGTCAAAGCACAATGCAACCAGTATCATTTTGGTGGACTGAAGGCTTTTCATCCACATAACCATTTTCAATCTAATCTACATAATCTATCTATTCGTCTGTCTATCTCCCCATTGAAATTCCCTTGAACAAAATTACAAAACATAACAGTATTCCATATCATGCACCTTCCAATTTGTTCTTTTGCGCTTCATTCGTTCTTCTTGGATTCATTCATTGTCGGCCGAGAACTAAACCAGAGTAGAGTGGATTGACCTACGGTATTAGCTGTCCCCGGGCCGTCTCAAAGCTCTGTTCCTGGCCATTGTGGATATCGAAGCAGATCAATACCTCTATCCAGTTACTTTTACTGGAAATCAATACTGGTTCGGGTCGAGTGGGAAGAGCACTCGCTGCAACGAAAATGATTTAAACAAGTTAAAATGGCTGCTTTATAGGCAATAACAAGTCTGTAAGTAGTCATGATAGGACATCTAGGGGAATTTTGGTTTCAATTCTTCATACAGTAGTTGAAAAATTCTGTGCAGAGTGTAACTTCATGAACAGAGCCTATTTCAACCCAAACTGAACAAAAATGGCAGCTTCACTTCCATCAGTCTGCTCTTAGGCAGCTTGAATTTGGCCTACAGTAAAACTTGAATGACAGTCCAAAAAATGACAGTCCAAAAAAATGATATGCAAAGGTCTTGGAAGTCGGAAAGAAATGTTTTACAGAGTTGAAATTAGCGCAGATTAGTGCATTTGAAGGGACTCAATATTACTGTTAACTGGAGCTGCAGAGTGGGCAGCACTTCTGGGTCCCAGAATTAAAATTCCCCATTTAGTTAGAAGGTACTTTTTTTTTTCTAACATAAAAACAATAAACAGGATACAAATACTAAAAACAATTTGGTAAAGGGACAATGCAGCCCCTTAATTATTGAATCCTTCTTACTCGTACAGCACTAAACACACACACTCTGACCCCACACCTCTCCCCATCACTCACTCTGATCTGAGAGCCTCACTCTCTCTTGTCCATGAACTCACAAACACAAAAATTGCAAGATTTAAAAGTAAGAGTAATTCCACGCACTGAGATACACATTGATTTTAAAGTAGTACTAAATTTAGGCACAGATACAGTATGTTTCTGCTTCTTCTTTGTCTATAATAATTGGGATCATCTCTGTCATGGAATATTATGTTTTTTTTTGTTCTATATTTGTTCTTGAATATCAGAGGAAATGCACAGCGTCCTGCCCCTACATCCTAAAGTCAGTGAGTGCAGAGCCGGAGCATTCTGGAGGTGGGAGGTGTGAATATCACATCCATCATGTGACCCGACACAGAGTGTGCAGCCTCCGTCAGCTGACAGGTGGTCCACAGTGACTCTCGCACTCTCCGGCTTATTGTTCTGCCATTTACTGTGGGTCCAACTCATACCAACACCTCCTCCATGACACAAGCTGCTGATCGCACTGACAAACAGGAATGAAGAGTTGACATCCGGACCACACTGGGCACTTATTATGCTCTAACTGTGGCAATGGTGCAAATTCTGATAACTTTTTTGTCACTTACCTACAAACTTTGAATGTATTATTCACATGGTCTGGGGTTGACTGCAGAATGACTTTCCCGTGCTTTTGAACAAATTCCTTTCCCAGCAAAGGCAAATTTTGATTTAGGGAGTAGGGCATGATCCAACACAATCAAAGCTAAATTGCCATTTTTGTATACATTTGAAAATTGCAAAGACAAGCAGACAAGCCAAAAATAGCCTAGTAGTAAATAACAATGGTTGTACTTTAGGTTTATAATGGATTTTTTTATACTTTTATATTCCGGGTTTCACCTGTGTGTTTTGAATGAATACGGTAACAGTAAAGAGTCCCTAGAAATGAAGTAAAACACCATGCACATACAGTATATCCTTGAACGTACCCTGCTTTATTCCACATTCTGCCATTCATGCTGCAGGTGGACGGCGAACTGCTGGTAGGAGAGTCTGTCGGCCTGAGCTCCGGTGGGACTCTTCAGCAGCAGGAACAGGGCTCGAGGGTCCTGCGGAGGGTCAGTGAAGTTGCGGCTCCACAGGGCCTCTGTGATTCCCAACACGGCTCGCACCTCAGCGCAGATCACCTGGGGAGAGCACAGCGGAGAGACCTTTGATAAGCACATGTTTACTGCTGCTGGTTCTGACAGTTTGATATGTTCTGACTGTGAGGGATACGTAGTGCCAAACTCAAGGCCTCCTTCCCACAGAGCAAATACATTGCTATTTTGTTCAAAAACCCCAGGCCAACTCTTCGTTACACACTGGGCGACACAGGCTGGTGGGCTCACACTGCTCACCATCCAACATGCATTTTGACCTAGTGTTTTTACCAAGGTATGTTAAGGGAACACTTTGCCCAAGTAAAAATATAGGCCTTATCCAGACGGAGGCAAATCACATTTTTTGGAGCGTTTTACTACTGACAGAACTGGCAGTGTATGGTATGTGCTAGGCCTGGTGGTGTCGCTGTGAGGCTGTGACAGGAAACACCAAATCAGACAAAGAAACAAGCAGCACACACCTCTCCTTCTCTAGCCTGGCCTTATCCATCCGTAAACTCCGGTCAATTATTATTTCCCTACATGTACGTCTGGGTCTGATCCTCGCAGCTGCGGTTACCTCGATTGGATCCCCTCCGACCATTCAGCGAGAGGGGGAGGCGGGTGTTGTAGGTAGGTGTCGTGACGTCAAGAGTTTGCGCCAAATTTGTAGGTTGTAGTTTGGCCTTGGCAGTCAATGCAATAGTAAAGGAAGCTCTTCAATCCATTCTGGTTCTGCTCCAAATATCAAGAAATTGAAGCTGGAGCAAGAAGAAAGTATAGCAAATTTCATTGCTGACAAAGATGTTGTGGCACCTTGTGGTGGTATGGTAAGACCAGGTTTAAACCCAGAATTAGGAGTCTACAACCAGAGACTTCTCCCCTCACAATCACAAATGACAATATGGCCTTATGAAGGCTGAGTGGATAGCTGAAATATAGAAGTAAGTAGACCTTTAAGTCCAAGTTTCACCAACATATGTATTTTAATCTCTGGACTTTTCAACGTTCAACTCTTCTCTGTTTTTTTCAATGTTATTCACAGAAATGAGTAAATATACCTCCCCCATTTGTACAAAGGAACCATTCCCATTTCAAAGGCAACAGAATATTTCAATAAGCCTCGCAATATTCCCAAGGGTTTTTTCCTCAGGTTTTTTAATTTAACTGAGAAACGCATTGTACTATCTGGCTTTTCTGCCTGGGCACACCAACATTTCAATCTTAAATCAATCAGTAATCAGTATTTAATAAGTATAATGATGAGGTTCAAAACATCTGTGAAGCTTTTATCAAACTGCAAGAAACTTTCAAGGTAATTCAACAAGCAATGAAAAATATTAACTACTTCTTGGCTATGGCCTTAAAAAAATAAATTACTTTTCTAAACCTATTGTTATCCAGGAAAGGTCTCACTTAATAACCAGTCCTTGGGGAAAGCAGGTAAAGGTTGCGTTTGATTTTTATTCTCATATTTTATTTAGGTATCAAAGTGATGACTTGAAGAGGGCACAACAGGAGGCCGGTCTTTGAAACCCACATATTTGCAAAAGTTATCAACTATTTAACACGTGCGCTGACTGGGAAAGAGATGCTTGATGCCAAGATTAAAACATCATTGTAGCCTTGCAGCGTACGCACAAAAATCGAAGGACGCTTTCTTAAGTATTTCGAAGTGAAGTTAGTCATTAAGTAAGTTTTATTCTGTGCCTCTAGCTGGCAGACCTGGGTGGTGGTCCCTCCCTTTCAGAAGGTGACCAGCGGAGTTTGCCTAACCAGTCCATACTGTATATACTTTGTGGACTGGGAGGTGTTCCTCTGGGTGTTCTTTCTCTTTTTTCTAAGAAATAGCAACTGGAGTACAGCAACATATCCAAAGAAGCTGATACTTGTTTTTGGCTTTTGCCATGTGTAACCCTCCAGAGCAACTTTCATGGTTCTGGAGCCTGCCACGTGCAGTAATCCTGCCCTTCCAGCACCTGGGCAGGACAATCGCTCAGGACTTCAGAACCAACTTCTCCTTCAGAGCCTCAGGGAGAACAGGATTTCAGGGCCTCAGGGAGACCAGGACTTCAGAGCATCAGGGAGACCAGGACTTCAGAGCATCAGGGAGACCAGGACTTCAGAGCATCAGGGAGACCAGGACTTCAGAGCCACAGGGAGACCAGGACTTCAGGACCAACCTCTCCTTCAGAGCCTCAGGGAGAGCAGGACTTCAGAGCATCAGGGAGACCAGGACTTCAGAGCCTCAGGGAGACCAGGACTTCAGAGCATCAGGGAGACCAGGACTTCAGAGCATCAGGGAGACCAGGACTTCAGAGCCACAGGGAGACCAGGACTTCAGGACCAACCTCTCCTTCAGAGCCTCAGGGAGAGCAGGACTTCAGAGCATCAGGGAGACCAAGACTTCAGAGCCTCAGGGAGACCAGGACTTCAGAGCCACAGGGAGACCAGGACTTCAGGACCAACCTCTCCTTCAGAGCCTCAGGGAGAGCAGGACTTCAGAGCCTCAGGGAGACCAGGACTTCAGGACCAACCTCTCCTTCAGAGCCTCAGGGAGACCAGGACTTCAGGACCAACCTCTCCTTCAGAGCCTCAGGGAGACCAGGACTTCAGGACTAACCTGTCCTTCAGAGCGTATCTATTTTCACATTACTTAAGAATTAAGGTAGAAAAACAATAGTAAGTAAGTAATGTTTATTTATATTGCGCATTTTTCAGACCAAGGTCACTCAAAGTGCTTTACTTCAACAAGATAAAGATGTCTCATATTAGCACTTACTTTACTTTGGTTTCTATGGTAATTACCTCCACCGATGTCAAATCTTTATCCTATGTCTAACCTAGTTACAAATGTTGAAAACTTCTTTGAAGTAGAATTTAAAATAGAACCATCTTAACTCTGTTTTAGACAGAAATTACATTTTTTACTATCTTTGCTATCTTACGCTCTGTCCATAACTAACTTATGTAACGTTTTGTTTAAATGTCTATACAAGCTCTTTCTCTGATCACTTGCAATTAAAGGCCTTTTAAAAAAAAAAAGTAAAATAAAATGTTTGGAAATATATGTTTTTGAAGTATTTACTACTTGATCAAGTCACACTTTAACGCCTATTTAACACGGCATTCAGAAAAGGAAAGTGGCGCCTGCTGTAAACATAAAATGAGGCACTTTAGAGCCTGGTAATCACAACAATCTGCACTTTTGTAAAAGATGGTTAAAAGGAATTGGTTTAAACAATGATCAAATTCAGGATAATGCGTTTCTGCCAATGAAAGTCTGAGTTTCAGATATTGGTTAAATCACAATAATTGTTACTTTATTCTATTGACTTGTGTTGATTGTACAGCTGGGAGGAGACCTGTTTATTGACATTGGGGAGCTATAAGGAATTTGTATTGGCCACATCAGGCCAATTGAGGTCAAAGGAGAGTGTAACTTTATGGCCATGTGGGGATGTGTCATTACAATGTATGTAATAAAATTGTGTTCAATTGAGTATAGAGCAAAAGCTGTAGCTGCAGATGTCAGGAATGTATACTTCTGTTGTAGTATGCTGTGTGTTAAAGTATCATGTTTCTCATTTACTTGTGCCTTATGAACATGGACACTGTTCTTCATGTAAAAGTGAAGAGAGGAGAAGCAGCTTACAACATGATGCTCCTTATATACCTAACAAACCACAACAAATTAACCATGTAATAAAATCCATCTAACAACTTGTTCCTCTTTCTCTAAACAATTGCATGTATTTCTGGCCTCTGTGACATCCGTCTGTTATACAAATGTCAAATAGTGACACATTTGACCCTAACCCAACATTTTGGGAAAATTCTTTTTGTTAGGACAAAGAGTTGCCAGTACAGGAGGCACATGCCAGACCTATTGTACATGTTTTTAGTGGTAGTTAGTTGTAGGGGAAACCGGAGCACATGGAGGAAACCTTCACAAACACAGGGAGAACATGTAAACTGCACTCAGAAAGACCATGTTCCGACTGGGTTTGAACCCAGGACCTTCTTGCTGAGAAGCGAGAGTGGTATCCACTCAAGTGTTGTAGCTGTAGGGAAAACCGGAGTACCAGGAGGAAACCTATGCAGATCTGGGGAGAAACTCCCTGTCCCAAGGCCTTTGGTTCAGCTCCCAAGTGGCACGATTTGAATGTTATCCCTTTTCACAGTGACAGGGCTTATCTGACCTTACATATGTGCAGTGTGTGATAGTTTGGTGATTTAAGTTAATAAAATGTTGTATTATTATTCAAATTATAGTATTGTTCATCCATCCATCCATTTTCTACCCTTTAATCCATTTCTGGGTCAGGGGGGTGGCAGTCAGAGATGCCACCCAAGTCTCATAGCACCAGCCCCTCACTGACCCTCTGCAGGTGGTGAGTCCACAGGAGGACGGCTGCTCTCTGAGTGTGAGCATAGCCTTGATCTTTCAGTGGGGGCTTTGGGCAAAGTGGGGTTAAGTGTCTTGCCCAAGGACACAACGACAGCAGTCATCAGTGGGAGTCGGTGGAGAAGGTGCAGAGGTGGGAAATGAACCCACGACCTTCTGGGCTTAAGGCCAATGCTCTACCAACTGAGCTACTGTCGCTGCAGTATTGTCGCTAGTATTGTTCAATTATGCTTTAATTAATATAGCTAAGTATATAGACTTAATGAATTGTTTAAAAACAGAATACCTTCATATGCTCAAAATCAGCAATCCCAAGTTTTGGCAAGTTGCTGCAGTTAACGTGAATGAGTTTCCGCCCAGAGATGAAGTTCTCAGTAAAGCATTCCTGCAAAAAACAAACAATGGCTGATATAAGTTGTTTAAAAGTGCTTCTGTATAGCTGCTTATATTACATACTTTGTACTGAGGAAATCCTAAAGACTCAATCCAGTTTGCAACATCTTCACAATTCCACTGAAGAAAATGCATGCTGTTCGAAGCGTTATGTGATGACAAAGCTAGCGCTTTTCTAATTTATTCATCAGAAAGCAATAACACGTAAGCGAGTTCGTGTTCAACAGCCAATGAGTCCTCTTCCTTTCTGGGCGGCGGTTAGAAGACGTGACGTGATTGGTCAAATATACAAGTACGCTACCCGGTCTCTGCAAATGCGACTAGCTAATATCTTGGTATTTCGTCCCATGCAGATATTTTTTTCAAATGTTATTGAAATTTATGTCTTTAAATATCTGAATATTAGTCACAATCAGGAAGAGGTTATGAACAGATCACTTGGTTAAAGTTAGAGCAGAAACAGCTGGCTTGCTGCGAGACCAAATGCCAAGATTTCAGAGCGTTGGCCGCATCTGAATTCATAAACAACCCCCCTTTTTATCTTTTTTTTTTCTTTTTTCTTCTTTACAATGAATTAGGTGGCATTGCATCTCACTTGAGTGGCAATACAATGTATTAAAAATGTTTTAAGTGTGCCTCATTTATTAAAAACGTTGATTTTAAAGCGAAAAGAAGAAAAGGAAAGGAGGGATATGTTTTACATGTAGATGCAGCCTGTATTGTAGATACGTAAATCATCCGCGCGCTAGCTTAGTATAGCAACTCGGGCCGTAGATGATCTATACTCCATTGCCATTTACACCACCCGTGTCTTGCTGCTTAAGCTAGCTGCAGTTGTCCTGTTGAGGTGTTTGGGAACAGATATTAGACATTTTGTAAACAATGGCGGCTCTCCTTCGCTCGCTTTGCACCAAAAGGGCAAGTTAAACATATTTATGCTACATGAAATTTAAAGAAGTCATGCTAAATTGTGTGCGCTGCTGACAGTGAAGGTTACACGTTGCACATCGCTCACATAACAAGGTTCCACTCGTGAATTTGCATGAACTAGTTAAAGTGTATGTGCTTACACTATTTGTATTGTGTGCATGGAAATATTATAACAGATTGTGTGTTATACATTGTTTTGTTTTGCAGGCTCCTGTTCACATTGGTCGCATGTGTTACTCTTCTTCAGCGGTAAGAAAGTGCTTTAATGATGCATATTTCAAAACTAACAAGGAATACACTTTTCAACTCTTGAAAGTATTTTAAAGCTGGTTAAGCTCTGGGTAACTGGCTTTTAATATACAATTGTCCCGATATATAATCTGCTTTCTACTAAATGTATTAAACTTATCTCAATAAACAATGGTTAGTATTAAGAAAAGTCACAATTTTATCGTTATTTTGTTTTTATTCCCCACAGCCCACCACAAAGCTGTTTATCGATGGCAAGTTTGTCGAGTCTAACACATCAGAATGGATTGATATTCATAATCCGGTGAGTAGTAATGGATTGTCATGTATCTATTGAAAAAGAGATCCTCAGATTTTCTGGTTGAATAATGTAAAGAAAAAAAAAACTGTTCCCTCTTTGACCTTCCATGATAGCTCTTGTCTCACAACTAGTACAAGGTTCACAATGGGGCTCTCGGACATGGTCGACTGAAGACATGCTCTGCTGATCGATTGAGGACTGCAACGTTAATTGCAATTGAAGAAAAAACACAATTATAGAGGTCTTTTTGAGGGAAAAAAAGCCAAAATGAATATGCTATGTTTTGGATTCAATTCTAAATAGTATAATCCAGTGCTTGACATTAGATAAATTTAACTCTGAAAGAAGGATTAATTTACATTAAAAAAAACTAGATTTTCATTCAGCCAGAATCTGATTGTTACACAAATATGCACTGACAGGATTTTAATCTTTATAACTTTGATAAAGACCGCACAAGTGCAGGGCCATGGTTATGGAAGAGTCATTGAAGGGTCATGGAAACACATGGACTCTGCACAGACTACTGATTTTCTTTACCACAAAAACGTACAGTTCCTAAACTCCTCTGTAAATCTTTGATCTAGTTAAAACTCAATGTAAATGAACGACCAGCCTGTGCACAAACAAAGACAAAGATTAAATACTAGTAACCATGGCGTCCAGGAAGAGTTCAGGGGCCTTCTTCAAGAAGATAATTGGCTTCTCACAAGTGGTAATCTCTAAACCAAGTTTCTCTTTTATGTGACTTGACTGGAACGACAAATATAATAGAACTATTTGTTTCTAAAAATCTTTTAATACAATTTATTTCCACAATTATTTGGGAATAATTACATAAAACAATTATTTCACACAGAGCAGTTTCCTTGTGGTGCTGCACTGGAAGAAACTCCTGTTTGGGCTTTTAAAAACACTTGTTATAGAAAATGTTTAATAAGCATGGATGTTATGTAGAAACTAAAGGAAGTTTATAGATTTCAATGACTCAAAAGTAGTAATTGATACGTTTTTACTCAATTAGAGCTATAACCATTGTTCACAAAGTTAGTTTGTCCCATACTCTAAAACCATTTCAAAGTGATTTGAAAACTGCTCTGATCAGACTCCAAACATGAATGTGTCTTGGACATGAATGTGCTGAGTAGGGGTGGGAACCTAAGGGTACCTCACGATACGATACGATACGATACACGACACAAAGCTCACGATAACGATAATATCACAATAATGATTTTATCACAATATGACGATTATCGATATATTGGTCAGAAATATGCCAATTTATGGCATAAATAAAAGAAAAATGTTAAGTGAAAAAATACACTTTATTTTATGATAAATGGAATGGAGATGCGTAATGTAGTCATCTATTAAGTATTTATACTAATTGAAAAAAATGTATATATATATATATATATATAATTTTTTTTTTCAAAATCTATATTGATACTTGGCAAATGCATATCGATAATCGAATCGCGGGAGAAAGTATCGCGATATATCGATATCGCGATATATCATCACACCCCTAGTGCTGAGATGTGATTTCAGGGCTGAAACAGAGCAGCAGTTAAATGACGCGTATGATTTTGAACTGTTTGAGTCTGTATCCATCAGGATGTCCTCTGGAGGCTTCTCTTCAGTTTGATATGGGTCAAACTGAGATTATGTATAACATTTATTTATGCAGTCCAAAAAAAATACAAGCATTATTTGCGAGTATATTTATCAATATACTGTCCTGAATGTGTCCTTTATACAAATATAAGTTTTGCAGAAACAAAATCTCTATTGAACACTTTCTTTCTAAAGTATTATTTATCTATTCAACCAGGATTAAAAAGATCATTCTTTTCTGTGCTTCAAACATTGTTACAGTGCTATTTGGCCTCATACACGTGCCCACAGTATTCCTTGAAGCTTTAGTTAGAAAGTGATCTTTTTCTTTCATTATTGAGAAGAAGCAAAACGACTCGATTCACTTTGTTACGCAGCACGTAATGAATCATACATTTAATGATGACAATATTGATTTTCTGCTATTGTCAGCGATTAAAAGTGTTTACATCATGTGACATAGAGAACATTTGTTTTTGGGTGTAAAAGGCAAATTCACGAGGATCTGTGAATCTTTTCATCAATTCAATCTTTAAACTGGTCTTACTCAAAAGCTTATCTTGAAACAATATATTATTCCTACAATAAAAGACGCTAACGAGGAGCAGAGATCTGTAAGTACAGTGCTAGCACTAACTTGCGGTATACTTCTGTTAACTAAATTATTAGGGTCTGGTTCTGGATCAAGGACAAAGGGCTCTATGTGACGGATTGGCATTGTTGGGAAAAGTTTTTCTCAGGTCGTAAATGACTATGTACTATATCCTAGTTTAACGAGAGCGTGGTGGGGCGGCTCAAAGGCAGAGCACCAGAGAGGAGCAGTAATCAACTCGTTTCAATTGATATGACATCTATATGCAAGAAATGGAAGTTTGAGTGTTGTACGGTTTATCACCCAAAGTATTATCACACATGTGCTTAGGATGGACTGAAAAATGTAGAATGAACACCCTGTATGCAAAGAGGAAAGTATTCTGTCGTGTTGTTGTGAAACAATTATTCCTAGTTTAACACAAATGTTTTCATTTGTATGTACAAAAAATGGCATCAATCAATATTTCAAATAGTGCTTTGAAAGACTACACAGTACATTTAGAACTGCAGTGAAAGCCTCTTTACGGTAAAAAAATCAGATGTTGGGAAGACGGTGGCTCTCCACTTTGTTGTCCTCACCACAGTTCTGTCTGTCGCCACAGGCCACAAATGAAGTGGTCTCTCGTGTTCCCAAAGCCACCCAGGAGGAGATGAACGCTGCAGCCGAGTCCTGCTCCAGAGCCTTCACCTCCTGGTCCGAAACGTCCGTCCTCAGCAGGCAGCAGGTCTTCCTCCGCTACCAGCAGATCATCAAGGACAACATCGTGAGTCTAGATCAGTATTTTATTCTTCTATGTACATTTTACAGAACATCGTGTGAACAACAGCATCATCGTTTCTTTTACAGCCGGTAATTTTCAGATTTGGGAAAAAAAGAAAACAAATTCCAACATGGTTTATCCTTGAGACATGTTTCATCTTACATATTCTACTAAAGATGTTATTTCAATCTGGCACATGAAATGATAAAGTAAAAATCCTAATTTAAATGTCTAAAATGAATGCGTTGCATCAGTATGAAGCTATGCAAGTTTGGATAAATAACAATACGTGGTTTTTATTATCAATTTCTTATTCTTCTTACTACCATTAGGAAGTTGGTAAGTAGGCCTCAAATGTTGTTTCATAATCCATCGCGGTTCACTAACCGTAATGTCTCTATAAGTAATTCAGAGACTTTTTTTGTTTCTAGGAGAAACCGCTTGGTCCATGATGTGGTCTAAAGATTTGTCATTTTCTGTCAGGATTAAGATTGGGGCATTTAGACAGAAGGGGCAGGGGGAACCAAAAATCAGCAAACTCTGATGCTTTTACGGTTGTCATTCTTGCGTGTCTCGATGCCGTTTGTCATCAGGGCGACAGAGACTGTTTTATAAAACTTTGTTGACCTTCCCTGGCCTTTTGTTCTGCAGAAAGAGCTGGCTAAGAGCATCACACTGGAGCAGGGGAAAACTCTGGCCGACGCGGAGGGAGACGTGTTCAGAGGACTCCGTAAGTCCAGCGTGATCGTCCTGCTCGGCTGCTCTTTATGAGGCTTTTATTTAACTTAGGCCTAAAACTGTGGAACCAGGCCCAGTTTGACAGATTTCTCATTAAGAAGATGGAATAAGTGCTTCCACCACTGTCTGTCTTTGGAAAACTATAAAACTATGTTCAAGAGGACAAGAGCGTTACATCCATGCTCCAACATTGTTCCCTCATCAAAAACGGATCTGAAGTGGTTTTTAGCTCCATCCATGTTGATATCAGAAACTTCAGTTGTCCCTCCTGCCCCAAAAATAGTTTGGTGAATGTCTCTAGTCAAATTCCGTTCCTTACTACTGCATCAATCAATCAAGTTTATTTGGACAGCACAAACCCCTACACAAAATAATCCTAAATTCTTCACATAGACAATTTTAAAATGTTCAATATAATGAACAATACAAATGCATGAAAATAAATTAAATGGAATAAATGGCTGTAAAATAAAGATTAAGACATTTAAAAAAACACCTTCAACAAATTTCAAATTCCCAATTCAAGTGGAACTTAAGCATTTTTAGGCATAAAATTGCTATTTTGAGGATTTGTTGTAACGTATCGAGTTTGAAACGAGAACATTTATATAGAAGGTGCAGGGAGGGCATGTTTATGATTTTAAATATTTGAGAGCAGTTGAGGAAAATGATTTTGGGTCTTTGATTTTAAAATGGGTTTAAACAGAAAGAAATGTAAGTATCCATGTATGTTCTTTTTGTATTCGCCACAATTTCAATTTTCTAAAATGGTTAATTATCTGTCCAAAACTGTAGAAGATCTAAGGAATTAGAAAAGGGCATTGCACGGTGTGAAAATCCTTTTCTGCAGCCGGGACTCTGGCGTGCCCACGTTCTCGTGCCAAACTCATTCCTGGATCTTTCACCTGCACAGCGGCTGCCAACGCTGCACAAATGAAACCAATGGTGCTTGAAGCTTTATTACGACTTTAGATGGAGACGGCTGAAAGGTACTTTGTGAAAACGTGGGGGAAAAGCACTGGATGAGTCATTCTGGTGTAGATGGTTGTTCGTGGAGTTCAACATTTACCACAGACATGGACCGAGGACAGGAGTGGACAGAGAAGCCATCAGAAAATACTGTATGAGATACAAAGATCTCTCTTCCCAAGGGTGTCACATTGTTCCACAGAGATTTGGGATTGCAATTGTCTTCTCTAAAAAGATAAATCCTCATCAATGTTTTATTACAAACTCATGGTCCAGGATAAGACAAACACATCACATAATGACACAAAACAACACATATAGTCACAGAAATCACTTCTCAGAGCAAAGAGCTGTACCAGTGTCTCCACAGATCTGACTCGTAACGCGTGGCACTGAATTCGACATTTGTCAGGCTTATTCTGGCTTTCATTGAGCCAAAAGATAAAACTGTACGTCAGACATCAAATGGCTGCCTGAAATGTCCTGATTGCAGCTGACACAAACAAAGTACTTTCACTTTCCCAGCTTGGCCTTCTCAATAAAATCCGCAGTTGTTATATGCCACATTGAGTTTGCGGATGGTTGCTTTTTTTGTATTTGGTCCACAAGTGTTCTGTATATAATGACGTACAGTATGCTTTAAACAGTGTCTTTTTCACCTGCGCTGTACAAGCACCAAACCTGCGCACAAGCTTTAATAATCGACCACATGTTGTTAATTTGAGTCCCTGTTTGTGATTGCAGAGGTGGTCGAGCACGCCTGCAGCATCACGTCGCTGATGCTGGGCGAGACCTTACCGTCCATCACCAAAGACATGGACACGTACACCTACCGGCTGCCTCTGGGCGTGTGTGCCGGGATCGCCCCCTTCAACTTCCCCGCCATGATCCCACTGTGGATGTTCCCGCTCGGAATGGTCTGTGGAAACACGTACCTGATGAAGCCCTCGGAGCGCGTCCCCGGCTGCACTATGCTCCTGGCCAAGATGCTGCAGGACTCTGGGGCTCCAGACGGGACCCTGAACATCATCCACGGGCAGCACGCAGGTGAGAAAGAGGTGGAGGAAGAGGAGGGGGGTACTTTCACTTCGGCAGAAAGTCATCTCGCTGTGAAATGAACCGCTTCTGTGCTGGGGTAGTGATAATGTGACCACTTAAACCACTGACACTTTGAGATCCTGAAACTGGCTGTCGCTGCAGTAACATTGGTTTTGTCCCTTTGCAGAAGCAGTCAGGTCCATAAAGATTGGGAAAGATTTTGTCAGTTTGTCCGTGTGCCTCCCGGTTTTACTAAGGTTGGGCGTATTGGCTGCTCAGCTGTTCCTTCATTTTCCTACAAGCAGATGAAATATTGAGTTAAATGGTGGTATTTGCATTTGGACTCTGTTTCCAAAGCAAGACAACATTAGGCTGAATACAAAAACTAACGAGACCTCAAGTGTGGCCAAATTACCTGTTTGACAGTGTTTGACTTTTTTTTTCCTGGTGAGGAAACAGTCCATCTACAGTCTTCTACTTTCCAAATCCATTAACGTCAAAGAACACTTCATCCATTCACACACACATTCAAACACCAGTGTACGCAGACCCTGGGGGTGAGTCAAGTGTCATGCCCAAGGACACACTGTATTCATCAACAAGAGCTGGATTTATTATAATTTATTGGATATTTTATAATGTTTTTTTTAATTATACAGCTTTTTACGAATAAGGAATAAAGTATTTCTCCCCACTGCTGCATATTTAATGTAAATGTGATGATCAACCTTGACTCCTGGATTGAAGAATATAGTGATCAGAAGAGGCCACATTAGCTCACTCTTTCCCACAAACACATCAGCAGAACACAGTCAGATGCAGAGGTTCAGATCTTTCCCTCTAAAGCCCTTTTGGTGCTGCACATTATGGAAATGTGGAGTCTCGAGTCCTGGGGGGTGAATGTGAAGTGACTGTAGCGCACTTAGATCTGCTCCCTTAGTTTATCTCACACGTGAACTAGGGCAGCATAAGCTTTTCAAAAACATAACATCTTGTTTGGAGGGCACTCTTAAAAGACCCAAAAAATTTACCAAATGTAGCACTAAAATTAGTCAGTTCCAATGGCACCATACACTCATTTTATATAAAAACATTTCCATGTTTCACTGAGGGCTTTGTTTTGAATCATGAGGCATTACTTTCCAAGATCTCTTCTTTCCATCACTCGCACAATCTGGTCTTTTTTCATCTGTCTATTGGATGTTGTTCCACTGTAAAAGACCTCTTGGAGCTTGTTTGGCCAGCGCTAATGTACGATTTGTTATTGTGGCCAGTAATGTACATCTTATGCCAAACCATCTGCATTCACTCTGGTGAAGTCTCCCATTTGACACCGACACACAAGTACGGGCGCCAGTGGCTTGGTTGGTAGAGCGTGTGTCCTGTGAGCTGAAGGTCTCCTGACAAACATCATCGGTGTGAAACTATGGTTTTTCTTGCTACTTTTATACAAAATAGTTGATTTTAAACCATTGTTGTTCTGTTTTTATTCATTTGTGCAGCTGTGAATTTCGTCTGTGATCACCCTTCCATTAAAGCCATCAGCTTTGTGGGATCAAACCAGGCTGGAGAATACATCTACGAACGCGGCTCCAAGAACGGAAAGAGAGTACAGTCCAACATGGTACTGAATCAAATAAATATAATATAATATAAATATGAATATATAATGTAGCTCTAAGGAAAAACTATTTGTTTTCAATTTGGCCTTACATATAATCTACTCTGGCATCTCCATGTTTTAAGTTGTGAACAAGTGAAATACAGTCTAGGTTTTATATTTAAAATGTGCCTAACATGGCATTATATAATCAAAAGCACGCAGTTGAATTTAGTGTCCAAACCGGTCCGACCAAGTGAGTTCAGTCTTAGCCTGAAGATTTGAGGAGATCTTTGCAGTCTGTTCTGTTCCTGCTTGGGCTGAAAGAAAACCTGCAGTTTGGAAAACTCTGATTTAGAGGGACATGGTCTGAGGGTTTGTCGTATTTTGAAAATTGAGCATTTGGACAGATGGGGTGGGAGGATGTGTTCGCTCCATTAGTCACTGATATTGATTAAGCAAAAAGTTACTCCAGCTCTGTTTTAGATGAGGAAACAATGTTTTGACATAAATATTGTAGTTACATGCATCTTCTAAAGCAGCACTTGAAGCGTGATATTAACTTTGTCCAAAGCATTTGTAAAAGTGAGGACTATACAGGTTCAAACAGGTTTTTCAGACTTATTACACTGGGCGGATCAGCTGATATTTATATTATTATATCTGACAGCACCAAGTGCTGACACTACAATAATATAGATTTGGTAATTACCCAGAAATGGTAAGGCTCTAGCTTTCTTCAAGGAATGAGAATGTTATGCTATTTAACCTGAAAATGTAAAGTACTGGAATACAAATGCTTACATATATTTTTTACTGATTTAGGTTCAAAAGAAGACAAAATTAACATTCTTACATATACATGTTTTCTATTATAAATCAGTGCAGATAAACTACATCAGCACCTTAAATTTAAGTGGGGAAATAAATATGATTTCACAAACGAGCCATATAATATTATCATTCTTATTATTTATCTTTTCTCACAATCTGGAAATAAAGTCTCCCAATTTGAATATCAAACCGGTCATTAGTGTCCAGAGACTGCCTTTTACTGTAACAGTGTGTTAGGTTCGTACTGACCTGTGTGGTGTCTTCAGGGAGCCAAGAACCACGGCGTGGTGCTTCCCGACGCCAACAAGGAGAACACGCTGAACCAGCTGGTGGGCGCTGCCTTCGGGGCGGCTGGACAGCGCTGCATGGCCCTGTCCACTGCCATCTTTGTGGGGGAGTCTCGGGAGTGGCTGCCGGAGCTGGTGGAGCGCTCAAAGACACTGCGGGTGAATGCAGGTATGAAACATGTCTTTGTAAAACTGAGGACTAATAAAGAATGGAATGACTTCAGCTGGGTTTGGAGTGTGATATAGTTTTTATTTAGCGACTGCTGACAGGCCGTTTGTGTGTTCCCTGCAGGAGACCAGCCGGGAGCAGACGTAGGGCCGCTGATCTCCCCTGAGGCCAAGAAACGTGTGGAGTCCCTGATCCAAGCTGGAGTGGATGAGGGGGCCCAGGTGCTGCTTGACGGCAGGAATGTTCACGTCAAAGGATATGAAAACGGAAACTTTGTGGGACCCACCATTCTCAACAAGGTCAAGGTGCGTATGCAGGAAATTCATTATATCCACCAAGTTTTTGGGCTTTTCACCACAGAGAAGACCGGAACTTCTAACTTACAATGTGAGTGCAGACGGCACTCGTGCTACAGCGTCTTACATCCAGGGTGTCGAGTGATTCACTTCAGACTGAAGTGTGAACCGCACCCTAAGAAAGATAAAAACACTAGTTAAGAGGGATTAGATACATTTTCTTAGGTGGATGTTATTAATTTTTTGTTTTTTGTAGTGTCTGGTTGCCCAAGTTAAACACCTAATTCACCCTTATCGTCTTCAGTGTGTAAACTTAAACGTAGGTGACGTCTGAAATTGTACAACAGCTGGGAAATGCATGTGTAATACAAGGGTGATTACGTTATGTGCTGCAAACGCATCAACCTCGTCTTATCACTGCAGCGAGGATGGGGAAAGGAGTGCAATGCTCTCGAAGTGCATCTCCTGACAACCTTGTGCCTACATTATGCGTGTCTTAATGTAAATTGGGAGTAATGGATTCAAAGGACTAAAACAATACCTGACTAATTGCAGAGCATTTCACTCGTTATGCATTTGATTGTGTGTAATATTGCAGACTGCAGGCCAGATATTCCTGTACAGACACTTTAAGAATGTTAATGGCAACAGTGAGTGTTGTTTAACCTCCAGATCTGCCGCCGTGTCGTAGATAATTTCCGATCGTGGTTTTGCACCTTGAACGACCCGCTCTCATTAAATCTGAAGGCTTGCCTAATAAAACACACACTTAGAATTGTAACTCTTCTGCTCTTTGGGTCATCACATAATACAGTAGACTAACTGTGCTCAGACATTTGGCCTTGTCTGCGAGGAACCCACATTACATCTTTGAATGTTAAAGTGCTGAACTGATCGTCTTGAGATTTCACTTTATCCACATCAAACCAACCATGTTAAGATTTTTCTAACAACTGAATATAAAGGCTTTATGTCAAGGCCTGTGCGTGGTGAGATAATCGCTGGATTATATTTGACATGTTTTTTATATTTCAACAATTATGACTGCAGCACACCCAGCACCAAAGGAATCGTATTATAATGACAAGATTATCTACAAATGGGTTATAAAATCTATATATTTTTTTTTTACCTTCCATAATGACCACGTTACAATCAAAGCAAAGGAAGGTTTCTCACCCATCATCTGTACTTCTTAGCAAGTTTTCCCACGTTTCACGTTACAATCGTGTGACGAGTGCATCCAAGTATTGTTCCTCGTGTGACTTGTAGTTTCATCATCTTCACTCTATACACTTATAAACCACAGACTACAAAACAAACAAAGCTATAAATTTTTCTGAAGGGGCAACAGTAGCTCAGTTGGTAGAGCATTGGCCTTTGGGCCTGAAGGTTGTGGGTTCGAGCCCACTACAAGACCTTCTCCACAGACGTCTGCTGTCGTTGTGTCCTTGGGCAAGACACTTAACCCCACTTTGCCTGAAGCCCCCACTGAAAGATCTCAGCTCCTGTGAACTCAACTATAAGTGACTACAATGTTGTGACTTGTGAAGCACTCCAAAAAGACAGTTTATCAGAATGTGTGTTCTGCTCTTTCCTCTGTTTGCAGCCGGACATGACCTGCTACAAAGAGGAGATCTTCGGCCCAGTCCTGGTTGTGCTGGAGGCAGACAGTCTGGACGACGCCATTTCTTTGATCAACAACAATCCCTACGGAAACGGAACGGCCATCTTTACCAACAACGGAGCCGCAGCGCGAAAGTTCACACATGGAGTGGACGTGGGCCAGGTAAGGTTCAGAGCCTCCCAGCGTGCGGCCTGCAACACTGAATTAATCTGGAGCTTGTTATAGACTCTGACTCACCTGACAGGAGCTGGAGTGTACTCACCAGCTCCAACATCAAGTCTAATGACTCATATGAATTATATTAATATGTGACCTTTACAGTGTAGTACGTACAAGTAGAATGTGGAATCTTTTAAATTGATATTAAAGAACGCCCCAACAGCTCCGTGTAGTGGTAGAAGTGGGGCATTACATTCTGCTAAAATTAAATCTTAATTCCCGAGTAACAGGTGAGCTGTGTTTCAGATCGGAGTGAACGTCCCCATCCCAGTGCCTCTGCCCATGTTCTCCTTCACCGGCTCCAGAGGCTCCTTCAGGGGAGATACCAACTTCTACGGCAAACAGGTGCACGCTTTAATACATTTGGAACACTCTGTCACACATCCAAATTCTCTTATTACACAACATTTAACATCTTTAATACACAAATTGTAAATATACAATCCATCTGACTACTTTTCTGTGACACCGAGGCCAAAAAAAGTGGAAAAAGAGTGAACTGCCCTCACTCGGCCAATCGTCTCTCAGCTCAAAACGTCAAAAAGTGACAGTTCTTTCTTAAAAGTATGCAAAAGATAACATGTTGTGGTTGAGAACTTGTTGGGATATAAATGTATGCAAAAGTTTTGGACCCCGTCATGTGGTCAATGCACATAAATGTGTAAAATGGACTCTAAAACCAGAACAAACTTTTGAGTCTTTTGAACCTTTCGTCTGCCTGTTTGTTCCCAGGGCATCCAGTTCTACACTCAGATCAAAACTGTGACATCGCAGTGGAAAGCAGAGGACGCCACTGTGACCAGCCCTGCCGTCACCATGCCAACCATGGGCCGCTAAATGGACTTTTGGACCAAGAAAACTGCCTTACAGCCACAAATACTGAACATCTGCCTCTTCCAAATGTCAAAGTTTAATGTTTTGTTGAAGGATATTTTCTACCAGTATTCTCTTATTAGGTCTCATTAACATAGACATGGACAAAGAATCTACAATTTCAGTCTTTTCAGTGTATTATTGGCGGGAGCAGTTGCACATTTAGTGTCTTGCCAAATGACACAAGGGCTGTATTCAATTCTGGCAATGGGAATTGCTGGAAATGGTTATATAATGGATGTTGAATTTATAAACAACATGACCGGTTTAAAATTTGGCAGTAAAATTACCCGTTAATTTAACCCATGCACTTTTTAAAAATAAATCCAAGTATACAGGAGATTTAAGACTCAAATTATGCTAGCTATATTCACTGATATCAACAGCCTAAAAAGCACATCAAAGGGACATCCATCTATCGTCGCAGGGGCAGCAGGCCCAGACTTCCCGATCCCTGCACACTTCCTTCAGCTCATCTGGGAGAATCCTGCGACGTTCCCAGGCCAGTTAAGAGACTGCGTGTCCTAGGTCTTCCAGCCGTCCAGGAAGCATCTGAAACTGATGTCAGAGCCACCTCGCTGCTTCTCTTCTCGACATGGAAAAGCAGCGGCTCTACTCTGAGCTCTTCCCCAGTGACTGAGCTTCTTGCCCCATGTCAAACTGAGCGCCCAGTCACCCAGTTTGTATCTTGTCCTTTCATGGTGACACTTTGTGCAAAATTGTCACATTAAAAGATAGTTAATGAAAGACGGCTGGAGTTTTCATCAACTAATTTTTTACCACACAAATATCAGACTTTTGGCTTACACAAATTATGGTACAAAAGTATTAACTCCACAATAGTTTTAGAAGTTTCTAACTACTGTAATAAAATCATGTTATAGTTTTTATGTAAGGGCGGGAAGCTTGTTTTGAATGTGACGCTTTGTTGCTGTGAAATGTCTGTATTTTCTTAGCTGACTTTGGGTTATTGTAGATTCTAAATACAACTGACTAATGCATTTAAACGGTCTTCTCCTGCCGATAGAGATGTGTTTTATAGTTACAATGTACAAATAAAACATGTACATAAAATGTCTTCTGCATTCTCATTCTGAGAAAATGTATTACTCGAGAGCGCTATTACTTTATAAACAAATACATTATTTGATCATGCAAATTAAGGCGTCAAACTGTTTTAAAAGATTAGGTTTAGAAAAGGTGAGCATTGAAAGAAAGAGCTAGAACGTGAACTGTAAGAATAAAGTATGGAACTATAAGTGCCCAAATAGTTAAATAAATCATGAACGTAATTTATTGAGGTAATCAAGTGTTTATTTTTTCCCAAATAACAATATTGCAAAATATGTATAACAAATTAAGCTTCAATTTTAAACTCTGGATTAAGTAAATATAATAAATACGTCAAAGGTAATCCAGATCCAAATGTCCTTAGTTACATCCATGATTTAGAGAAAACGATGCTAAAAAAATATGAATTTGGAAACAGGAATAATAGAAGCACTCAAAATATGATTAAATGGCTTTAGATGAAAAAAAACTTAAACATTGTTGCACGTATCTTGTGATCTTAAAGCTGGGGTACCCAACTTTCACTCCATACATCTTTGTCCCAACAGACTTTACAAAAATAAAATGCCGTCTTCAACTAAATAGAAACCATCTTTTGCAGAGTTGTTAGAGAGAGCCCTGTGAGTCACTGACTAGGCTGAGCAAGTCTCAGTTTTTTAGACACCAGTCTTTAATTGCAAACTTGGATCTGTTTCGCATGACTTTCCATATGTATATTAAGCGACTGTTTACTGACTAGATTTCTCTTGCAGATGGAGCATGTAAAAGGCTTCTCCCCCGTGTGCACCCTCATATGCCTGCGTAGATTAGAACTCTGGGAGAATCTTTTCATACAAACTGAGCAGCTGTAAGGTCTCTCCAGCGTGTGAATCCTTTTATGCGCCAGTAAATTGGAGTTGTCCGAAAAGCGCTTCTTGCACACTGGACAGCTGTAAGGTTTGTCGCCTGTGTGGATCCTGATGTGGATTTGTAACGCCCTGCTGCTTGTAAATGGCTTTTGGCAAAACAAGCAATAGTGTACCTGCTTCCCTATTGTATAATTATCCGCTAATTTGTATTGAGCATGTTTTTGGTTCAAGAAGTCTGCTTGTTCGCGGTGATCTTCCATCGCCTCTGCTTCCACCGAACAGCTGATGGGAGCCCTCCAACTTTCAACATTATCTTCAGCAAAAGGCGAATCAGATGCGTAGCGTTGTGCGTGTTCCCTGTCCTTATAAAAGCAGGGGCTGTCAGAAGTTTGTCCTAAATCAGATTGGCAGTGTAAAGATGTCTCTGCGCGTATGTCCTGTCCATGTCTCTCCTCTTTGGACTCAGTTGGAAGCTGTATAGATGGTTCGGTTTTCACCCTGGACAGTAGTTTCCGCAGCTGATCCGTCTCCTCTTCGTTTCCCTGTGATGTTTCTTGTTTCAGGCTGTGGTTCTTGTGATGAATCTCTGATAACACAGACACAGAGCTGGGAATGGCAGTAGCTGAGTCCAGTAGCATTTGTTTACGCTGGTTCTCCGCTTTATATTGGTGGATCTCCTCTTCATATTCCGTAATGGTCCTCTCAAACAGCGCAAATATCTCATCAGCGGCCGCACACAGGCGCTCGGTCACCAAAGCTCTGAGCGTCTGGCCTTTAGACATGTTTGCAAAGTGTTTTTAGCTTTAGCTTCGAGCTAACACCGCGGAACGAGGAAGAAGGTTTGTGGGCGGCGGTGACGTCATCGTGTAGCAGCTGCAGCAGCGTGGTCAGTACCATAGACTGTCAGTACATGGGTCAGTACAGGTCAGTACCATAGACTGTCAGTACATGGGTCAGTACAGGTCAGTACCATAGACTGTCAGTACATGGGTCAGTACAGGTCAGTACCATAGACTGTCAGTACATGGGTCAGTACAGGTCAGTACCATAGACTGTCAGTACATGGGTCAGTACAGGTCAGTACCATAGACTGTCAGTACCATAGACTGTCAGTACATGGGTCAGTACAGGTCAGTACCATAGACTGTCAGTACCATAGACTGTCAGTACAGGTCAGTACCATAGACTGTCAGTACCATAGACTGTCAGTACCATAGACTGTCAGTACCATAGACTGTCAGTACATGGGTCAGTACAGGTCAGTACCATAGACTGTCAGTACCATAGACTGTCAGTACATGGGTCAGTACAGGTCAGTACCATAGACTGTCAGTACCATAGACTGTCAGTACAGGTCAGTACCATAGACTGTCAGTACATGGGTCAGTACAGGTCAGTACCATAGACTGTCAGTACCATAGACTGTCAGTACATGGGTCAGTACCATAGACTGTCAGTACAGGTCAGTACCATAGACTGTCAGTACCATAGACTGTCAGTACCATAGACTGTCAGTACCATAGACTGTCAGTACATGGGTCAGTACAGGTCAGTACCATAGACTGTCAGTACATGGGTCAGTACAGGTCAGTACCATAGACTGTCAGTACATGGGTCAGTACAGGTCAGTACCATAGACTGTCAGTACATGGGTCAGTACAGGTCAGTACCATAGACTGTCAGTACATGGGTCAGTACAGGTCAGTACCATAGACTGTCAGTACATGGGTCAGTACAGGTCAGTACCATAGACTGTCAGTACATGGGTCAGTACAGGTCAGTACCATAGACTGTCAGTACCATAGACTGTCAGTACATGGGTCAGTACAGGTCAGTACCATAGACTGTCAGTACCATAGACTGTCAGTACAGGTCAGTACCATAGACTGTCAGTACCATAGACTGTCAGTACCATAGACTGTCAGTACCATAGACTGTCAGTACATGGGTCAGTACAGGTCAGTACCATAGACTGTCAGTACCATAGACTGTCAGTACATGGGTCAGTACAGGTCAGTACCATAGACTGTCAGTACCATAGACTGTCAGTACAGGTCAGTACCATAGACTGTCAGTACATGGGTCAGTACAGGTCAGTACCATAGACTGTCAGTACCATAGACTGTCAGTACATGGGTCAGTACCATAGACTGTCAGTACAGGTCAGTACCATAGACTGTCAGTACCATAGACTGTCAGTACCATAGACTGTCAGTACCATAGACTGTCAGTACATGGGTCAGTACCATAGACTGTCAGTACAGGTCAGTACCATAGACTGTCAGTACATGGGTCAGTACAGGTCAGTACCATAGACTGTCAGTACCATAGACTGTCAGTACATGGGTCAGTACAGGTCAGTACCATAGACTGTCAGTACATGGGTCAGTACAGGTCAGTACCATAGACTGTCAGTACATGGGTCAGTACCATAGACTGTCAGTACAGGTCAGTACCATAGACTGTCAGTACATGGGTCAGTACAGGTCAGTACCATAGACTGTCAGTACCATAGACTGTCAGTACATGGGTCAGTACAGGTCAGTACCATAGACTGTCAGTACCATAGACTGTCAGTACCATAGACTGTCAGTACATGGGTCAGTACAGGTCAGTACCATAGACTGTCAGTACCATAGACTGTCAGTACAGGTCAGTACCATAGACTGTCAGTACATGGGTCAGTACAGGTCAGTACCATAGACTGTCAGTACCATAGACTGTCAGTACATGGGTCAGTACAGGTCAGTACCATAGACTGTCAGTACATGGGTCAGTACAGGTCAGTACCATAGACTGTCAGTACATGGGTCAGTACAGGTCAGTACCATAGACTGTCAGTACATGGGTCAGTACAGGTCAGTACCATAGACTGTCAGTACATGGGTCAGTACCATAGACTGTCAGTACCATAGACTGTCAGTACCATAGACTGTCAGTACATGGGTCAGTACAGGTCAGTACCATAGACTGTCAGTACCATAGACTGTCAGTACATGGGTCAGTACAGGTCAGTACCATAGACTGTCAGTACCATAGACTGTCAGTACCATAGACTGTCAGTACCATAGACTGTCAGTACATGGCTCAGTACCATAGACTGTCAGTACATGGGTCAGTACATGGCTCAGTACCATAGACTGTCAGTACATGGGTCAGTACAGGTCAGTACCATAGACTGTCAGTACCATAGGCTGTCACTACATGGGTCAGTACATGGCTCAGTACCATAGACTGTCTGTACATGGGTCAGTACAGGTCAGTACCATAGACTGTCAGTACATGGGTCAGTACAGGTCAGTACCATAGACTGTCAGTACATGGGTCAGTACAGGTCAGTACCATAGACTGTCAGTACCATAGACTGTCAGTACCATAGACTGTCATTACATGGGCCAGGACTATGGTCAGTACATGGGTCAGTACAGGTCAGTACCATAGACTGTCATTACATGGGCCAGGACTATGGTCAGTACATGGGTCAGGAGGACTATGGTCAGTACATGGGTCAGGTTCTCTAACTCATAAAGTTTCAAGTCGCAACCTTTAGTCAGTTTCACATGCCTTTTCCTGAAAAAAATTATAACTGGTTAGTGTTGCTTTTCATCCACCTGCTTTTTGGTGTGTACAGTGACAACATAGAGTTGACTAGTGAAGAATCTGTTTACATTATTTATGATAATAGGCTGGGAACCTTTTCAATTAAAATCGTTTTTAATATATGAATACATCAATAACCATTACAAACCATGGCTGACAACTTATTCCACTAATATTATTATTAGTTTGAAATAGTGCTTTTTTGGACACTTCAAGATGCTTCACATGTTATTTTTCATTCACTCCGTACATGGTGGTGGTAAACTATTTCTGTGGCCACAGACTAACAGAAGCAAGATGTGCCATTGGCCCCTCCAACCACCACCGGTCATTTATTATTTATGAAGCATGTGGTTCTTCTCAGCGTTGATACTTTTGATTTTGTTGTAACTTTTGTAACTAACCCTTATTACCATTTTAGGAGAATACGGATATGTCTTTATAGTCAGGAGTAAAAGTGCAACATATGAAATAAGAAATACTTACAGTACAACCCTGCCCTCTCTGCCAAAGCGCACCCAGCCCTGGGTGTGACTCATGTGTGTGCTCTCTTCAGGTTGATGACAGCTGTGGTCAGCCTCCTGCTCCCTCAGTGCTGTGGAGATGGCTGCAGTCACGCTGGTGCTACCCCTGCTCCTGTGCTCTCTGTGCTCGGATAGAGCTAAGGCTGGAGCTCAGGCCGGCTCTTCTCTCTTGGATCTGACAGGGGGCGTCCATGGCCTCCTGCCCAGCCTCAGCCGCCCGGCTAACCACAGCCGCATCTCATACGCTGTGATGTTGGATGCCGGCTCCACCGGGACCAGGATACACGTCTTCACCTTCATACGGAGCGGACCAGGTAAGTCACTACAACACTTTTGAGTTTTATGTTTGATGCACAATCTGAACTTCAGCAGAGACATTCGGAAGCATCTTTAGCAAGCAAATAGTGAGTCACAAGGCTCTTTCTTACAAACATATAATTGTTTTCTTATGAAGACAACATGTTTATGGTCTGCTTTGTTAACGAAATCAAGTACAACACTTTTTTACAAGGCTCGTTCAGTAATATTATAATGCCAAAAGTTTAAAGTCTGTGTTTGTAATAACTCAGTCTACAAGATATTATAGCAAAAGTTTAAAATCATCTAAAAAAGGAGCTATTAAAAAAACAAAAAAACATTAAAAGCCCATTTAAAGTGCGCCTAGGCCCAGAACGCGTTTAGATCCGGGCTTTAGGTGACGCTTGACCGCTTCAACTGGGCTGGCACAATCGTGCCGAATTACTATTGCAACAACACATCATCAGTAGGGTAAAACTAACCTGTCTCACGACGGTGTACTCCCAGCTCACGTTCTCTATTAGTGGGAGAACAATCCAACACTTGGCCGCGTTTTGACCAATCAGGAGCTGCTGATCAGAACGGAGCTAGAGCGGGAGACAAACAAGCAGAGTTTGTTGCATTAAAGTGGAAATGTATAGAAAACCGAATGGTTTAACTAGGATGACAAGGGGCATTAAAATCCCCACAGAATCCTCCTTTATAAAAGCTGTAGGTTCTCTGTCAGCTGAGGTCGAGCTGTTGAGTTCTATGGGACCTTTTTATGGGTAGCCCACGTGAATTTAGTCTGCAGTACCACGGGCGCCCCCTTCGCCCATTGATGGGACGGCTACAAGCTAGTTATACTCGCCCATCCAGATATTATCATAGATCCATGGTTGGCGCACATTAGCCTAGTGTAAACAGGAAGAGAAATGGAAACTTAACTCGAACCTGGAGCGTTGTACTACACTGCATTTGGGCCAGCACAGTTGAAAAAATAAATCCTTCTGACCGCGGGCCGTCTTCACACCCCTCTGGCAACGATCCGGGCCACTTGGCCTAGTTGGTTTGTGAAAGAAATTCTAGGTTTTAATGTTAGTATGGACAGAACTAGTTAACATGTTTTGGTAACACTTTATATTAAAAGTACATGAGTTCATGCATGATTCTCATGAACTAATGCATGAATTAATGCATTCGTTCATGATACATTCATGCATTACTAGGACCCAAGCTAAGTATTCTCTCATGTCTTATATTTAGATTAGCTAAATAATAGACAAGGGAAATTAAATTGCTAAATAAAAAGTACAAACAAAGTTGTGATATCTGTTTCATGTCATTTCATGTATTTGTTGAATAATATATGTAAACGGGTAATTGTTGTACAATTATTTTCATGATTTTGAAGATCCCAACCCATATTGTTTTTGAGGATTTGTAACTGTTAAAGATAATTTAAGCATTATACATTTTATTTCCTGTAAATATTCCTGTATGAATGAAAACCTTTGATTTTCTTGTTTGTTTGCAGATTTGCTTCCGATCTTGGACAATGAGATGTTTCAATCTATTAAACCTGGTTTGTCTGCACATGTGGACTCTCCTGCAATGGTGAGTGAAGGAACAAGGTGATAGTCAATGTCAAAATAAATTTTATTAGGAACTAACCATTTTTTTAGTGGCTGCCTGAAAGAAATGGCATAGTTTGTTTTTGAGAAAGAGTATTCATTTAGTGACTTGACATTGTCATTCACTCAAGTTAGTTGGTCAGAAGGGGTCAGAACATTTGTCCTCTGCATTTGACCCATTCGGTAACGCCACTAGGGCCTCAGGAGAAGTGGTCGGTGTAGTACCAGTGTAGTACCAGTGTTGTACCAGTGTTGTACCAGTGTTGTACCAGTGTAGTACCAGTGTAGTACCAGTTGATACTCGGCTTGGTCAGGACCAGAGTTGGAGTTATTTTACCTAATGTACATGTCTTTAGTGGTAGGGGAACCGGAGCACCCAGAGGAAACCACTCGGAAAGGCCCTGTTCTGACCAGGATTCGAACCCAGAACCCCTGCTTAGAAGCGAGAATGCTATCCACAGTGCTATCCGCTCTGAAGATTACAAACATGTCCTCCTGAACCTTCTGACAAAATGTTCTGGTTTCAAACTCGTCATGTTATGACCCATCTTCAGGCTAATACGTATCGGACGCTGCTGTTTTCTGCCGTTCAAACCAAAATTAGTAATAAAATAGGTTTAGGAAATGTAATTATATTATGCAACGTTTGATTCAGATCCAAATGTAGCCAGATGTAATTTCCCACTCCTACCACTAGATGGGAGTTGTATTTAGGACAATTAATAACACAAATGATGTATCATGTTTGTTCTTTAGTTGGAGCAAATACTGCAGTGATGTAATGGCTTACTACATTTCACCATTCACCTAATGAATAATCACCATTTGTGTGTTTCTGCTCTTTAGGCGGGACACACAATCAGAATGTTGCTGAAAGTGGCCAAACGAACAGTGCCCCGTGTGGAGTGGAAGAGAACTCCAGTGGTGCTCAGAGCCACTGCAGGACTGAGGCTGCTGCCCAGACTCAAAGCCCAGGCTCTTCTGGAGCAGGTAAAACCACAGACTGGCCAAGTGCTATCCTTATGGGTATTTGCCCATATTGAATTGATTTAGTTGATCCAAGACAACACACAATAAACATTAGTCTTGTAAAAGGAAATATGTCATTTTTTTGCTAAAATGGTAGTTTCCAAGGGGCTAAGATGATTGCCAAGGAAAGTTGGGGTTTCCCCTGCAAATGAAGGCATCTGAACGATATTATCTGGATTTACCAGGTGGTGAGTCCAAAAGAGGATCTGTGGACTCCCCACCTGATAAGGATCAGTGAGGGGCTGGTTCTCTGTGAATTGGGTGAGGCTCTGATTGCCACCCCCTGACCCCGAAATGGATGAAGAGGAAGAAGATGGATGGATTTACCAAGACAATATCCAAATTGGAAATTCCCTATTTACGTTATGAGCTGGGGGTTTAGCATTGTCCATCTAGATACAGTCTATGTTCTGGACCAGGTAAAACCACACAGAATCAATGCACAGTAATACCACTGTAGCTAATTATTTTGTGAATGTTTAGCCACAGAGTTATACAGAGAGTTGCATAAGTATCCTCCCCCTTCAACTTTTAGATCTTCTGCCTTGCTTGGACCACAAACATACAAATACAGCTGCTCTGTGATTCAGATTCAGATTCAGATTCATTTATTTGCCATTTGCAGTAAAACCACATTGGAAAACTGTGCAAGACTACCCCGGTGTGCACCAGAAGACGACACACACCAGAGCTCTTGCCACGGCGCCATCTTTACGGCGCCATGCGACAAACAGTAGAATAACAGTTATTCAACAGCATAGAGCAAAACAGACATATATTTCAACAAACATGGGGAGAGACACGGTACATGTGGAAAAACATGCGGATCTTTTTAATGGGAAGTCATCACTCTGGCCCGCCTCGTCCAATATAGCGCGTCAGAGGGGAGTGTGGGTGGGGGAGGTGGAGGGGAAGACCACCATAGACTGAAAAAGAGAGAGGCAGACATGTAGGGGGGGGGACTGTAACTGGTGTTCTGGGTTGTGAGTCTGAGATAGATAAGAGTCCAGTGTCAGCCTTGAGTGGCCGTGTGTGGTGGTGGAATGTGAAGGACAAAGATAGCGCAGGTGCCTGCAAACATTGGAGACAAAACAACACATGCCCTTGTGGGAAATTTGAATAAGCACTTTTAGCTGATCAATGAAAGGCAGTGTAAACTAAAGCCAATATGTCCAAATTATACTGGAACTGGACCCTCCGTTCACCGTTATCCGGAGTTGACCACGTCAGTACGAGGTTCCACCGTGAGGCCCAAGTCCTTCAATCAATCCTTCCACGCGTTTAAGTCCATCCAAAGATCTCACTCCCAGGTCGTTAAGGGAATGTTCGATCCGACTCACACCCCGTTGTGTCCCCACTGTGCCCTCGACCACGACTCTGACCAACTCGCGGAAACTCTCCTTGTTTTCCGCGGACAGCCGCTCGTAAATCTTCTGAGTGGACAGCCCTCCAACTTTGCGGTAGATCAAGCCAACTCCAAATCCAATCAGGAGGAACCCTGCTACCATAAATCCAAAAATGTATATATCCTCAATGTCCTCGATGGACAGTCCCGACAGACAAACGGGGTGCCACCTTTGCCAGTTGTCAAAAACGTACCCAGCAGCCGCCGTACCATCCGGGCAAACAGCATCTCCAGAACCGCCTTTACGTGATGAAAAAATAGTATCAATGGTCTCAGAGGCTTGTCTTGAGATTGATACTCTCTGTTCCCCAAGACAAGACAAGGTTGTGTAGAAGTATAAAGCGGGGTTAAGATATACAAAAAATTTCAAAGATTTGATCATCTCACAGCTCGAACAAGGACAACAGTGATGATGTAGAGACTATGTGGTTACTCTGGAGGAGCTGCAGACATCCACAGCTCACCTGAGGGAATCTATACATGGGAAAAATATCAGTAATTAGTTATCTGGGCTTTATGGAGGAGTGGTGAACAAAAAAGCCAGTGTTGAAATAAATCTGCAAGAGGCAAAGCACATTCATCATGTGGAAGATGATGTGGTCAGATAAGTCTAGAACTGAACTCTTTTACTTCACCAGGGACAGAGAAGAGAGTCAAAGTTGAGGGGAAGATGGATGGGGCAAAACACAGGACAATCTTATAGGAAAGAAATCCTATAGTCTGTAGCCAGCTTTAGTGTGAGTCTTTCACGTGAAATTACAATCAAAAATATGTTTATTTATATGTTTAACGTCCTAGCATAGCAAAATGTAAAAAAGTTGAAGGGAGGTAGATCATTTATCAACATACTGTATATTATACAAAAGAGCATGTCCACATTTGAGCCCAGGTTTGACCCAAAATAAGTTGTCTTGCCCTTGAGGGTGCATAAGTCCTTCTTCAATGGGAGGACTTCCAGTCTTGTTCACAGTAAGGGAAGGATGGAGTAAGAGATTGACAGACTGCACACTGTGTATGTGATGCTGTCGTTATATCAGAGCGTTGTGGTGAAGAGGGAGCAGCGTCTCCAGTCCAAGATCTGGGTCCCCATCCTATGGTCATGAGCTTTGAGTAATGTCCGAAAGGACAATTGCAGATATGAGTGGCCTAAATGAGTTCCCTCCACAGAGAGGGGCTGGGGGTATCCTAAGAGATGGGTTGAGGAGCTCTGAGTAGAGTTGCTGCTTTTACGCATCAAGAGAAGCCAGCCACTCCAGCGGGTGGAAAAATCAGCAGATAAGAATTCCTTTATTCGTCCCACAATCGGGAAATTTCCATGTTGCAGCGCACATATAGGACAGTAGTAAGAGCACACAGGGAGCACACACAATATACAAAATAAGTAGTAGCTTTGTTTCTTAGCTAACATAACTAGCTGTAGATGCTGAAAATGCTTCAATACCAGTCAAAATATATATATGTAGTAGTAGTGCAGTTATATACTGTACAGTTAAATAGTGCAGGATAATAAGTATATAAGTAAAGTGACATAAGGTAAAGTGACATTGTTCTGTGACATCCTGAAGTTGCAGTATTGCACATTGCACATGATTTAAGATTTTACTTAATTACAGATGAATGAGATCACATGCTGCATGAGGAGAGTGTGGAACATCTGTCCTGAGGCAGAACATCAGGACTCTCCAGCAGCTTGTATCCTCAGGCTATAAGACACTGAACACTACCCTCCTCTCCTTTCTGCCCACTCTCATGGACAATAACCACATCCACCAACAATAGCTTTGAACTGGACTTTGCTGCATTCATTCTGTCACCATCTCCATGTATCTTTTCCCTTGATTGGTTAAATGTTCACAGTGGGTCATTTATTTATGGGGATTTATGCACTTTTCATCAAACTATGCAGCATTGTTGATGCTCAAAACTGGCTAGAGGAAGTGTGTAGAGAGGGAAGTTTGGGAATCAGCACAGACCGCTGCCTCCAAGACAAAGCGACAGGTACAATAGAAGATAATGAATCTTCTATTGTACCTGTTCTTCTATTGTACTTGATCTCAAAACCATCTCTTGCCTTGTCTGAATGAGAAACACAGATTTGAATGCATGCTATGGTATTATGCCACATAATTGTTTTACATTCCCTTAACATTTAAATGCTGACCTGAGAAGCCTCCAACAGAAACAGCTTAAATACTGTTTTGCTGTGCACTTGTACATTTAAACCTTGTGGTGACATAACGCTGTTGTCGTGTCTCAGGTCCAACATGTGTTTGACGAGTCTCCGTTCCTGGTCCCAGACAACAGCGTCAGCATCATGGACGGCACCAGTGAAGGTAACATCTCCTGTTAGACATAAACACATTACACTACACACAGTAATGAGCAGCAACAGAACACTGGGCCTTTAGCTCCTGATGACTCCAGCACAAATGAACCACAGAGCCTCCATTATGTGGTCAAACAGGCAGAAAACATGTTATCAAACCATTAGAGTGCACGCTTAGCTTGTTTTGAAACGCTTGCTCAAGACTCTGCATTCATGTCTAAAGTCGTTTGTGATTACATGGAATCTCTTTATGTTGTGTAGGAATCCTGGCCTGGATAACACTGAACTTCTTAACAGGTCAGGAATGCAATCATAAGTGTGTGGTGTTGGTAGTTTATTGTTGTGTAAAACGAATCAAGAAAAATCATCTGATACTTTTCTTGTGAGGTTTTAACCATCTTACAACTTTATCAATAGAAGTTTTTTACTCAATGTATGTTAAACTTCTGTCACAAATCATAACAAACTCTACCCTCGTTCCTCCTCCTCCCTCATGTCTAATTACTCAACAATATTTAGTGTACAGTATTTACAATATGTTAAGTATTGTTAATTTGCATACATTGTTTTATAGGCATTGGATACAACTATAAAGCTAAATATAAAAGCACAATAACTCCAACAGTCTCTGGAATCACGGAAATGGATGAAGAAAATAAAGTAAAATGGTAACAAATTTACCATGTTATAACATTGTCCCTCATCAGTCACAGTCCTGGAGTTGTTTTTAGATCCATCCACTCTGATATCCAGAACATGTAACCGCCCCTTCTGTCTAAAAGCTCCTGTTTCAGTCTTGTGGTAGTATGATGTCATTGTACCACTATGACATCACACTCAGAGAAGTGTTCTGCCTCTTTAAAACGTATCGCGCATTAATTAATGTACAACATTTCTCGGGTAAAATCACATTCTTGCAATCACAGAGTTACAAAAACAGTGACAGGTAGACAGCATGTTTTACCTCTGATACTTGTGTCTCCATATATTATCAACTGAAGATATAATTGCACATTCTAAACATGAAATGACAAAAACCAAGTATCTACATTTGGAAAAGCCAAAAAAGCATTATAATTCTGCTCTCCAGGTAACTTGTCTCCGCCAATTCAGCAGACTGTTGGAATCTTAGATCTGGGCGGCGGTTCCACGCAAATTACTTTCTTGCCAAAACTAAGGGTATGTTGTTTTTAATCTTTTCAGTTCACATAATATTGTAATTGTTCAAATAAAATGTTTCACTGTGTACATAGAAAACTATTGAAGGTGTTCCAAGTGCAGACTACGTTGCCAGATTTGACCTCTTCAATTCATCGTTTGAACTGTACACGCACAGGTGGGTACTGTACGTCGATCAAGCCAGTAGGAGAAAACCCTCAGGAAGAGTCTTGCCAAAGTAAAAGGTTGTGAACAAATGGTAATACCACAACATGCTCTCTCCACCTCCATAGCATACTTCTAAGAAAGAGCCCTGTGAGTCACTATTTGACGATTTCGGGCGTAGAGCTGATTGGAGTTGGATGGATTTTTTGACATGTGAAATTCAAATGATTGAAAAGAGGAGATGATGGATTTTACGTTTCTGACGTCTGGAGAAATGTCTAGTTGTACAATGAAGTGACGCTTTTTCAATAACATTAAAATAACTGCTGCTTTTACTTAACATTTTCCCTGTAGTTACCTGGGAAACGGGTTGATGGCTGCAAGGCTGGCGACGCTGGGGGCTTTGGGGGCAGAAGGTACTGGGGCAATTACTATAATGAATCTATCACACAGGCTGGGACATTATATTTCATGGCTCATTTTTCCATTGGGAGTTGTTTAAAATGTTTTCTTCAAGTATTTACAATTATTCACAAATAGACCCACTATTTTATTCATTTTTAATATAGTACATTTTTGTTTTTGACCTTGAATTATTAGATCATGTTTTTACGTGCAGTCTTTAAAAAAACAAGCTGTCACAAAGTACAATGGTGCCTTGTGAATCTAATCAATATAAAATAATCATATGAGAAAATATGTTGACATTTTCTTTTTCAATATCACTTTTGTATTTAATATTTTTGAAAGTGGAATTTATATAAATATAAACCATGATTTGGACAATAAGCATCCTGAAATATATGTGTTGTTGTTTCAGGGCTAGACTGGAAAGTTTATAAAAGTTCCTGTTTGCCAAAGAAGTTCAGAGACGAGTGGAGCTTTGGTGGTGTGACCTATCAAGTGAGCGGAGATCCAGAGGGTGAGACCAGAGTGGAGTTTGCTTGTTCTTCCCATGTCTTTGTAGGTTACCTCTGGGTGCTACGGTTTCTAGTTTTGAGAATTTCTCAAGTCAAATCACGTTCTTTACAACTGCATGCTTTTTATTAGACATATCATTTAAAAGTCTAATAAAAATCATGCGGTTGTAAAAAACGTGTAATCTATTCCTCCAGTTGTCATGTTTAGCTCTAAATAAAATTATTTCACAAAAAGACAGTAAAAGTCATTTATTCTTTTAAACGAGCCAAGGTGTTTTGACACTCAGGAAGTGCCATCAGAGTGCTTTAGTTTATACTGTAGAATGTATGCTACAGAGTGCCTCGGGGCCTCTCTGCTGACGGTTTCAACACATTCTTTAAATCTAAGTTTATGCCGCAGTAACGTCACTCTTATCTGTTTTTCTGAGAATCTAGTCTAGTACTTGAGCACAGAGAACCCACTGAAGAACTCGCTATTCTGTTCTCACTTAAATGATCGCACATTCTACAATATGAAAGGCCAAAAAGAGTCAACAGTGAAAATGCTTGGTGGTTCTTCTGTCCTGTGCTGCAGGTTTGTCCGGGTACAAGTCCTGTTACCAGGAGGTGCAGAAGGTGGTGACGGGGACAATCCATCAGCCACACCAACTCGACCACACCACAATCTTCTACGCCTTCTCTTATTACTACGACCGCGCGGTGGACGCAGGGCTCATAGGTCTGTGTCTGTCATGGACTGTATATAGATGGACGATGCTAAACTGTTAGCTCAATGTAGCTCAATAGGGAAGTGCATCTTTAAAATAAGTTTTGCTTTTACTCGCTCTTGCTCCTATTGGCTAAGATTGAAAAGTTTTAGGCTGAACAAGTCTGTGGTTTATAGCATTTTGTATTCTCCTGGGGTTTAGATTTTAATATTGTCCTTGTAAATCCAGATGTAAGGATTGACCAATCTGATGGTCAAGATTATATGTATGCATGTAGCCTAATAGAAATATGCAACTCTAGAATCCTAAGTTGTATGTGTTCTGTGTTTACATCATGACATCATTGGTGCAGTACAGTATAAACATTAAATGATAGTATAGTCTACTACAGCTTCTCCTCGTTAGCCCCCCCCCCACACACACACAGACATTAGCACTTTGTACACGTGCCTTGGTAATGGCTGCTTGTCATTCGTGGCCTTTAAATTACCCTCCCTGTTACAGACGGAGAGCAAGGACAACTGGAGGTCCGAGATTTCAAGAAAAGGGCAAAGGAGAGTGAGTATGAATCTGCAACATGCATTCGCAAGGCTTTTTTTTGTGAACCTTTTTCTATGTTATTAACATAGCTGTCCTTTAGAGGCACCTACATTTTGTGCTGTGGTTGTTTAGAGAAAAGCAGTGGTGGAAACTAAACCCAGGGCTCGGAAATAGGATTCATCATGGAACAGTCACAAAATCCAATTGCCAATATATCAATATCATCAATCCATTTATCTTGCACTTTGATAACTGGATCTGCGGTCTGAGTAGAGTCTGCGGGGCCATTGTGACCACTTTTCCTTTGACACCTTTTTATGTGGTGAAGGGGCAGAGCACAGAGAGATACGGCAGGACTAAATAGTACTGCGGCCTGACATGTTACTTTACCAGTGAGATTAGCTTGACGCGGTGAGTTTTGGCAACCCGGATTACAGACTTTTCGATTGGTAGAAAGGGGGGGCGGGACATCGAGATTAAAACAATAATAATCTTTAGGGGTTGTAAATGCAATTTTGAAATTCCCAGCTGAATTGTTATCAGTTAAAGAAATATTGGAAAAGAGCATGGTTTATTTAATGATGACTTGACATGAAAATCTCACACATTGCTACTTTAAGCATAGTCGCTCCTGTGTTGTAAAGCCTTGGACACGGACACAGACAGTACATTCTGGACAGGTCAAGTCTCAAGTGGCTGCTGCTTAAAAGACTACATGGTGTGTGTTTTCCTCCAGTCTGCAATAAGACCTCCCAGTCCCACTGCAGTTCTCCTTTCCTGTGTCTGGACCTGACTTACATCACAGCTCTGCTCCGGGACGGCTTCGGCTTCAAGGACTCTGCCAAACTACAGGTGAACACATGATGATTCACATTCACCAACAGCAGCCCCAGCTTTGGGCTTGTCACATTCAAGAACTATCTAAAAGAGATCTGTCCACACTGTTAAGGGAAAGTGAAGGTCAGGGGGGAGAACCACAGACTCACTCACACACCTCAAATCCAGCCTCAAAACTCATATTCACTAACACCATAACTACACAATCCTCTGTTCATGCTGCTTTTAACTTTGTACTTTTTTACTTGTGATGTAAAGCAACCTTGAGTATCTAGAAATGCACTGCAATAACTGGACAAGACACTCGTTTCTTTAGTATGTTAAAGGTTTATTTCAATAAATACAAAAGGCATTATGTGATTTGGTGTTGTTTGTGGCCGCAGTTGACCAAGAAAGTGAACAACGTGGAGGCGAGCTGGGCTTTGGGCGCCATTTTGGACCATTTCCACAACATGAAAATCCATTGAGAAGAAAGTGTGGAATATATGAGCAGAGAAAGGTTACCAAATATTTGTTTTGTCTTTTACATGATGCAAACATAAAAAATATTCTTAATTTTCTGATTTGAGATTGATCTGTTTATCTGGTGGTCTTATTGAGGAATGCAGTGACTATTATACAGTTACTTTTTAATAGGTAAAGGGGTGCCAGAAGTTCCAGATATTAGCAGTCTGTTTTTGTTGAACTCAATGTCTTATTGTTCAATCTGGTTTTAAAACTGTCAAAATGCAGATCCATTTCTCACTAGGGCACTAAATAACGTGCAGGTTTCTCACTAAATCCATTATTGATGCTATCGATCAGAAATAAACTTCATTTACATAATTGTACATGCTTTCACACTGATAATGGCCACCTCTACTTAAAGTTAATGTGATCATTAATGGTGTTAAAATAGTGCCTTTGCTTGTCTATTTTGTTATACCAAGCATGGGGTCTGGAAGCTTTACATTAATTTTATATTTAGTTTTCCTGATTAATTGAGCTGCATTGAATTAAGAGTAAAGAACCTACATCATTCTACTCGTTTGCACAAGAAAGAAGCAAATGTGACTGGTGAATTCATTGTCTTAATTCTGTACAATAAAGAAAAGTCCATCCTCTACATCGCACTCAATATTTCCTCTTGCGATGCACCTAGGGAAAAATCTTAATCCAGCCTTGGCATGCCTCTGCATCTATCTTGGGCACACAACATGGCATCAGTACGCATCAGTCAGCAGTGTCAAACAGGTGCTTCAGTGATTTCACACTGATCCAGAAGTGTCTGAGACAGAACAAACAGTTTTTTTTTGGTTACAGCTAAAGCAATGGAGTTTGGACGCTTGAATGACATCTGCGTTCACTGATTTGGAAAAGGATGCGGCAAGTGTCAAAACAACGACAATGGGTTTGACTCATTTCCAAGAGGTGTCTTTAGCTGAGACAGTGATACTGAAGACAGAGGTTTCTAGTTTCTTCAACCAGGTCAAAGCAATCAAAAAAACTATTACATGGTTCTTGGTTTTTCTTGTGGCTTGAATAAAAGGTACCCCAGCTTTAAACTAGTCTAAGAAAACGTTATCAAATCTTCCGGTTCATTGTAGCATGTTAATACTCCGGTGACACAAAAAACATCTGTGACGTTTGAAACCCGTGTTTGATTTCTTTGGGATTTGGAAAAGTGGAAATTTATAAAAACGTTTGACAAAATAAAAGCATCACTATCGTTGACGACTTATTACACGTATCTACAGTTGTGCAGTGTTGTGGTGTTATTGTTATTGAAAGCTTTAAAGTAGCGTGACCACCTCCACGTCGTATGAATGGCCTGTCGTCATGGAAACCAGGTCGTGAGGCTGGGACAGAACCACCACGGAGTCCGAGGAACCTGGAGAAAGAGACGGGTCAAGGTGTGAAATCAGGCCTGGCCCTCCACAACATGGCAACATCCCAAAAGGGAGAAAATGATTATTACAGGAAGTTAATCCGGCTTTAAACTTTGGATTTGGAGGTGCGGGTTTTCATTCCAACTGTTTCACACTCTGCTGCAAACCGTCCCAGTGCAGGAACCAAACCAAACCTCTATGGCCCCGAGCTGCATCCGAATGTCGACAAATAACTACCTCTTTCCTTTCACTGCAAAAACTGATCATAAGCTTGAAGTAGTGTTAATCTTCGTTCAGGTAAATGTTTTTAAATCTACAAATGAATGAATGAATGCATTATTACTATTACATACTATGATTACATGCATAGAGTCTGACCAGGTTGATTAGTACGTATTATTCAATCTGTCGTTTTGTTTCAAGTGCGAATTTTCTGAAAGACATTCTCTAACAACTACACGCACAAGAAAACCGCTGTGCAAAGATTTGTAAACACCTACACCATTTCTGCTGAAAAGTAAAAACATTGAAATAAGCTTTTGCATGACCAATGTATGATTATTATTGCTCAAAGGCACATAAAATGGATTGCATTTAAAATCAAACAAACATGCACCAGCACGGCTAAAGGCAAAAGGAGACGTGTGATTGGGGCTGAGCACAATGATTGACAGTCAAATAGCGATGTTAAACTAATTATTTTTGTACACATTACATTTCAAATTGGTAGAAACAGCTCCCTTAATGTCTTTAATTGACTAGAAAATATAATTAACATTTGTGAAGTAATGCATTGGTTTTGTTGCTTTTTTTTATTTTATTGGTGGCCCTGGGGAGGCTGATTATTAAAAACGTGCGGTAAAGTTACCTGGCGCCCTGAGCATGGCGTGGTGGACGTTCAGTGGGTTCACCGCTGTTGTCATGGAGACCATCCCCTCTGCGTCCTCCAGTAAACTGCTGTGTGTCAGAGCCTCGCCTGAACACATGAAACACACATGAGCCTCAAAATGTAAGAATCTGCTTCCTCCATGTAGGGCGGTCAACATTTCTCAGAACTTTTGAATATTCACGTTTTTTATTAAAATTTGAATATCTGGTTGGGCTCACATTATACCGCTCACATGAAGAATTTCAGCAATGTATATGTATATCAGCTCTGATTAGAACGATTTTGCTTTCATACTAAAATCTGCAAAGTTTCATGTTTAGTGTGCCATGTGTTTTAACCAAAACGGTGTGCCACGGCTACAAAAAGGTTGGGAAACACTGCATTAAACCACCAAAAACGTCAAAGTCTTGCAATCAAAACTGTCATTTTTGTGGCATAATTACCTAATAATCCACGGTTATTATAGTATAGACTCAGAATATAGCCTGTGTTTTGTGGTGAATGCCGCTTCCTCTTCTCTCTCTGGGGAGGCTGACCCACATACACCTGATAATAACCAGCCCTTTGCCTGTTTGTTCTTGTGCAGGCCTCAAAGCCAGATCATGTGTTATCCTTTGTGACTAACGGCGCTGGAATCATACAATCTGAGGACGGCCGGATCAGAATTGGCCTGAACTCTCTCGTTTGTTTGTACGCACAGCCGTTATTATAGTTCGCAGCAGATAGTCGTCATTGAGGTCTTTGGGGAAAATCTCTGTTAGGAATCAGCCAAAGTCTGGGATCGTGTCTTTAATTCAGACAGAAGACATGTTTTATTGTCGAAGGTAGAGACAGCACGAACAACACGAACAAGGGATGTTAGACAGCAAGTGATAATATATTCAGGAGAAACAGAGACCTCCAATCAGCAGCTGCCACAGTGCCAGCAGAGATAGCCAAAACATGAAGTGGAAAAGTACAGGCTTCTGCACATGGTTAGAATGAAGTTAGAACTTTAACCATAGTTGCTTAAAAGTTATGAAATCTCCTTACAGCCCATGTGAATTTAAGCTGCAGCAGCAGCGGGTTTCCCCGTGTCCATGTGGAGACGCTCTGAGCATAAATACTCAAGATAATATAATACATCCATGGGTAAGACACAGTGACGTGCTGCTTTTTCAAAGATTAAATACACTATAGAAGACGATCACATTAAATGAGAGCTGCTTTCATAATCTGTACTGTAGAAACACATTATGAACATTATTAACCTATATTAGGAAAGGCTTGGATATAGCCAATTTAATCAACCCTTTAAAAAAGTAATTGGTCTCAAATTAAAATTTTATGGACAAACATCGAATTAAAAAGGTATATAGGAAGATTTTATACTTCCGAGTGGATCTCCGAGTGGATCATCAAGACTATTGGTCCTCCCAATTGTCAATCATTCTGGTGATACGTGCTCGTCAAGTAAGACCAGAGAGTTTAGATCAAAAAGTGAAAAGAGCGGTTCTTTCCGAAAACTTGGGAAAATCCTCCTTTATAACTTTAAGCAATTCTACTGGAGAGATTTTAGAGGCTTATTTTACATTTGCTCGTAATTAAGGCTGCAATAAGTTCATTGAGTTAATGCAACTAAAAGGTTTTTTTTACCTTACCATAGATTTCAACATGTTTATTATGTTCACCTTGTGCACTTGTATATAGCAGTCATTTGAAGAAATGTATGTAGGTTTTTATTTAAGCAAGCCTTATTCTATTCTCTACTTTAACTTATGAAAGCCAAAGCAATTTCCTAGTTTGTGATTTCTTGTTACTCACATGGCAATAAAATAATTCTGATAAGAGGTTTTATTACGGGCGGCACGGTGGCTGAGTGGATAGCACTCTCGCCTCTCAGCAAGAAGGTCCTGGGTTCGAATCCCGGTCGGACCAGGGCCTTTCTGAGTGGAGTTTGCATGTTCTCCCCGTGTCTGCGTAGGTTTCCTCCGGGTACTCCGGTTTCCCCTACCACTAAAAATATGTCCAATAGTTCTGGCATGCGCCTCCTGTACTGGCGACCCCGCTCCCATCTCTGTGTGGAGTGAGAGACAAATGCCCATAATTAACAATTGTAAACCGCTTTGAGACTCAGATCTGCAGTGAAAAGGCGGTATATAAATAAAAACTTACTTACTTACTTACTTATTACTCAGGTAATTCTTTATTGAACGCAGACTAAAATATAAATCAAAACAATACAGTGTGTAACAAGTCATCTCTAGGACAATGAGTTTTGTATAAAAATACCATATTTACTGACTTTCTAAACAACAAATTGATTAATCGAAAGATTGATCAGCCAACTAATTTATAATGAAAATAATTTTTAATTACAGCCCTACCAGCAATACTTGAAAAAAGAAGCTTAACAGAATGAATAATAAACTTGACCTATAACTGCAGTGATGTCATTTGGAAGCCAGCTCTCCACTGTTTCAAGTCTCTACTCATTTGTAAGTGGAAAGCCAGTGAGAGATCATTCAGTGCATATTGAAGAGATATTCCCACATTCAGACCTCATTTCAGAATTATGCTGCTGCTGTGATTCCTTGGCGTGCCCCAAAGAATAAAAATGTGTGCTTAAAGCACAGAGAATGGTGAATAATTCAGAATCTGTCTCTAAACGTTACTGAAGCTAAGCATATTTCTATGCACATGTTTAATAATGTGAACAGCTGGAGGGTATATTTTCTAAGAATTACCATAACTGCCTCAGACTATGGTTTAAAAACTATAGTTCTCGATCAGCGGGTCATGGCCTGAAAATGGACCAAGTGGAGACTGAAGGGTTATGAAGTCTTGGCAAAGCTACAATTTTGATCAATGCATTTGGGAAAATAAGTTCTGTCATAGCACACGTATGTGGCTCGCATGAGTATAAAGACACACTAATGCTATAGTAAAATCCATTTGTATTAATGTGATTGTTGACAGTTACTGTCAGAGAAAATGGAATTGCAAAGCTAATGTGGCTCACTCGGGGCCAACGCTTGCTAATGTAACAAACTCCTGATAATTTGGCAAACTTTCTAATAGCTAACTCTTTCTAATGATGCAAACTCGGACAAAAGTCGTTTCCCATACCACTTCTTTCTTCCTCTTCCAGCAGACTTATTACATAAACATCTAAAGCATGTTCCTCTTAAGGAGTAGCCACAGCAGTGAGGCGTGTCACATCAGCTGCATCAGAGCCATGAGATCATGGATCTATAATAATAACTAGATAGGGTGATACTAGCTTATAGCTGTCCCACCCATGGGTACAGGAGGCACCCACAGAACTGCAGACTGAAATGTCCCTTAGAACTCAATGCAAAATAAAACAGCTCGACCTCAGCTGACATAAAAGTTGGATTTTGTGGGGATGTTAATTCCCCCTTGTCATCCTGAACTTGTTTTCTTTAAATCCACATTTAAGTGCCACAAACTCTTGTTGTTTTCTTCCCGCTTTAGCCACACACACATATTTGGCACAAAGCATCATGGGAGCTCAGCCACTGCGCAGAACCGGGAAGACCAGATGATGCCCAAATATGGGCGCTAGTCTTTCAGCCCCCATGTGTGTCCTATGCACTACTGAGCACAAGCCATTAATGTGAATAGGATGCCTTCTTGGATCACTGGGGCTTGGTCAGAGCTGAGTAAAAAGGTGTGCGACTGGAGAAAAGCCCCACAGGAACAAAGCACCACACAACTTTAGTTCCACTCTTATACAGATGAGCAAATAAACTGATTAAAATGGAATTCTAACTTTGAAGCTTATCTCACAGCAAAAGCGTACTTCTAGGAGAACTGTGATATGATTTGTGTGGGTTGTGTTAGTGAGTGAGGAATGAGCAACAGCTCTGAAAGCACCCATGAAGAATCTCTTCTCAGCTGAGCATTCAGATGGAGGTATCTTTTTATCCATGTCAAACTGAATCAATTCCGGAAGAGGAGTTTGTAACACACAGACAAGAAGTTACCGGAGGATGGCCATGAAAAGTGACATTTAGAGAATAGATTACAGACCTGTGTCTTGGGATTCGTGGCTCATGCTTTCGTCTCCGTGACGTTTCCTCATGTGCACGTTTCTGCTCCCGGACTGAGAGAAGGTTTTCCCACAGACGCCACAGAGATGCGGCTTCTCACCTGATGACAATAAGGAATTCTTAAACCTGGTTTACTATAATATGGACATGTTTAGCTTTATTCAGGTCCTTTCTCAAAACTTTATATGGAGAAACTTACCTGAATGAACTAGCATGTGTTTGCGGAGACTTGAGTATTCAGCAAAGGAGCGGCCACATCCGTCTGCTTCACACAGAAAAGGCTTCTCCCCTACAGTGCGACACAAACCAGAGCATGTTCAAACAATACAGCTCAAGTTTCCACTTAAAATTGTGTGGTAAAATGTAAGTAATTTTATTTATTACACTCAAACTTGTAACTAATAAAAAAAAAAGTACATTCGCAATTACATTTGATGGACACAGATGCAGAATCATTGGTTTTGAGGTTTATTCATGTTACTAAAACAGTAATAACACAGAAAAATATATCGATATAATATATTTTATATATTTACTAAATAGGTGGGCACGGTGGCTGAGTGGATAGCACTCTCGCCTCTCAGCAAGAAGGTCCTGGGTTCAAATCCCGTTTGGACCAGGGCCTTTCTGAGTGGAGTTTGCATGTTCTCTCCGTGTCTGCGTAGGTTTCCTCCGGGTGCTCCGGTTTCCCCTACCACTAAAAATATGTACAATAGGTCTGGCATGTGCCTCCTGTACTGGCCCCGCTCCCAAAAAATAACAATTGTAAACCGCTTTGAGACTCCGATGTGCAGTGAAAAGGCGGTATATAAATAAAGATTACTATATAAATAAAGATTACTACTACTACTAAATATATTTCTTTTTTTACATTTTCTGAACTTATAATATATAAATACGTTTAAAGAACCAACGGCCATGACTATGAATATTATTGCCATTCCTTTCATTGTATGTCTTTATCTGTTTGTAACATGTGATCTCTTAAAAGGCTGTGTCAAATGTAATTTTCAAACATTCTTGAGAGGCCATGAAAGAAACTACTGAGGTGTCCATCTAATAGAGCTGTAGCATAATGTCAGCCCATCTCTCCCATGCACCGCCACAGACCCAATCATCTGCTATTTATACATCCAGCCTCAACAGCTCGTCCTCTTCCGCCTGTGCGGGTAGTGGTAGTCTGAGCTGGTCCCTGGTCTCCCGCCGATCATCCATGAACCTCCTGCAGGGGTCTGGTATTTGTTCAATAAAGCCAACGTCCCCGACACACTGCAGGCTTCTTCTCAAGTGGAAACCCTTGCAGAGCAGCACATACGGAGCTGATTTCAAATACACACACACAAAGAAACCTGGAGCATGCACACCAAATGAAGATGTGAATAACTGTCATAAAACATGAGCGTTGACTAGATCAGCTCCACATGTCCACAACACTTGATTTAATCATTAGAAGGAGGGCTGGCAAGTTTGACAGTGAGTCTGAAGGTTTCCTTTTTTCTTTCATAAAGTCTTGCCTCGGCCCTCATGGCCTCTGTGGGCTGGTTTGGTCAAACATAAACATCTGACATTTGCAGAGGGGGGGCTGGGCATGGGGGCTGGGGGCAGTCCTCTGGCCTGCACTGGCTGCCTGCTGTATTTGTATTTGTATTTATTTTGATCTCCATTAGCTGTAATAAGTACAGCTATTCTTCCTGGAGTCAATCCAGCATGCTGTTCACAAAACAATATTTACACCAGTTTTCAACACCGAGTGATAATATTACCCCCCCACCCCACCCCCACCCACCACACACACACACACACACACACACACACTCAAATGTACCAAGGACATAGTATATGCTTATCAGTGAATACATAAGAGAGAATATAATGACAGCATTAGTAGCGTAATGGTCCGGTTACTTAATTAGACCACCATTGGTCACACAACAGGTTTTATCAAATTAATACAGGAGAAGATGCCTTTTCAAAAGGGCTTTAAATTGGTACTTACTGTTTGCATAAACAATATCACTTGGCAAAAAATTCCAACCAGCCATGGCTCTATACATTACAGTACTTTTTCCATTGTTGGTTGTGACTTTGGGAAGTTTAAATCTGCCCTCCGTGGCATGTCTGGTTTCATAATTATGATCATCCGAACTAAAATTTAACTCTTTGTACAGTACATTTGGAAGGTTAGTTGTAATTATATTTCTTATTAAGTTCATTAAAGAAGCAGTAAATCTCTCTTTTACCTTGAGCCAAGACAGTGTATTATGCATCCAGTTTACATTAGTTCTGAGTGAGCACCGAAGTGCACAACGAGCTGCTCTGTTTTGGACGGTTTGTAGAGCTTTTATATTTGTTACGGCAGCACAAGACCAAATCTCTGAGCAGTAGTCTAACTGCGATAATACAAGTGTTTTTATAACATCTGTAGTCATACTGAAAGATAACATATGGCAGCATCTTTTCACCATTGAGAGGCACTTTCCCATTCTACTGGCCACCATATTAATATGTTTAGTCCAAGATAGTTCATTGTCAATTTCAATACCAAGCAGTTTGGTCTGTCGCACCTGCTCAACAGTTACATCTTTGACAACAAGACTCAATTTGGGTTCATCCCGCAGCATGTGTTTTGTTCCAAAAACAATACTCTTTGTTTTCCCAATATTTAGAACTAGCTTGTTATTTGTGACCCACTCAAATACTGATGTTAATTCTTTCTTTAAAACAATTTGAAGTTCTTCAACCGTACTTTGTGATGAATAAATGGTCGAGTCATCGGCATACATTGCTATTTTTGACTTTTGTAACACTAGTGGCAAGTCATTTGTATATATAGAAAACAGGAGTGGTCCTAAGCAGCTTCCTTGAGGTATACCACAGCTAATTGTTTTTATATCTGAGAAGCTTCCATTAAAAAAGACAGTTTGTTTCCTGTTTTCTAAATAATTCTTAAGCCACAATGATGCTGCTGGACTGAACCCATAGCATTGCATTTTACTCAACAGAAGGTTGTGATCTATAAGATCAAAGGCTGAGCTGAAATCCAACAACACAGCTCCTGCTAACCTTTTGTTGTCTAGTGCTATCAACCAATCATTTGTCATCTGAGCCATAGCAGTCGCAGTCGAGTGACCTGCTCTGTACGCATGTTGGAAATCTATATTCAGATTGTTATTAAAAAAATATTTTTGTATTTGTTCAAATACAATTCTTTCCATAATTTTGCTCAGAGCAGGTAACAGACTGATTGGCCTACTGTTAGGGCCACAAAAAGGAACAGTAGCATTTTTTGGTAAAGGCACAATTTTTGCTATTTTCCAAGCCTGTGGATAGACCCCCTCCTTAAGACTTAAATTTATAATATGAGCAATAGGAACAGCAACTAACTTTGCAGACAGTTTCAATAATTTAGAATCAATATTATCAACACCAGACGGTTTTTCTTTACATTCTAATAGTAATTTTTCTACTTGGCCAACAGTAACATTAATAAACTCAAACTTGCAGTTCTTTCCTGCCATAATATTGTTCCTTATTAAATATTCTGCTTTTGAGTTATCAGCTGTGAGCTGTGAGCCGTGAGCCATGAGCCTACTCTGCTGCAGAGTGGCGTGCGGCTCTCAGTGCGTGCGGTTCCTACTCGTGTCTGATTCTCTGCGTTGAACTAAAGTCTGGTTTGTTCGTACGTGTGACCAGAGGAGAGGAGGAGCACCTGTGTGAATGCGGCGGTGGTTCTTAAGATTCCCTGCTGTGGTGAACTTCTTCCCACAGTTCTTCTCTTTGCAGATGAAGGGCTTGTCTCCACTGTGCGTCCTCATGTGAACCTGGAGCCTCTGCAGAACGTAGAAGCTCTTCCCACAGCCCTCCGCTCCGCACCGGAACATACGGTCATTCCTGCAAACCGCAGAGAGCAACACAATCATGATGTCCAGTCGCCACATTTCGGGAATCACTTTTCCAATGTGAATATTCGGAAAAACATCAACTACAATTATATTAGTCCTGTGTACAAAAGTAATGGAGTCAATAGGCAAGTGTGCTTGAATTGATTTTCCCTGCTAAAAAAGAAGAATAGTTTTTAGGTAATTACAACCACTCCAAATACATCAGTTTCACCTGTATAATAATGGATTTTTCTTCTTTTAATAAAAAAAAAAAAAAAAAATGTATGTAATAAAAAACTAAACAATATTCTCAGCACACCCCTAATTAAACGTCTTCCTTCGCACTTAGAACTCTGGGCTGTTTGGCGCCTGGTTGTACCTGTGAGTTTTGAGGTGGTACTTGAGGTGGGCCGGCCAGGTGAAGGTCCGGCAGCAGCCTTCGTAAGAGCAGTGCAGCACAGACTTTGGACCAGAGCGAGGAGGATGAGAGACACTCTTCCTCCTGTCGTCTGCGTCTGGTGGCAAGCTGGGGGAGAAGTCGCCTGAGACACAGAAAAATATAACTGACAACACACGGCCAGACAAACAGCAGCGTGTGGAGGAGAGGTGTGAAAAGTCGCCAGAATATTTATAAATAGATAAATTATAATATATTTTAATACATTTGCCCACCAGAGTCTGGGGGGATTATCTGTTGTGTTTCTCAAGGTTGCGCCGATCCATTGACCACTTTTCTAATAATCAAAGTTAAAACTGGCTGCCTCGTTTGACTAGACATGTCAGTGTCTGGTGCAGTGGTTCTTCTGGCACCCCTTCACAGTTTCCGTTTAGCTTCTCTTTGTTAGCATCACTCATATGTTTCTCTGTCGGCCTCCTACTGTGGATATATTGAACAGTTGTTAAAAAAAGGATCCTTGTCGCTAATGAACGTAATGAGTAGTTCAAACGGGATTTCCCATTGAAATGAATGAGCGTGTCTGAGAAGAAAAATCCATAAATCATGGAGTGTCCTTCTCACACACCATATAATATATCAAGCATCCAGATAGCCATCCATATTTTGTATCTTAATTGTGGAGCTGTTAAATGATGATGAAAAGCACAGCACTACTTGTACTTGACAAAGATTACAATTAGCTTTAACATGGTAAAGCTAATTGTAATCTTTGTCAAGTACAGGTCCTGATATTAGGAAGAGGATGAAGTTCAAATCTGTTTTAGATGAGAGAACAATGGTGCATTATGTGTCCTTATAAGGAAATGAATCTCCCGTACTACAGCCATTTTAATGTAGCATATGCAGTGTGTACAGTATGTGCTCTGACTTTGGAACAGCCACAGAACACAGGGCTGCTCTGAATGCAATCACTGCCTTTCCAACGAGCACATCTACAGCATCCATGTGGAAGAATGGGAAAACCAGCAGTGAGACTCAATATGATCACAAGATGGCAATACTAGGATAATTGTAATTAGGGGATCTATCCTGGGGACATGTACATTGTCTCATGGTGGGGAAGTTCCAACAACGCCTCTCTTACCTGCGGACATTGAGAATTACCCTCCTCTCCTCTCTGCCCCACTCTCATAGACAATAACCACATCCACCAACGATAGCTTTGAACTGGACTTTGCTGCATTCATTCTGTCACCATCTCCATGTATCTGTTACTGCTGCACGGCTGCCATGATTGGTTAAATATCTATTACCCATTTATTTATGGAGATTCTGGGGTCTAAGCATTTTACCTCAAACTATACAGTATTGTTGAAGCTCTAAAACTTAGATTTTGATGCTCTCTGACTGACAATACATTGAATCTTGAATAGCATAGAATGGCAGCTCACACTAAAGGTGCAGAGATACATATAGTGTTCTACTTTTTGCTATATACATAATGTTGATAAATCGAAAAATGCAACAAACTGCCTCCAATCTGACCTGAATTACAAGCAGTCGATTCCCTATGGACCGCTGAAATCTCTGGGTAATACACTACACTTTTACACAAACTTGGAGCTGTAATTTGGCTCGGGAGGGGGGCAGAGATCAGAGATGTAGCCAGCGGCCGATGCAATGGGAAAACTTGTTATCGACAAGCCTCCGTGGCGCTGCTTAAAAACTTGTTATGATGATAGGGGCAGGAGTCATGCAGAGTGTTCTTAGATTACAATGCCGATAAAAAGCACATTGCTTTGGCACAGGATGCATTCAAGGACAGATAAAAAATAGAATAAAAAGATAACTGACGAGCATTTACACTTATTTTTATTTATTATTATTATGTTCAAGATAGAGATTTTATACTTGTTATTGATGCTAGAGATTTTGTTTTATTTTAATTAGTATAGCTATTGTTCACTTATCTTGTGCCGTGTGCTCCTCCTTCCCACTGTTCTATAACGTTTGATGCAACACTGAAATTTCCCCACTGTGGGACGAATAAAGCATCTCTTATCTCTTAAAATATTTGCTTCTCCAGTCAAAATTTACTTGAAAAAAGTTAATACAATGTTGGTTCTGCAAGAGTGTTTCATGCATGATTGAGTTTTCTACATAGTCTGTTTAATTTTAAACTAAAAAACCAAAGGTTGCTTGATTAAACAGATTATATTATTCTGGACTAAATCAGGTCCCAATGAACACCACATGCACATCCGCAGATGTTTCTACAGTAGAAATGATTTGCACCACAACTTTGATCTGACATCTGGACCCATCAGGACCCAGCGCTGATGCAGATGTCACAGCTTTCTCTAGCACAAGAACGAAGGGACACGGCATTGGAGACACTGGTTATGAGTGACGCCTCTGTATATTAACGTTTTTGAAGAGGAATAGCCCCTTAAGATGAATCTTCTAGTTTCTGAGGGGTTCCTGTCGGCCCTTCTGCGTGGAGAACTGTTCCCCCGCTTCAGTCAAAGTACACTCACAACAGATACGCCGCTAAAATGTAAAAAAATCCTGGACACTCAGAAAGCGCTGGCGGGAAACATCTAAAGTACAAAAGAAATTCTAGTAAAAATAAAAGATTTACTGTAAAAACTTGAATGTATATAAACGCTTGAAATAAGTAGTCATTATCTTTTCTCGCAAAATGTTGACAGTTTATATAAATTCAGAAAAAAAAAATCCTTTGTTTGAGGAAAGAAATTGCAGTCTTTCCAATTAGTTAATTGCCACCAGGATAATTGTTGATTTAAATTTTTGATTTGACAGCAGCTCTAGTAAAAATCTCTTAAAAGCCGTTCCTGTTTGGAAAACCATGTTGTTAAAAACCATAACACGACATTGTGACATCCTTCATTGTGAAACAGAAAAGGTAATTGCAAAGACACTACGACAAATACGCCATTCTCACATCTACGCCTTTTTCTGTTTTGTCAAAATCTATAATTAGTTGGTGACAGGAGCCTTCACGTCCCTGGGGCCTTCATTAGACGCAGGATTTGTAAACACGGCACAAACGCGTCAAGAGGAGCAGCTGCGGTTTCATTATAATCTACAGTAGCATTCAGCCTGACAAAATCATCGCAAATATAACAACCATTCTGTTCCATCTGAATACAAAAGAAGTTAGTGAGCCCTTCCAGACAGACCTCATGTTACCCCCGTGTTACAATTATTTACTTTAATGTGACTTAATAAGCACGACAGAGCAAAAGATGTGGACCAATGAGCAGGGTGTAAACTTGGAGTGTGCTAAGACATCAATATAGTCATATATCAAAATATTGTCTCACGGTCAATTATCATTAAGATAAGTCCAAGTATAAATAAGTTAATTGACACCTGCAAGTCCCCCCGGCGGGTCCTATTGAAATCAATGGGAGTCAAAACATTTGGTGTGCGCTACCACGTTATTATTTTTTTTTAAAGCCGATTCCCACATTGTGACTTTAGGTGTTTTTCCATTCTTCCCTTCACCCAAGAGGAGGAGGAGGCAACATCTTCACCATCTGTAAAACTACTCACCACCAACTCTGTAGTCCAATAAGAGTTGAGTAGACTAATATTCAGAATATTCTAATTATCATAAAGTTCAATATATGGCTAGCACACGGCCCCTTACCGTTGGTCACAGTGGTCCCGGCTCGAGCCTCCTGATTGGCTCTGGCGTCTCGTGCAATCTGAGCACGTGTGGCGGCAATGAGGCTGTCGTGGGCAAGCTCTTGAACGCGCAGGTACCAGGGTGCACCATCCACCCCGTAGTCCCCCGACAGAACCCCGTCTTCATCATCATCATCCGGGCCGTCTGCAAATATCAGGGACTCTGAGGAGGCTGGGGGCACAGAGACACAGTTCACACCTCCATCACACTGCAGCCTACGCGGATGGATAATTAGTATTTTCAAACTTATGTACACATAAGAATGCACAGAATACATAGTTGCTGGATTTAAATCAGACAAAGTTATTACTTTACTTTTGACTTAGTTTTTGGTTTTTTATAGTCGAATCAAAACATTTTGTAATATTCAGAAAATGGCAATGGTCAGAGAGCCCCCACAACCCCACACTCAGTCAGTAAAAGTAACGAGGTGTGAGCGTTTCTGATAAATAATATGACAATAAGCAGTTATAAGTGACATTTATAATTTGAGCCACACAACACCAGAACAGACTGTGAAGCAGATGTAGGAGTTCCCTGGGACATGATTAAATATTTGTATTGTTTGACAGCACTAATAGATACACTGTATATCCATTATAGGTATTGGCCCTGACAGACCTTTAGCAAGGTTGAGCAGGACGTAGGAGCTGGTGTCAGGCTGCAGCTCATGGAGGACGGGTAGAGGACCGGGTGAGGAGTGGGCAGGGACCAGGGGACTGTCCTCAGAGACCGCCCTAAACTCAGACAGAGAGGGAGAGCTGCCCGGCTCATGGCTTAGACCTGCATCTGGAACAAAGACATCAAACACGCAGTTGGGAAGAGTGTCAATGAAAACATCACCAAACCAAATATATTTTTGTTTTAAAGATGAAATATGATGCATTACTATTACAGTGAGCAGTGCTGAGACAATCCATTCCACCTTACATGTATGGTAAATGAGAATGCTGATCAGAAAACAGAATGACTACAATAAAAGACCATCCTAACATATTCCGTTTTGTGTTTTTGGGGGGCCTCAGAAAACTTGTCAGTATCTGGTAAAACCACAATTATCCTCATCCATTGCATTACACTATTTGGAGTTTCTCTTGTTGCTGATTGCGGCCTGTGGAATGTTGGTCCTTTACTCTTCAATGCGACCAGTTTGACACCCCCGCTTTATAGTGACGGACAAAAAAAAAAGAGAATTTTGCATATGCGTCCTATAAAGTGTAACTAAAAGGGTCACTTGTTTCACTGCGGACAGTTTGAAGTGATGGAAGTCCTTGTCAGCACTGGACCAAGTCAAACTTAATGGTCCTCTCGGCGCTGAAGGCTTACGCAATTCATTTAAGGGGATGCATGAAGAGTCTGCTCCTCCAGGGGACAGCTATCTAATGGAACAAGGGGATTATCCGGACCACCAATATTGTACACAAACAGGGATACTTTTTGTATGCAGACTCAGCGTTTTAAACTTCAATGCAACTTCATAACTGCTCGTCAAATTCAACAGTCCAGTGGCTCTTCTACATTCTGTACTGCACTTTAGGTTCTATAAAGTTAGAAAAGCCAAGAGAAAATGTATGTGTCTGTAAGAATCTGGTTATCTTTTGTAACAACTAGGCACGTCTCAATAACACATCTACACATGATATATTTCTGCAAAGCTGTTAATAATTAACGATAACATTGAAACATCCTTTTGCCACTGGTAATATAGCAGGATACACAATTTTTATATTGTCTTTAATATTGATAAACAAAGAGTTATGACTTATGACTAATTAGTAGCAAAAAGAGGCAATATTTATCAAATAGACTTAAAGCGCTTTGGGTGAGCATGGTCTGTTATATGCGCTGTATAAATTAACATTACATTACTTACTTAATAGTTATTAATGTTGCCAGATAACACAGAAAATGGCAAAAATCTCTACTTTTACACAGAACACTTACAGACACTAAATGAACACAAAATATATTGTTCCATTCACTGAATAATGTTAATTGTGGATATTGTGTTCCACAGTCATAAACACTCGTTCACCCTGAACTATTGTACAAGATTTTGTGATGGGGAAACTGGAAGAAACCTATGCAGACATGGGAAGAACATGCAAATTCCCCACAGAAAGGCCACTTCCGGCGGAGAATCAGGGACCAGGGTTTGATGGCGCTAACGGGAAGGCCCCACAAAGACGCTGCAAATAAATCAACTGTACAAATAGATTCAAATTCAAAGATGATGATAATAAAAACTTGAACCTGACCAGAGACCCGCAGAGGGCTGCACAGGGAGCTGACAGCAGGGGGCAGCAGAGGGACACAGGATTTGGCTTTGGCCTCTTCCAAACCCTGCACCAGTGGGATGGACGCGCTCTGCACAAACTGCACCAGCAGCTGAGGACAAAACAACATGTGTGTCAGGACTGACTGCTGTCCTGTGTAAGAAAAGGCTAACTGTTTCTGATGGTATTTAGGTAACAACAGAGCTCTTTCTTACATTGTTTTAATCTAGATAGTAAGACTATTTCTGTTCAGAAAAATCTAATGTATTATTTATGAAATAAAATTCTCTGTACCCGAGCTTTAATGCTTAGCTTAGCAGAACATTACATGAATTTACATTACATGTATTTATGCAGTAGTAGTTTTGTAGTAGTAGTATTGTCCATGTAAGGAAATTGATTTATTTTGCACAAAGACATAATAAATAAGATATCACAAACATTGTAAAAGAAAGGGAACACATAACACAGTAGTTTAATGTGTTAATAATGCTGTTACTGAACTCATTTTAGCATTTAACGTAAACCTTGGTTTGATAAAGTGTGAGCAACTCTGTTCCATACACTGTAAAAAGCAATAAGAAAAAGCAGAGATTAAGTAGCTCATATTATTATTCTAAATACTGTCTCTTTGGAGGGGATCGTATTAATACAAGCTTTTTACTTAATTCATTTTCAAACCAAATCAATGGATATTTAGAACAGGGAAATAAGTGAGATTGGGAGTTAACGATGCCATCCATCCATCCATTTTCAACCACCATTTTTGGGCTGGGGAGGTGGCAATCAGAGCCCAACTCACTGATTCTGCTGCAGGTGGTGAGTCCACAGGAGAATGGCTGCTCTGTTCTGAGCAGTCTTGATCTTATAGCGGGGGTATCAGGTAAAGTGGGGTTAAGTGTCTTGCCCAAAAACAAAATGACAGACATCAGTGGGAGTAGTGGGAGAAGGTAGAGAAGGTCTTGTGGGGGGATCAAACCCACAACCTTCAGGCTCAAAGGCCAATGCTGCTGTCGCATCAATGTCATAGTTAACTATGAACTGGGACAGCACATAACAATTGATAAAGGATTATCTTATGTGTCGGCAAACCTCTTCATCATAAATGTGCGGGAATTACAGTAAATAAATGTGTACATTTCATCCACTTTCCTAGAAAATGTATATCTTGGTCAATGGATAAACAGCTACATAGAAAAAGTAAGGAGAGTTGCAAGCACTTTTCCTTTTTGATGTTGTAGTAATCCCCCCAAGCAGAAGGCTTGGGGATGTTGACCATCTTCATTGTGGGCCCTTTTTTAACTCCACATGAAAATGTTATTTGCATACATTTCTCTGATAGATTCCATAATGTGGATACATTTAGTCCAACGCCTATATAAACTGCACTAAGATTTAAGATTAAATCGTCAAAATGAACATCGACCTGGCCTAATAGATCTATTGAGTAACTTTGTTTTTCTCTGCTACTGCATATATAAAAAGCTGAAGTAATCCTATGTTTGCTTACAACCTTATTCTAATAGGGTATCAAATCGTGCAACTATAAAAATGTGGTCAAAACCAAAAAAAGTGAATCCGAAATGATTACCTCTGGTTTGGAGTCAAGCTCATCAGAAAGCATGGGTCTCTCTTTATGATCTGAAACAGAAAAAAATAAAATATGAAAAATAATGTTTTACAATTGTTTCCAAAAATTACTGCACAATTAAGTAATATTTGCACAGGACAGGCCAAAGCTTAGATTAAAGACTTAACGCGTGGGTTCAAAACACTAAATCCTTCCAATGTTGTGATCTGCTTTGTTGACAATATTTTAACAAAACTCATTATTTTTTTGGATAAGGTGTGAAACCAATACAGTTAAGGTACCCTACATGTAAATGGATTGATAATAGATAAAGCGATACCTGTCACCACGACAATGATTCAAGAGATAGCAGGTTCTTCATATGATGAGGCGTCAGTGCGGGTCATCTTTGTGCCATTACGCCTCTGTCGCCACAGAACAATGCATTGAAGTCCATTTGTATCCATATTACATCTTCAAAACTGTATTAAGCCCGTGTATTCATACATATTCCCCATAATAGTGCGTTAGCTTCCACGTTAGCCTTGTTGTTAGCATTAGCATGGTTAGCAACATATGTGAGCAGTCAAGAGATATGCAGCTCAACAAGAACATATATTTTAATTTGAAGCAACATAGTATCGGGATCGTTACCTTGTTGTCCCCGTAATATACTCTGTTATTTTACAGCACCGAATACGTGTAAAAACACACACACGGGCAGATACTGTTCATGTTGATACACTACGGGAACACGACGGGCCAAGTTTCTACCGCAGCGCGTTTGGTTCAAATTTTTGAAAGTCGGTTGGACAGCGCCCTCAAGTGGTCAGAAACAGTGTAGCATCAAGTACCAGGGATATCATGGATTTACTGTTTATTTGACTAATTTGCAAATAAAATTATTATTGTAGTTTTTATATTTACTCAACTTCGTGCTTCTGTTTCATTTGCTCAGGTAGTAATACAAGTATAAATACATGTATGTATTTGACTGAATCAAGGGAATGACTCAAATACTAAAGTACAATCTTTTGTAGGTATGTCAATAAGTAAACATCAAAAGGAATTTGTCATAATATAATAATGCAATATTTGAAAAATTTAACAATGTACACAGAATGACAATATGCAAAATGTTGTGTTGTGGATTCTGGATACTTGACCACTTGAAGTGACCTGGACTGATTCAAGAAAGTAAATGTGCGCGTATACTTGAGTGAGGGTAGTTTTCCTTTTCACTTTTCTGTCTGAAAAAGCTGATCTAAAAGATGTGACAGAGCCTAGATTAGACATTTCGGGAGATTGAAACAAACTTTGAGAGCGAGGAACTGGTTGGATGAATTGTAGTCCTACGGTTCCATTTTCTAGTTTGAAAGTTTGGTATTCTAGCTTTAGGCAAAGGTAAGGTTAGTGTTGTAATTCCATAGACTGTAAATAATTCACCGACTTTCAGAAGAGATTTACATGCAAATATCAAAACCCATGATTCACAAATGTTATATGTTCTTTTATTTGTACCATTATGAATGACTGCAAAATCTGTTCTTCATCAGGCATTTATCAAGAAAAAAAACAGTAAAACTTAAATACAGACAGACACAATTGTTTTCAGATAATGATTCATAACATGGTGTAAAGCAATGTAAAACCATTCACAATTTATATTTACAAGATTTGCCACACAAAAATTCCGCAAAGCACCCGCAAAAATTCAGTCTGTCCTTGTGACCCACAGTAGCTGCCTTTACAAATGGTTCTACAACAAAAGATGGACATAACAATAAGGCATCAATGCAATACGGCCCGGTCCAAAACAATTATAATTTCTATGCAATCAAAAAAAAGTAGATTATCATGAACAATTTTATTAAATGCATTTTATATTTTTCCTTGTATTCATTATTACAATGGATCATTAAAAAGCTGTTAATAATAAGCAGTGTATTTTAATTGTAAAAATAAGATAGAAAAAAACAATAAATAACAAAACACAAACAATTAGACGCAAACAAATTTAACTACGGTATTCAAGTTAATTTTAGCCAAATTTAAGATTGTGTAAGATTATGAATGGGTAGATCAATGCTCACACACTCCTTTTGAGATCTGCCCGGATCAGAGCTTTGTGATGGCCCCTCAGTTTTTTGGTTTCAACTGTATTTGTACAATGACACAACTTAACATATACAGAAGTTAAAAAAAAGACCATTTTGAGATCACATCGGTTTGAATATCAGACCGTTACCATTATATATCAAAATGGCCAATATATACCTACAACCTATACAACCTATAATGGCAAAAAATAACAGCTTGTCAATAGGTCACTGAGGATGTCCTAAAATAATTCCATTTGTGCTTAAGCTGCCGTTAGGAAGATAGGGTTTTACAATTCAAAACATTGATAAAATGAATGTTAAGACAAAGTAACATTTTTGAGGCACAGAACATTTTCAAATCGCAATTGGCCGTTTTACACATTCAGAATGATGCCTTGTTCACAAAGACATGTCTATAACATCAACGATATGCAACACGTCCACGTTCAACACAGTTTGTCTATCAGGCTTGTGGGCGGTAAACGCAAACAATAATCACTGCAGTTTTGGGAAATTGACACTTTCTTCCGTTTAATTGTTGTATTTTCTTGAATTTGTATTTGTATTACATACAAAATAAATAAATATCAAGGAATTTTGAAATGTATATTAAAGTGCTTATTTATGAGATTTTTGTTCCCGTTTCATTAGTTTTGAATTAACCTAGATTTTTAAATAGGGTAAAGTTGCTGCTACTTCAGCACATTCTAATACATTTTATTTCAAACAAATTACTTTCCGCTATGCTTGAGTCTTAAAATCATGTTTCACAGCAACATTTATGTTTTCCCAGAATCCCTCAGCAAAGTAAAAGCTGTGGGAAAGATTGCCCAGTCATATTAAAGTCTCAAATGAACACAGGCTATTGATAACTGATCATGACAAATGATTGTGTATATAGTTGGTGCTAATACAGTATTTTATTTTCTATTCTTTTGTTGTGCTGTCATTGGCACTTTGGACAAACAGTCTATGGGACAAACATATAATTACTTTCACAAACATAAACTAAGTGCTAAAATGTGCAATTTCAAGGAAACTGTTAAATTAACTATTGTTATGCATGATTTACTTTTTTACCTCTCCATTAACTCCTTGATGCTATTGGAAACCTCGGGAACAAAAGAAAATGGCTAAACTATGCATCTTTATTGGGAAAAGTGGGGAGGTTTTTGTATGATTTGGCAAATGGATAGATTAAATCCATGTAACTTCTTTCGAGCTTTCAGAGGACTATCAGAGGCTTGTCCTCAGCTCTGAGGTTTCCACTTGTAACCATGAAGTTGAAAACTATCAGTTATCTATAAATCTACACATTGGTGTAACATAGTTGTCCCGCTCACAGAACACTCGTGTTTTCCTCGTGGATCATGGAGGCGAGGCCATCTTTTGAGCATGTGCCAATGAGCACAGCCCATAGACTTGAATGGACCGCAGAGGCACAGTCTGATAAAACAACTTTGGTCAAAAATCCAACTAGCTTTCCATTTTAAGACTAGAAATATAACCCTTTGTTTAATTTAGAGCTGCCATTTTCTGGGTCAGTCACTGGCCCCAAAGTCAAAACTAGGCCACCACAGATCGCACCCTCCTCTGCATTATTGTCTGGGCGCTTGGTGGGGGATGGTTTGGTGTTTCAGTGCATGTTCATCTTGTCCCCCCCCACTAGGCCATTATCTTCGACCATTTCACGATCACCCCATAAATAGAAATATCCAGCAGTTCCACAAGTTCATTTCTGAATCTTTGAGATTTTGACTGTTTTTTATCAATCTAAAATATTTTTCCCTTTTCCCTCAATTCTCAGCATTTGACCATTGATTTTGGTTAGTAATTTTACCAGGTAAACTATTGTGTAAAATAGACGTTTGAAAATAGATTAGACCGTGCACAGCTTTGGTTCAGGTTTTTCCCAAAAATACAAAATTAAAACCATTTCAAAGCATTTACCGCCACTACAAATGTATTTTACATCCTCACAAGTTACTAGCATCCTAAATATTCACCGCGATGATCAGCGACATACAGACCAGAGAGCTCGGTTTTGATAATGCCCCACAACAACAACAAGCATGCTAATAGCTTACTTCCTTTTCCCCGGATAACGGATGGACGCTGTATTTAAGATGCCAACAGCACAAAGTAGTCTCAAGTTCAAGCTAAAAGGAGGCGCTTTTACAATACAGCCGAACCAAGGCAAGACAAGTTTTACATTATTACACCCAAAATAAACAGGTAGTGCCACATAAACCAGTTAAGCTGCTACTTTTTCAAACATAGTCCTTTTCATACCCTACAGGGTTGTTAACTGCGACATCACTTCTCATTTCCAGAATAAAAGCTGAGGAAGTGTGTTTTGACTTTGTGAAAACAAAAGCAGATGGTTAAAAACTGGGTTAAAAACGTGTGTTAGCCTGGACCCAGAAGTGCAGTGTTTCACGTCATTGAGTAAGTTTACAAAGCACAAGAATACTGAGCAAAAATTCCTTCCAAACAGCAGAAGGGGCTTTCAAACTATCTAGACTTTCAATTCAATACAATTTTACCCCATATCCAACACCCTTAATGCATTTAAATTACATTTATTGAAGAATCATTTTCCAAACTCTATATGCAATAAGCAAGAAAAGAAATAAAAAATGTTGATCTAACTAAATACAAAATCAACATTGTATCCAATTTATAAAAGTTGATATCCACCTAAAAATGTTCTGAGCACGTCCCTACTTTCAAAGGCTTCTTGCAACTTTAAATTATTATTTTGGAACTGCACAGAACTTAATAAAAATCCAACATCAATCCAATTCATCCGGTTTTCACGAGTGCTTTGTAAACATACTCATCACTTAACAGCCCCATTGGATTGGATTACAAACAGGTCTTAATCGGCTTTAACCTCTTTCCCCTCTTCCTCTTTCTCCTGCTCCTTTTCCTCTTCTCGGAGAGTGGCCTGCAGCTTGACGCAGATGCTGGTGTCCCCGCTCCGCAGCGCATGCAGGAACAGATCAGTGTGTTCTTTTAGCCGATGTATGTCCGTCTGCGTGCGCTTGTTCTGGCGTAAAAGCTCCTTGGTGCGCAGCGTGATGTCCAGCAAGCCCGACTGGCTCAGTATGTTGTATGTGTTGCAAAAACGCTTCCTTCTGACGTCGCTGTTGCCTTCGCCGTCAAGCTGCGAGGCCTGAGCGCTTTTGCTGTCGCTTAGCAGAGTCTGGAGTGAATGTTTTTTGGGGTTGAAGGCGAGAGATTGCGTCGCGGCGAGCTCCGAGGACTTGGCTAAGTGGTTTTGGTCGTCTTGCGAAAGTACGTTTTGGCTCAGTTTAAGAGAAGGAAGAAGTTGATTTGGGAGTTGTGGCAAAACGGCACTTTGAGTGAGTGGAAGATTCGATAGTGCATTTTGAACGCTGCTTGCGCTATTTCGATGTGGGTTTTCCGTGTTTTGGCAACTGCCGTTTGAAGTGGCGGAAGAAGCAGAGGATATAGACGAAACAGTCCCTCGGCCTGAGCTGCTGCTGCTGGTGGTGCTGGTGCTACTACTGCTGCTGCTGCTGCTGCTGCTGCTGCTGCTGCTACTGCTGCTGCTGCTGCTGCTGCTGCTGTCTCTGGGAGCAATTTTGGGGTACGATTTGAGGATTGGAAGGTACTTTTTGGAACGGCGATGTTTGCTGGACGTCTTGGGAGTAGATGAGGTTTTCTGGGATACGACTGGCTGTAGGAAGACCACTTGTGGCTGCTGGACCACTGGCTGAACCACATCCACCGCAGGACTGAACCTCCAGGGCTTCAGAGCTGGAGGAGGATCCGCGGGCTGGGAAACACAGAAACACAAAAAGTGAAGTTGCAAGCCTTTAACACTGGGACCAGTTTAGGATTACTCGTTTTCTTTCCTTTTGAGGGTGAAGTATCAGTGGCACCAATGGGTGGGGCTTGGGTGTTCTCCAGCTTCTGCTAAAGCACCCCCATAGCTCCCCGCTGATTGTGGTCTCTTTCTCATTGTCGGTTATGTTTTTTTTACATATACATATTCGAATGAAAACGGCTTCAAATTCTAGTTAATTAATCAAAGCATGGCTGGTTTGGTGAAATAATAAAACAATAAACCAGTATTTCACAGAGATCATATTAAGTAAATCATTTTAGCATCTATTCCAGTTCATGTGTAGCCCTCACGTTGAGCAGAAACAGCCCTGTACCTGTTTGAGAACCACGTTGTTCATGATGATCATGGGGGAGAGGCTGGGATAGGACCCTCCCAGGACAGTGAGCCGCGCGCTCGGCTTCGAAGAACGTGCCGGACCGGGCGAATCCTCCGAGTCTGTGGTGTTCAAGTGCTCAGAACTGGCATCTGTCAAAAGGAAAGAGGACAATGTTTTTGATCATTATCCAAGTTGCTTCCTAAAAGGCTCTACGTAAAACTTTTGAGAACTTGATACAAAACTCAAAAAACTGTAAATAGTGTTTTCTATGTGTTGAAATGGTGTGTCGACCCGGGACAACAGGAGGAAGTCTTATAGACCTCTATCTGCTTTTCATAAGACTGGAACTAAAAATAAAAGGGGTCAAAACATAATAACTTGTCGTATTAACATATTTTTACAAGGAAAACTTTAAAAGGCAAGAAGAGCGTGTGAAAAAGCCCAAATTCCAATGGTAAGAGCTTCACACACCCAAAAGCGGCTCCATGGCTTGTTACGCTGTCATTATGTAAAGAATTGTCCCTTGTGTGATTTGTGTGTTTTTACAACCTTCAGCTGACCCACATGTAATCAAAGGCCTAGAAAACAGTTTGGTTTTATTTCTGTATAAATTACTACACTGAACACACCTCTGCAAGAGTCTAGGGAAGAGGCGACCAAGGGTTTTTGGTCACAATTTTTCAGAGCTAGCAATTCAGATTTGATAATTGTCAGAAGCCAAGAGAAAACAAGGAACGAGGCTGAGCGAGGATATAAGGACCATATGCCAGATACCTCTTCTCATTAGAGAGGTGCATCTACATTCTCCAGAAAAATAACTAAGCAAAATTATTGTCCTAGATATACATTGCATATATTAAAGAAATTACAATAATCCATACTGTGCCATGTCCACTTCGGAAAAACACTTTAAATCAATGCTTGTAAGTGACCTATGTTGTTTTTCTTGCTTAAACTTTTCAAGAGAATATACTCGCTGATATGAACCAAAAAGAAAGTCTTATGTTAGTGTGATGAATTGTTTTATAGTGTAAATAGACAAGGGTTTTTTTTTTTTATAAAACATTTTTGATTATAACCACATTTTTGTGTGTCATATCGCCAAGACGGGGCCTTACACCATCACAAATGTTAGATAAGATTCGTGTTTCTTAGTAATGCGCCGTTAGTTGAAACGGCCCATTTACAGGAGCTTGCAAGAAAGTACTATAGTCAATATTTGTTTTGGCAGTACAGAAGCAAGAGGGATCAACCATACATAGTTCAGGGCATCCACAAATATTTATTTTCATATACGGAATTCTATTTTACAAGATTTCTGTAAAAAATTGAATTCTTTTGAAAATCTTATAGATAGCAGAGTCAAGTCCTTATGTCTACACACCTGTATATGCACCTTAATTATGTACATAAATAAATTAATAATAAATTAATAATTCCGGTTTAGAAGAAAGTCAAAGTCAACAATGAAAAGCTGCATCCAATACATGTTTTTGTTCATATCCTGGGACAAAATAGGGTTAGAGGACAAACATTTAATAAATAACTAATAAATTCATGCCTCAAACACTGCACCACGTTTCATCCAAATCAGAGACGGTAACTTTTTGGAAATTGGTCAATTTGATGTGGACAGATCCAATAGCATTTACCATCTACATCTCTCATCATCTACACAAGATGGCGGCGTGTTCTGTCGCAGCAGCCCTGACGAGCTCTCTCTAAATGTAATTTTTGTTGTTTTTGTGACAATGATAATAACGTATTTAATCTTGAATCTTATCAGGAGAATGTATATTTCACACTTCTGTCAGGACCCAATCAACACACATGTTTGAATATTGAAAAATCATAACTCTAACCGTCATCTGATTGTCTAATATACTGTAGCCAGGAAAAAACATAGCCAACACTGCAGAGACAATAATATGGCTTTAGTTTGTTTGGGGAAAAATAGAGGAGGTGGGAAGCTTAAGAGCAAGGGGGAAGTATGAGCTGATCGAGAGCGAGAAATTCAGGTTGAATGCATCTGGAATGTTTGGACCAGGACTGAACGGTAAACATTTTACATGGACAATATATGGATTCAAAGATAAAATAATTGCATTGAAACAAAATTATTTTCCATAAAACAAAAAATGAGTAAAAAGTCGGACTGAGAAACACCCACCTGAAAAGCCAGAGTCCCTCTCGACCTCCCCCTGAAACTTTCCCGTCTTCATGTTGCCAGGTCTGCTCGGTGCTTTCCTCTTTGTGCTCATCTTTGCTTCGTCTGAAATCACGCCGTTATTTGCTCCACAACCTGGCAACACACAAGACAACAATCAGTGCCCCATTCATGACATACCCTGACAGAATGTGGGATGTTTAATCGTCATTGGCAAACGAGATTTAAAAAAAGTATACGGTTTTATTGCCGTCTTTGGACTATTACAATTTCAAACCAGTTTTCACCAAAGTTAATGAAAAAACCTCAATATTCAAATTTCAAAAACATTTCTAACATCCATCCCAAACGATCGTAAGTATTCCATTTCCCTGAATATGCAGTCTTTTCCAGTCTTTGCCTTTCAGTTGTATACACTAGCGCCGCTCGACTGGTTTAAACTACAGACCCTCAGAGAACAGAGGCCAGAAAGAAATATTATCCTGATTCCTGACCTTAATTTCACGATTTTCAAAAAATATCAATTAATATGTATTCAGTTTATTGTCCAGCCATGGTTAACCCATTATCCTTTGGACCAATAACTCCTCTGGCCATGCGTTTTTTCGTTTTCTTTTTTTTTTTTTTTCAAAGTCATGTCAGTTTATGTGGTTCTAAGCTTCACTAACCCAAAGTTGCCATTAAGATCATCAACATATGTTCTGCAAAGAGACTACGACAATGATGGATGCATTGGGTAAATAATGTTATTGGCAAGGATGACACTGAATGAGTCACTCGCAAAGAAATGAATTTAATATTGTAAATTCTAAAGCAAACCACATAAGATAGTTGGTTCCTGTGATGCGTGGTTGCCAACAAAGGGTGTATTTATGTGTTTATATCTGTTTCATTATAATACATGGTTATAATGCAGCAAAACAACACAGCTCACAGTTCTTTTGTAGCTAACTGTTAAAAGCTGGGGTGCCAAACTTTTCAAAACAGTTTGATTCCTACATTAGTAGGAATCAAACTGTACACATGCCTTTATTGCATTGAAGTGAACAAGAGAGAACCACCCTCACTCGTTAAATTAAAAAGGCATGTTATCCAGGCAATAATAACGAAAACATTATTTATGAAAGTAAGGAACCCCAGTTTTAGAGTTACTGTGTGCCCACACACAGTAAGGAGGGCACATGACAACAGCTTGCTTCTGTATTGGTCTATACTTTGGCAAAAATGTAAGTGGCTCACTCCACACTATAATTAGAGATTGATTCTAATTATATACTCAACCAAATGGTTTTGAGTTTCCCATCTGAAATTATCTTATGTATATTTATAAACTACCTTACATTGGTATTAAAGAATTATGAGGTAATATATATTTATTTATTTTTTGCCTGAAGCTGCCAAAAGACTCAATAGTTCTTTGAGTTGTAAACGGGTTGCCATTGCCTGCAGGGCTTATAGTCATAATGTTGTAGACATGTTGTCATAGAAACATGTGTTACTACAATGAGCAGGAGCGTTGTTTGAAATCTGGAATCCTGCATAATGCCCCTTTAAAGCTGGGGGACCTAACTTTGAATAAGAACTATGTATTCTAAACTAGTTCCTCGCTTTCTCGTTTTCACATGCATGTATTGTCGTCACTTTTCAGAAAGAAAAGCGAAAGAGAGGTCCAATCTCCTAAACATATCCGCTCTCAGCAACAAGTGTGCAAAATATGTTTTCTCACAGGGCTAAGAGGTCTGATTTGTTCACGAAAGACTTTCTGATAAGTAAAACACATAGTATCATTAGTGCGATAAATAAGACAAGGGAGGTACCTCGGCGTGAAGAGATAAAACCATAATACCACAAGATAATGAACTCAACCACAATACAACTAACATATCAAATATCTTCTACACAATCCTATGCAAAAATAGCGTTTTAAACTGCACTAATGTACTTTTAAACTTGAAATGTTGAAACGCTTTGCTTTATATCAAATCCGCACGAACGCGTCTCAACTCTTTCACTGTAACATGTCAGCGCAGCACTAGTACTGTCTAAACCCATCCTGACCCATCCTCAGCACTTACTTGTCTCTTATTGAAAAAAGGTGACATCTGATTACGTTTGCGGGCTTGTAATTCTGCAGTTCCTCGTTTGTAGCTGAGGCGTGTCCGTATCCGCAGCCGACCTAAGTGCGCTGGTACTTGGTGTTCCACGGTACTTCACACGGGACATGGAGCTCCTCCCTCCGGCTGGTCACATGCGGACCACGGTGGCTGCTCGGTATGATATTTGTTCTGACAATTTTGGGGGAATGAGTCAATTTTCTCGCAGAAAGAGACAAGGTGGACGATGGAGTGTCGTCCACCCCCGCAAAGGTGTCTATATGAGTATTAAGATTGATAGGGCAGATAATTCAGGTTGTAATGGAGTGAGCTGATATTCTAGGCATTTGGATCAGGGAGGGGCTGGTCTGACCACGCTCTGACCCCACCAGATGCATACTTTACAATATATGATGACATCTATTTTTGTGTTTATTTTGATGTACCATTATGAGAAAGGGCACTCAAAAACGAAGTTTATAGACAAAGAATACTTCATTATAATTTCCTTTACAAAGAAATTAGGTAAATACAGACAGAATAATTAGCTGTTGAAGTAACTTTACTACAGGTAGATGAACGAGTCAGCATTGTTCATAGTTCGTTGTACAGTCTGAAGGAAAGGCCTGCGAAACCTCTCCATAACACAGTCTGCCACTGAAGCTGCTCTCCAGAGCAGACAGTTTGTCCAGGAGCCTCCTGTCCCCACCTGCTGCACTGTGTCCAGGGGACAGCCCATGATGACCTAACTTTTGTCTGACCGCTACCTCTTCAAGAAAAACCCCAGTGCGTTGTTCAGTTCATTCTTTTACTTTTTACAAAATCCATAAGTTTAATTTAATTGTATTGTTTGTATTCAGTTTAAGTGTGACCATCTGTATAGTTAGATCTATTTTTTTTTCCTAGTCTATTTTAATTAATGTAACAATATTCCACGGACCGTGCATCATGCCCCGTTACTTCTCGGTCCAAATGCCTAGGTTTATGCGTCACGTTCTGATCCCGCCCCTTGGAGCCACAGCTGTTCTGTGATTGGCTGAGGAAACCAGGCGCTTGGAAACGTGACTGGAGCTGAATGTGTGGCAGGTTGAGGACATCGTGTTCACGTCTCCGCACGTCCCACACGGTACTACTCTACAGAGCCACGCAGAGACCGGGGATCCACGCTGATCACACTATGTTCCGACGGATTATGTAATGCACGGGCGGTTTGTTGGCCCACGGATGTCTGAGTGACTTTGTTCCACAGTAAACATGACGCCTTCAGAACAAAGCCTCCTCACGTGCCCCAAACATGCAAGAAATGTACTGAGTCAGGGACTGGTCATTCAACTGGTGCAAGTGGAATAAGAAGGCTTTATGGAATATGAAAGCGTACTGTTCATTTTCATTATGTAGACAAGTGTCATCCACCTGTAGTGTTAACTAATGCAATATTGCATCACTGATTAACTCCCTTTTGGCACTTAATCTGGCCAGTATTGGAAGTATTTAAATACAAAAGTAAAATACAGTTTTATATGTATATATATATATATATATATATATATATATATAAATAATCAATATTGAAGCATTTACAGCAGATAGCTAAGAAACATAGCAGGTATTTATATTGTATATTTTGTGTGATCCCTGTGTGCTCTTACTACTGTCCTGTATGTGCGTTGCAACATTGAAATTTTCCCACTGTGGGACTAATAAAGGATCTTAATTGACAGGTGATGACTCCTAAATCCTAATAATAAATCAAGGTATCGTTCTCCACATTGCCAAGGACAATCTCCATCTCGCATGTATATTCCTTGATTGAATTTGAAATTCATTCAATTATTTTATAAAACAATTTCAGGTGGTCAGTGTTTTTTTTTTCCTTTTAGAATTATAGTTTTAATTAACTTGGACCTCAGAACAGTTTTAATAGTGTTGGCATGTGTGATAAATTAAAGCCCTGCATCATAAAAAATATTTTGCAGACCTACTGTCATACGTTTTAACCTTGATAATGGTTTACTGTCAAAGGAATCCAACCTCATTTCATTCAAGACTGGTCTCCTGTGCTGCTGAGGCGGTAATGACAATGTTTGTAAAGAAGTGTCTATGTAATAAGCGGCTTATTTTCACTCTTGTCAACAAAGCATTTACTCCCTCAAAGAAAGCACAACATTATAGCGGGAGTTGAAATTCTAGAATATTTGTACTTTTAGACAGAGCAAGGAACATGTAGAATACATTTTTGGGGGGACAATCTGTCTTTTCAAACATGATAAACTGTAAAGGTGTAGCCTTTGCACTGAACCTTTTGCAGTCATTGATATCTGACATATTTTGTCACATGAATAATTGTTCCCAAAAGACAAGCTGTCCGTCCGTGATATTGTTTGGTGTGCCTTTGGAAATGACCCAATACTACCTAATTGGTCAAAATAAACTTTATTGTTGTCGTCTTTGTGCTTTATTGTTTGACTATTTAATACACTTTGATGAGAAAGACTTTGCATTTTTATTTTGTTTGTTTGGTTGGGGCAGAGTGTATTAATGAACAGCAGTGCACTAAATACACCTTCATTCTTCTGGAATAAAGGCGAGAGTTCAATTTGTTAAAGATAAGGGATATGCCACTAGGGATGCCTCTAACTACTATTTTAGTAACAACAAATATAATCTTTTTTTTTTTTATAGTCGACTAGTTAAGTACTTGATTTGACAAAAAATAAAAAAACAACTCTACTGGATGTACAATTTGTATGAGGATATTTAGACCTATTTTCCCTGGTCCCAGAGCAGAAAGCACATCCTCCCAGAATGAAGCTGCAGTTGTGAGGGTTTGACTGTGTCTTATGTCTGTTTTGGACCGAGTGTGCGGTTTTTTTGTGCCACCGTTCAAAAAGACTGGGGAACAATCTATATATCAAATGATGTACAAACGACAAAGAAAAGTCCTTCATTCATTCAGATTTATTCCTACAAATAAAAATACAAATGTGGTGTTTACAGGCAAGACTTTAATAAAAGGCAGCTATTGGATTAAATGTTGTACTTGAATTGTTTTCGCCTAGTATTTGAAAACAATAAATAAATTAAACATATGTTAATCAGAGATGCATTGTGTGAATAAAAAACTGGAATGACTGGTTTTAAACAGGCTGTGGTTGTATGCTATTCTCATATGGGAGTTCAAGCAACAAAAGAGATCATTTCCAATTTCTCCCCAGAGAGCAGCCACATCTTTGTCAGTTCATACTAGAGTTTAGATTATAGGGCCTGAAACCCGACTGAGACTGCAGCCCTTTGAGTGTGGTTCTTTCTTTTTACACAAAACAAAGAGAGTGAAAGGACACGCATTGACATACTGTGTCCAACTTTCAAAATAATGGTTCTGCATCCAGAACTCCAGGGGATGACGTTATATTGGACTATGGCAAGGTTTCCTCCATCCACATGAAGGAAACTAAACATTTTTAAATATATTTCTTACAAGGAGAGATTACTTTATCAAAGTAAAGCATCACATGCAAAAGCCCAAACTTTGATGGTAAGAGCTTCATCGTGGGCAAAGGCCAGGCCGCAACCCCAGGTCGGGCGCCACGGTGGGGTACCGGCTGCACCTCCTGGGCGATGTCAGGTTATAGTCATTGTGCTATCCATGGTGGCTTAAAACTTACATCTCTCAGCTGGCCTGGGAATGCCTTGGGGTCCCCCCGGATGAGCTGGAGGTAGTGTGTGTAAACAGGGAAGTCTGGGCGTCTCTGCTTAGACTGCTGCTCCGCTACCCGGCAATGGATGAAGCGGAGGAATATGGATGGATATTGTACACACCTACTAAGTAGGGCTTCATTCGGGTTTGGGAAAAACATGCACAAGGAGGGCTGAATTTTTTTGACCCCCTTAACTCTAGTCTGTACCAAGGCAGCTGTGGCTATAAGCTAATATGTTTTTCCCCTGTTGAGCAATTGAACACCACTACAAATGGTGTAACTCTATACAGTGTCCTCAGCAGTCAACAGACAGACATAGCCTGTTAACAGCACAACTTATGAACTCTGCGATATATAGATATATAGATGACACATTACAACTGAGGGGTACAAAATCCATGTGTTTTACTGCTACTTTTCTGTGGAAAAAGCCCTCTTCATGAGCGGAGGAGGCGTCTTCCCGGCCTCGTACAGAGACTCGGGGGGAGGAGAGCTCAAGCTGCACCAGTCAGGGATGCGGCCTGTTTGGTTGTAATAATCCCGCGACACGGAGCGACTGCCCAGAATGTCCTGCAGGGCGCCGAATATGGCACCTGGAGCAGAAAAGAGATGTGAGCGCCCAAAGGATGGTGCAAAAGTGAGAATACGTGATGTATGAAAGCACATGCAACCTACATGTGAAAGCCAGATCTAAAGCTAACCAAGCTAAACCAGGTGCCACAGTGGGGCAGCTGCAGCTGTAAAGTGCAAACTATCTGTGTGTTCTTAGATAAAATCTTCACCCACATTGTCTGGAATGCGTCTGGTGTGTGTTGGTGGTGGTCAGAGGGGCCGATAGCACATACTGGTGGCCTCGCTTCTGTCAGTGTGGCCCATTGTAGCAAATGATTTTCCCAGAGGTCTTCCATCACAGTACTAACAATACTAACTAATTAACTAATAGTGTTATTAGTTATAATCTGACCTCCGAGCCAGGCAGTGCAGTTAGCTTTGGCCGGTGGAACATGGATACGGAAGCTCTTGCTGGCCAAAACCTCGCTGTACTTTGGTTTTTCCACCAGGAGGCGAATTTCTGCCAACAGTCTATGCAGAAAACCAGGTAGCAGCGCAGTACCCCCGATCACCACCAGGTTCTCAGACAGCACCTTCCGAGTGTCTATGGGGCACTGAGCAGAAGAAGGCAAAGAAATAGAAACATGAAAACATTCTCATCTTCACAGCTTTAGACTTTCTTACAGTGGTATTTCTGTGGCATTTACACACTCAACTATGTAACTCACTAAAGCAAGGTTAAAACCTGTGGAAAGTAGATTTTTCCCTCAATATGTCCAGAGAAATGACCGTTAACAGAGTACTAATCTTAGGTACTTCAAAGCACAGCATGTATTACACACAATAAGTCCTTAAAAAAAAAATCATAAAGACAAGCTACATTTCACCTAACCAACTAGCAACCCAAATGAGAGCCCCATTCTGCTCTCTGATTGGATATTCAGAACACATATATATCATTGACATGATGTTCATTATATTTGTCATTAAGAATAAGAGTAATGCACTTTAAACTGTTACAAGTACAAGATTCTCTCTTTGAAAAATGATGTAAAGTGTAAAGAGGAAAAAGTGGCTGAGTGGATAGCAATCTCGCCTCTCAGCAAGAAGGTCCTGGGTTCGAATCCCGGTTGGACCAGGGCCTTTCTGAGTGGAGTTTGCATGTTCTCCCCGTGCCAGCGTAGGTTTCCTCCGGGTGCTCCGGTTTCCCCTACCACTTAAAATATGCACAATAGGTCTGGCATGTGCCTCCTGTACTGGCGACCCCGCTCCCAAAAATAACAATTGTAAACCGCTTTGAGACTCCGATGTGCAGTGAAAAGGCGGTATATAAATAAAGATTACTTACTTACTTACACATATCTTGGTTTAACTCATTAACTGCCATTGACATATTTGTCTGAGACCTTCTTTTCGACTGGGAATTACAGGACAATATAAACAGCTAGAAACAAACTTATTTTTGCTGATGAAAGTAGACAATCCAGTCTTTCAGAATCTGGCTTCATATTTCACATAGTCTGAGGAAAAAATATTCTGTGGGTCTTGAGAATCAGTGAATTCATCAAAAACGGCTGGCAGTCAATGAGTTAAAAGCGGGGGGGGGGGGGGGGGGGGGGGGGGGGGAGCAATAAGTAGTAATGTGAAGTACTGATACCAGGAAAAATTACTATAAGTAAAGTACCTTTGAAATACAAACTTGAAACAAAACAAAATGAAACAAAATGAAAAGAAATGTGTAAACCTTGACAAGCGTGTCCAGTATTAATGTGGCTACGCTCTTCTCCTCATTGTCCTGTTCAAACAGAATCTCCATGAGGGAATCTCTGGGGAAAGAAAACCAGTTGAAAAATGAGAAAGAAGGAGAGGTGATGAGTGTAAAGGGTTAAAGAGACTAACCGAATGCATCCTTTGACCTGCAGGATCTTCTCTCCGTCCAGAGGAAAGGCCACGTCTGGAGGAGGAGCAGGGCGCTGCAAATATCAAGCATATCATGTGTGACCAGATGTGGAAAAAAACTAATTACAAATATATAGTAGCTCTTAATGTATACATTCTATTGTACATTAATATTTTTGTTTAAAAAGGTCCCATATTATGCTATTTTACTTTTCTTTGCTCTAAACATCATTAAAGTGCTCTTTGGCCTGCCGTACACATGGCCAAAGTAGTCTTTTCATTGATTCCCTCAAGCTTTAGTTAGAGAATGATTTATCCATTTCATATTGGAGAGGGAGCTGAACACCTCTGTTCAATTTGAACTCTCCCGAGTCCTGTGTCTACTACAGTCATGGATGTATTCGCTTCACATCAATCCCTGTTGTTTTTACTCCTCTTGAGCCAACTAAAAGTGTTAGCGTCAAGTCAACTTGGAGAAAATGTGTTTTTGGGTGTAGATGTGACAACACTATGGGCTACATCACTGCAAGGTGGGGGGAGGTGGGTGTCAGAGGAGCAGAGAGCCACTCGTTTAAATGGAGGTGATGTCACCTCTATGCAAGAATTGGCTATAGTTTCACTAGTTTTGAGTGTTAGATAGTGTATCACCCAAATTAGTATCACACATATCCTTAGGATGGACTGGACACATGAAGAAGCGCAACAGATGGAACCTTCAAAGAAGAAATTATGCAATATTTGTAGGCAATAAATATAAGACTACTATCTTAAAGATATATAGGAGGATTTTCTTCTTCCAGGTGGATCATCTAGAACATTTGGTCTTCCTAATTTTCAATAATTCTGGTGATATGTGACGTGCTCGACAAACAAGTGTGTGTGTTTTGGGACATTCCTTCTCCTCAGCAGAGTAGGCTTGCGTCACCCGGCACAAAGTTTCTACTCGACAGGTAAAGTTTGAGTAGAAGAGGAATCCAGTTCAAATCACTTCCAGTAAAAGTTATCTATGTCTTTATATTCTGACATTGTGGAAAAAGTTCAAATCTTCTTGGAAAGTGAGCTTGTGTGAGCAATGCCAAAAGTAACTTGTAAACTTGAAAATCCTCCTATATACCTTTAAGTAAATGCATGTATAAAAAAAACAACCACCAAAAAACAACTCTTTCCACTCCAGTTACTCTCAAGTAACAATAATGTAACATTTCACATTTCTATGAAACAGATCAGCAGCAAAAACAATATTTTCAAGACTGACCTCTGCTTCGGGATTAAACTTGGCGTCTTGAATCTTGAATCCTCTCTGCAGGTCACTGACAAAACATGTTCTAACTAATTTAGAACAATAGAAAAATAATTAACAACACATAGGTAAAAACAATATTCAACATGGATCCTCTTTGTTTTTACCTTTGATATCCTCAACAATATCCTCAGGAATGGTCCCTAAGGAGGAAATACAAATATGACTTTTAATCCTTGTATTTCCTTGCCATTTATACGCACAGTTGTTTTAGCATGATTCCTGTATGTTTACATCTCACCATTGAACCCTCCCTCGCTTTATACTTTATTCCCCAATTTCTGTTTCGGAAAATGTGATACGATTATTCACCAAAATTGTAATGGTTTCAAGGAAAAAAACATCAATCGATTGCTAATTTCATCTGTGGTGTGTGCGTGATAGAAGAAAACTGTTTTGAGAGTGAACTGTTGTGGTTTGAAATGTAGGTACCCCAGCTTTAAAGGGACCAAATGTATGCACTCTTAGCGGTCTAGAACCTTCCAGCCTATGACAAATGTAGCACATGATTACTGATGCAAACCACCTGCTGGAATCGAGATAGAAACGGTACAAACTCTGTATTGAATATGACTACTTATTTTTTTGCACTTGGTTTCATTCAAAAAAAATTAAGTTAGATTAAAGATTTAAAAAGTTAGGTTAAACAAATTGGCAACCCAAATGAGAGACTTATTCTGCTCTGATTGGATAATCTGCTTGAAATTTGTAAATACGAATGTTGTGGAGATCCTGTCCACTAAACTTGGACTAAGAACTCCACTTAGAAGAGTCAAATAGTATTTATATATGAGATCTGTTATCAGGGGACAGATATAAAATGCAGACGAATAATATATAATACTGAGATTTCAATTGTTTTTACTAATAATGAGATGCCATAGATGATCACTACGCAGCAGACGGAAGCATGTTTTGTGTAATCCCTGACCAATAGCTGCTGCGACGGTCTGCCCAGAGCTGGTGTCTGTGTCCACGGTGCACTGCTCCACGAGAAGGGCATCCAGCTCTCTGTAAAAATACATTCAAGCTTCAGACGCTGTGTACAAGATATAACACAATACTGTGAAGACAGACTGTGATTAAATATTAGAGTTAAGACTTATTAAGTTATTGGCCCGATGAGGAATAAAAACTAGGAAGCAACTGTGGCCAATGAGTTAGCAACATAACATTGTAGTTAATCTGACAAGTCTTGACTTTTTCAGAAATCAACCTCATTATTTGTGCATTTAAAACCAATTATAAGCGCTCGATTCGTTTACAAACTAAACTGCAGATTATTTATTTCTTGATTATTGTTGTCTACTACTGCTCCATATAATAATAATGATAATGATGCAGATTGGTTTTATATATCGCAACCAGTATGTGCCATCGGCCCCTCTGACCACCACCAACCATTCACACACACACCAGACTCATTCTAGGCAATGGGGGTAAAGTGTGTTCCCAGAGGTTAAGTGTCTTGCCAAGGACACAACGACAGCAGACAGTGGGAGTCGATGGTGAAAGTCGGGCTCGAACCCAACTCTTCCAACTGAGCTACTGTCGCATATATCTTAGCTAGTTATACCAAGAGGAAGAAGTGTGTATCATAGTCAAAATTAGGCATTGAATGAATTTAATAAAGGCATCACCTTTTGAGAGTTACCATTGTGAAAAGTATACTCGTTTTATACTGTATACAGATTATATCACTACTGCCATTACTAGAGTTAGTCAATTCTAAATTTTGCAGCAGTTTTTTTCCTCGACTATTCCATTATTGGCAGCAGAAATTTATTCTTTTACCTCATCAGGCCAATAATTTAAAAAGTTCTTGGCACAGTTCTTATGCCTAGCATACATCAGACTGGCAACTGATTATATCCGTCGCCTATGAGTTGCTGCCCCGCACACATCGACAATGTGGCGAAAACGGGCAACTCCTAGTAGCAGGCCAGTCTCTGGAATAACAGCGCGTACATCGACAGCAACTGGCCGTCAACTACAGTGTGTTTTCTGGCATAAACTGTAGAGGGCGCAATACACACATGTTGTTGGAGCGCGCACATCGGGTGATATCTCCGGATCTGAGTACAACTAGTTGCCGAAAAGTAGAACACGGGTAACTGACTGAATCCGGAGATTGACTGTTTATCTCCAGTTTTAAAAGGCGCTCCGAGTCTAAAATACGTTGTGACCAGTTCTTACTTGTGAATAGCTTTTCCTCCCAGTGGTAAGGCCTCCCACGCAGGAAGAATAGGAGTGCCCTCGTAAACCTGACACCACGGTTAGGGAAATAACAGTGGTATGAGCAAAAATCACAAGGGTGGGACCATAGACTTGCTCCAACTGGCTCTGGCTCCCATTGAGCTCAGCAACCATTGTGTCACTCACCATTTTGGCCTTACAAAATTCAGTGGTTTTGAATTCTCTGTGATCCTGGTGTTTACATTTTGATATCATCTTTGTAAATCCAGCCACATAAGCCAATACAATTCCTTCATTCACTGGGAAAACTCCAGCTTGACTTAGCAACTATCATAGCAACAAGTCTTCCCCAGTGCAATGCGAACGCCGTCAGAATAAATACCCAAATAAGGAAATTGGCTCCTGCTAGATTATGTGTGGGACACCACAGAACATCCTAGACCAAATGTTGCCATAATTTCAGACAGCGGACAAATACAATAACTATGGTCATTGAAATAACCATGGGGTTGGTAGTGTCTCCTTCATCCAACCCTTTTTCAAAAGAAGTAAGTACAGATATATTGTTATTACAATGCTTTGGGCATCTTCACAAAAGCATTACTTCTATAATCATACTTGCAGCCCTAACTTGACCTCACAAGTTATTCCAACAAGATAAATAGCATAAATATATTTGAATAGCAATTTTAATGGTCGCAATTATCAAAACGCAACTTATTTCAATTCAACTCTATTCTATTCTATTTTTTTTTTTGTATGTCTTCGGTGAAACAGGACAGTTTTGCATTTGTTCAATTGCTTAATCTAAAATTAAGATGGTAAAAACAATACCAAAAAAGGTAATAAGATGTATATTCAGTTAACCCACTCTTGTTGATTAAATAAACTATATAGTTTAGACTTTGAGAGATTGTCTTCAGGAAGGTTTTCATCATGAAGCCCAATCACTAGTTTTTGCACTTAAAATGTGCCTCCGCCTGTTGCCTTTTTTTTATCCAAGTGAAATGCAAATATAGCAAAGACATGTCATGGGTTATTGTTGGTTTCCTTGCTGTGGTCAGGGTAAGGATACGGGCAGCACCAGTGTCTCCGTGTGTCCACAGTCCATCACCAGAGCAGAGTTAATCCCCAGTGTCATCACAGCCATGAGGTGACTTGGCGCGAACAAAATAGAAGGAACCTGAGGAAAAGATGCAATTGTGTTGTCAACCGATGGCAACAATCATCATTCCAAGTACCTTCCACCCTAGCCTGGCCTTAGCCATCCGTACATTCCGGTCAATCATCATTTCCCTGCATGTAATATGTACTGTGGTGTGGTACGACCAGGCCACATCCACTCTGGTGTGTGGAGTATAATTCATTTTGTATTACCAAGTTCAGAATGTAAATATGTGGTTTGAAAAAGGACGTCAAAAGCGATCGCTCACCTTCAAAAGATAGAAGTAGTAAACACATTTGGAGAATTAGGGGGACAAACAGGCAAATAGGATTGGTTCATTTTATAGTGCTCTCTGTTATTTCTCTTTATAGGCTCCGAAAAAGACCACGCTCCTGTGCTCTTGGCCTATGGAAGGTCTTTAACAGTCACACAGCGCCCCTTTGTGGAGAGATGCTGGCTGTGCTCCACATAGAAAGATGCATGGTTGTTCTAACGTGCATATACTTTTACTTAAGTGCCTAAAATCTGTACTTCTTCCACAGCTCCTTGAAGTGAGTCAACTGTTTTTCATTATTCATATTGGGGCTGTCGTCTTATTGTTACTGTTGTATAAGTGTATTCTTTGTGTATTTCAAAATGTGTTGTGAAGTACTTTGTGACTCTTTGAAAAGTGCTGTATAAATAAATGTGACTTATTCAGCAATCTCAGATCCTTAGATTAGAAGTAGCTGTACAAAGGCATGTTTTGCATTTGGGGATGCTATACTGCCCTCTAGTGGAATCTCAAGTTCCTCTGGTGGTTGTTTGGAACAGTGATTTGTTAAATAGGTTTTATTGTCCATACAAATGAAACATGTTATTACATTGAATTAATAAACATTGGTATTCATTGTCTACATGTAATCTACAAGTATATGATGTGATAAGGCAGGACAAACATCGTGAGTGACATTCACTTTACAATACATAATCACACTAAGGTTAAATAGCTTTAAACATTCATTGATAGAATGTTGAGTTTATAGCACAATTCATACACAAGCCGATCCAAATACTTATTAGTGAAATAATTGTCAGTTCCATTCAGAGTGGTTACCTCAAACTGCTTGAAGAAGACTCTGGTGAGCGTCTCTCTGAAGTGTGAGGGGCAGAGGATGGACTCGATGATGACCACTCTTCTGTCGCGAGGATTCACCAGCAGATGTCTAATTCAAGACAAAGACTTAGTGAAAACATTACTTAAGGCGGCACGATTTTAAAGAAATGACCGGTTTGGTTTTTCAAGTTGTTTTTCAGGTTTTGGGTTGTTTGTTCTGGCAAAAAAAATCTGAATTTTTCCCCCAATATTGACCAATCTTGAATTCCTCATGACTTTTTTCATCAAGATAATCGCGATCTACAAAACAAGAGGATGCAATCTTTTGATTTTTGGCACAGCTCTAATTGTGACTACTGTTATGAAGCCAAGATAATGTTCAACGGGCATAAGGATTCAAATGTGATACATTTTGATATTTTCACTTGTCATAAATTCTGACTTAAAATCCCACTGTGGTTAAAATTAAGCTAGATAAGACTGGACGTGTCTTTTCTATTAGCAGACATCCTTGTATTTCTAAAACTGTCCTCTAAACACAGAGATTTGTATAATATGCAATATATTTGGATAGTGATTCACATGAACGGTTCACTAAGAGATGCACATACGTGTAGACTGTACCTGAAGTAAAGCATGTGGATGAACTCTTTGAGAATGACATAGAGCTCTTCTGTGTTGATGTTGTACTGGACCACTTTGACCGGCTGTTTAGGAAAAGAACGAAAGCTACGTCATGGAAACAGCCTGTTATATCTTATAGGAGCAGAGACACCAGCCTTGCTGGGACAAACCAGCTGGATTTCACTCAAGAAACACTAAGTGGCACTACGCTGCATTCGGATTAAATGGTCTGCTAGAGAACTAAAATATCAATGTAAAAAGTAACTAACTTTCTGTTTAACAACTAATACATTTTCTTATATCACAACATTTATCCATACATCCATTTTCATCCCATTTATCAATTTCTGGGTCGAGGGAGTGGCCATCAGAGCCACCCCCTGAGTTGCTTAGTCTCAACAGAAGTCTAAAAGTTAGATGATATGAACAAGTTAGACCACTTATACTATAAGTATATATTTTGCAGAAAGAACTTGGTGAGTGACTGACACTTTGGGTGAGAGCTGATTGGCTGAGTGAGGTTGGTCCTCTATTCACTAAAAACCAGAATTAAAAGTCGCAGAATTCCTTGATGAGCTGCTAAAACCAGGACACTTGTATACAGATAATTAGATGCAGCAAATACACAGCAGCGTGTTAGAAAAAAAAAAACACTTTACCTGCTGTCCTGGTTTCCGGATCTCGCTCGGAATTATGAACCTGGGCCCCGTTTCCCCTGCGAAGCCACATCTGTGGAGGGTGGAGGTCAGAGTAACATGATGAAGAATAAAGAGACCAGGGTATATCAAGTAGTCTGGTAGAGATTTCAATAACTCAAAAAACATTCTGTCGCTGGAATTGCACCCCATGTATTTCAAAACTAGAACCTGTGGCTACAATAACAATGGTTGTTGAAATAACTATGGGGTTGGTCTCCTCCTAAGTGTCTCCTTCATCTTTTATATTGTGTTGTTCATGAAATATCTTTATAGATCAATTGATACCAAAACTTCTAAACGTTGTGAAGAAACACTCAAAAAGTCAATAAAAAAGCATAGCATTTTACAGGAAAACTTAAAATTGTAGATCTGCATCCATAGACAAAGCACTATTCACCAAAGTACTTCATGTGATCTGCCTGAAGGTCCAGGAGTGGCTAATGGGTAATAGTACATATCTAGAGTTCCTGTAACCTTTTATAGTTTCTCTTTTGATTTTCATGATTAATGTAACAAATAATTACTGTAGTCATTATTACAACAAGAATTTTCTGATCCAGTATTCACTTTCATTCAGTGTTATTTAAAGGGATATAATACTTAGGAAACTCCAAGGATTATGAACACTGAACCTTTCACAAAATAAATCATATATTTTTTCCCAAATAAATATGTTTTTAAAAATGTTTTATCATATTTGTCTATTATATTTATATAACTCCCGTTGACTAACAATGGCAATACAAAATGTCATTCAGATTAAAGTTTAGCATTAGCATGATTGGGTAGGAGCTATATTACGCATCATTTTACCATTTTGCATTATTTCTTGAGATTCATGACAGCGATTTACATTACTACTATTCATAAAAAAATTAAAGCAGCATTTATGTAGAGAAATATAAAAATTCTCTCTGCAAGTTAGCAAAGGCATGTAGCATGTAGCTAACGTGAAGCTATTGTTGCTAACACTTACTTCGTATACGCCGCTCCCAGGTCTATGATGATGGCGGTCTTCTCTCCTCCGCTGACCAGTCCATCAAACAGGGGCATTTTCAACACACTACAACTGAGTGAAAAGACTAAACCACTCGGAACATGTACAGAATCCTCCGGACATTTGACGTTTGTTGTTGCTGTCAAAATCAGACTGGGCCCTGGCGATAGACGCGGTCCATACAAATGCCTGAGCAAAAATAAATAATTGAATCAACTAAAAAAAACATACGCTGAAAGAAACCTGATTTAAAACAAACCTTTAAACAACAACTAAAAACAAAAATAAAAATAAATAAAAAAATAGCTATGATTGTTGCCCGATATTAAAGGTCCAATATTTCGCTTTTTCAGACCATCCTAAGCACTTGTGTGATAACAATTTGGGTGATACACCTTACGACACTCAAAACTTGTGAAAGTATAGCCGTGTATTGATGAATGTGTGATAAATGTAGAGTTTCATCAACATTTTGAAGAGATTAATGTACGATTAATTGCGTTAACAATTACATTAATGCGATTATAAACACATATAGCTGACACTAAAAAAACAACAGCAACAAAAACATAATAAGCTGCGAGGTAATAAACACAAATGCATCAATGGAATCTGTACCTTGCAAGTAATGAACCTGAAATTACTAACAACTCCTATTACTATAGATATGAATTCAATATTTATTTCCCCGCGTCACTGAGGGTGCGCAGAGCGTGTTGTTGTGACGCACAATCGGCTTCGCATGTTCCTCGCTTCATCCGTGTATACTGTAGACTGAACCAGACCCGCCTGTTTGACTCAACATCTCCAAGAACTGCGAAAACCCTCTAGCATCCTCCTCAAAAGCCCGATCCGCCATGCAGTCTGCGAGGTACGTCTATTTTTAGCCTTTCCATCCCACATCAGCTAGATTTATTGTTTTTAATGCGCCCAGTTCTGAGGAAATTCAATCTGATCACAGCAAAAGTGAATCGTAATATTGATGCTTGCATAGACTGATCTTTTCCAAGCTTTATTATTTGTATTATTTAACTCGTATGCAATCTTATTTATTCGTTGCCAAAGCAACAGTAGTGGAAATAGGCGATTTGTTATGTTATACCACCCTTGTGTCGCGTGTTCTGCTGTTTGGAGTCATGCATTTGAGCATAGAGACCCAGAGAGATGGATGTGATGTTATTTTTAGTTGGAGTTTGTAGGGAGATGTGGAGGGCATGCGTAAAGACGCTTTCCCCGTTTTGCCCATGGATTTAGATGCATCATTATTAAGCATTAAGTATACTCTACTTGTTAAATGTTTCTATTCTCACCTAGGCCCACCATCAACATATAACACCAAGCAGCGACTCAAATAAGAACTGCATTTAGAATATAGATTCTGTAGATGTAAAATGTTGTATTTGTCATGTTTTTGAAGCGTTGAATAATACACAGCAAAAATACTTATGAAGGAAAGATTTGTTATTTGTTATTTTATTACTTTGGTTTGAATTAAGTAAGTAGTAAGTACATTTTATTCATAGAGCACCTTTCGCAGATAAAAATCACAAAGTGCTGTCCAAGGTAAAAGCAGATATGTATATACAATAGAAATAAGACAAATATAGAAAATAACATTAAAAACAAGAAATTAAGGGACTAACTTTTTGCACTGCAGATTTAAACATGCTGCCCTGAAAAGGCTCATGAACCACTCAAAATGATCCCGCGAACCACTTTGAGGTTCCAACCCACCAGTTGGGAACCACTGATTTAACACCTTGACAATGTGTGAAAATATGTCTTTTGCTATTTGCTTGTGTCTGTAATGTTGTTGAATTGAACGCTCCAGTTGGCGTTAAACTCACATTCATATCTGAGACTCCGCAATGTAGTTTGTTTGTACATTCAAAACTCTTGTAATTAGTTATTATTATCATGAAAATTAACTGAATAATTGAGGCAAAAAACATTTGTAAAATAGATTAGATTAGATTTACTTAGATCAAAATAATGTTAGAATGTGCAATCCTCCATCACTTCAGTCACGTTATACCTTGTGTTTTGTGCTCTTCATACTCTTCGGTAACTTCTGATGCAACGCTGAAATTTCCTTAGTATCGGTTAGGGTTATAAAGAATCTCTTAATCCTAATATTAATCTTAATATGAATAATTTTAGCCCTATAATTCCATGTGAAGCAACATTCTAAATATTCTAGACTTGTTTTAAAAGATAAACACAAAGGCTTTTGATTAGTCTGATTTAAAACAGACAATATTTAAATTCCTCCATGCAAAACCTTGTTGTTGTAGACCAAATCTTTCGTCCATCCACCTTAACTTTGTGTGTCTCCTCGCTACAGTGTGCAGTGAGATGGAGACAGCGTGGATCCTCCTCTTCAGCGTCCTCTGCCTGTGTGTGCGTGGTACTCCGCTCTCCAGCCTCAGCCCTCTGCAGGACAGTGATGTAGTGACTCCTGCTGCATCTTCTCTAAATATAGACATGGCCAGGACTGAAGCAGGTAAGTTATGAGCTTAGTGACTCGGGGCGCTATAAGAAACAGCCATTAATGCTAACCACTGTGCCTCTACAGCCTCCACTGCTCCACTATGGCACCTTTTATTCCCAGTGGTCTCCCAACACAGTTTGGCCTGTTTAACTTCTAAGATCTGATATAAAAACCTACACAGACACTGGGAGAACGTTCAGACTCCACACAAAAAGGCCTAGAGGTGGAATGGAACCCAGGACCTTCTTACTGTGATGCTCTTCAATAATTTACCTGTAAAGACCTGTTCCTTTATACATTTTTTTTATTTCCCTTCAAAGACAGATGGAAACTAGCATTTTTTACTACAATGAATATAGATATTACAGATGCTCATTAATGTCCCTATCAAATAAATTGTGATAAAAATATGTATGATCTTGGCCATCAGAAAGGACTTTGTAAGTAAGTAAGTAATCTTTATTTATATACCGCCTTTCACAGACCAGAGTCACAAAGCGGTTTACAATTGTTATTTTGGGCACTTGTCCTCTCACTCCACACAGAGATGGGAGCGGGGTCGCCAGTACAGGAGGCGCATGCCAGACCTATTGTGCATGTTTTTAGTGGTAGGGGAAACCGGAGTACCCGGAGGAAACCTACGCAGACACGGGGAGAACATGCAAACTCCACTCAGAAAGGCCCTTCAGAAAGATGTGAGAATAATATGGCGGGTTTGTGAATCTAATCACTATGACATTTTCTTTTTAATAATAATAATGCATCGGTTTTATATAGCGCTTTTCTGGACACTCAAAGACGCTTCACATGTGCCATTATTCATTCACTCCATACACGGTGGTGATAAACTACTACTGTAGCCACAGCTGCCCTGGGGCACACTGACAGAAGCGAGGCAACCAGTATGTGCCATCGGCCCCTCCGACCACCACCAACCATTCATACACACACCAGACTCATTCTAGGCAATGGGGGTGAAGTGTCTTGCCTAAGGACACAACGGCAGTTTGGCACTTTACAGCCGCAGCCGCCCCACTGTGGCTGGTGTTCCCAGAGGTTAAGTGTCTTGCCAAGGACACAACAACAGTAATCAGTGGGAGTCGATGGTGAAAGTCCTGAGCGGGGCTTGAACCCACGACCTTCTGGCTCAAAGGCCAACGCTCTACCAACTGAGCTACTGCCGCCCAAATTTTTTCATAAATTAGTAAGTAAGTAAGCGCTTTACAATTGTTGCAGGCATTTGTCTTCTCACTCCACACATGGGAGAGGGGTCGCAATACAGAAGGCACATTCCAGACCTATTTGTACATGTTTATAGTGGTCGGGGAAACCGGAGCACCCATCTGAAACTTGCATAGACACAGGGAGAACGTTCAGACTCCACACAGAAAGGCCTGGAGGTGGAATGAAACCCAGGACCTTCTTACTGTGAAGCACTAACCAGTCAAATGTCTCTTTCCCATAGAGGCAATTTACTTATCAACATTTGAATTTACAAGGATTGATTCAGTGAAAAAATAAATGAAAGTCAAGATAAATGCGGGTCATGTGGTCTGTCTGGCAGGGCACAGGGGACCAGATCTTGGGACGTCTGCTGGGCAATGGAGCAGTGCAAAAGCAGTGAAAAGAATCAGACAAACCCCAAACACAGACGCCACAACGGAGGAGGATGTTAGTGAAGGCCCCGCCACAGCCAACGACGATGAGAAGACCAGTGAGGAGGAGTCTCCGGAGACGTGGCTCTCAGCTCTGGGCCCTGACGATGTCCCAAAGCAAATGTCCACAATGACCAGTCTACAAGACAGCCTCATGTTACCGGCACTAGGACTGCTGCCAAGAGATGAGGGGTCAGAGAGCGTGTGGACAGAGGCGGCGAGAACCAGCGGAGGTGAGTTAAAATATGTGAGACAGTGTTTCAGCTGCCCCCTAAAGGCATGCAGGGGTATTACACCATACCCATCCATCCATCCATCCATTTTCTTCCGCTTAATCCGTTGCCGGGTCGCGGGGGCAGCTGTCTAAGCAGAGACGCCCAGACTTCCCTATCCACACACACCTCCTCCAGCTCGTCCGGGGGGACTCCAAGGCGTTCCCAGGCCAGCTGAGAGACATAGTCCCTCCAGCGTGTCCTGGGTCTTCCCCGGGGCCTCCTCCCGGTGGGACGTGCCCGGAACACCTCCCCAGGGAGGCGTCCAGGAGGCATCCGGAACAGATGCCCGAGCCACCTCAACTGGTTCCTCTCGACGTGGAGAAGCAGCGGCTCTACTCCGAGCTCCTCCCGTGTGACTGAGCTCCTCACCCTATCTCTAAGGGAGCGCCCAGCCACTCTGCGGAGGAAGCTCATTTCGACCGCTTGTATCCGCGATCTTGTTCTTTCGGTCATTACCCAAAGCTCATGACCATAGGTGAGGGAGGGAACGAAGATTGACCGGTAAATCGAGAGCTTTGCCTTTCGGCTCAGCTCCCTCTTCACCACAACGGTCCGATACAGCGACCGCATCACTGCGCACGCTGCACCGATCCGCCTGTCAATCTCACGCTCCATTCTTCCCTCACTCGTGAACAAGACCCCGAGATACTTGAACTCCTCCACTTGAGGAAGGGCCTCTCCACCCACCTGAAGAGGGCAGGGCACCTTTTTCCGGTCGAGCACCATGGCCTACACCATACCTGAAAATAGTATTAATATTAAAGAAGATATGTTACGCATTATTTTTGGCCATTACTTACATTAAGGTTATTTACTTTTTCATCACAAGTTGAAACAAGTATGAAGAGTTTGTGTAAGCCCTCAGTCGTACAGGGATTAGTCAAAGCAAAGGAAGGTTTCTCACCCATCATCTGTACTTCTTAGCAAGTTTTCCCGACGTTTCGTCCTCAACCTGGGGACTTCTTCAGGGAATGAGTATGAAGAGTAAACAATGCACCACACCTGTATCTCCCTTTGCTACCACTCGAAGGAGGAGTAGAATTTGAATTGTTTTGTTAATAATGTATGTGGCTGCAAACACATGGTTTAAGATAAGATGTGCTTTATTTATCTCACAGAGGAGAAATTTACATGTCACATTTGGCATGGATAGAGACACTCAGATTGTGCAAAAAGGAGGAAATGTGCAAACATGTTACATGCAGGATATATGTACAATAAAGTGACAATAATTATGTGCAACAAAAGTGACAAGTGTCAATTGGAAACAGTGTCAATAGTAGTGCAGGTTTTCACACAGTGATCATTTAAAGTGACTTATTGTACAGTCTGACAGCGGCTCAAAAAAAATACATTTTCATATTTTGTCTACTTTAAATGAAGGCTCAAAGTCCATACTTAATATAAAAATATAAATTGTGACCTTAAAATCCATGGTTATTCCCAACCTTTCTTATCTGTGTACCCCCTCCAGCATAGATAGGGGAGTAGTAATCTAAATTTCCAGTGTTTTTCTTTTTTTTTTCGCTTTTTTTTTTTTCATTTGTAAAGAACATAAATTATTGCAGACTGAACTATTTGCTTATTGCAACAAGAGGAATTGCAATTTCTATTGAACTGTGATGTGCTAGTCTAGTATCAGAGGTCTTTTTTGGGGTTTTGAAAACGTGTCGCTGCAGTCGTTTCCCATGCTCCACTTTGAAAACGGAGTGAACGGAGAGAGCACTAATTGCCTTCTATTTCTGAGGGCTGCCTGGGGAGAACTCAGCTCTGGAAAAAGCTGTAGGGAATAGAACTGACAAAGGACTCCCACTGCTACCGATAATGTAGCCATGTTTACTCAGTGACACAGTCATTTGGAAATCTCAGCGGGATTCTTATATTCTATAACAAAGTGAATTATGTTAGGAAGCAGGACTGGGGGATAATGACCTGACACCTTTCATTCCACATTTACATATTTAAATTTGATTTAATTTGTTCTCAACTTATTTTTTCATGGAATAGTAAGAAGGTTGAGGGTTCCATTCCCTTGCTGGCCCAGGACATTACTTGCCATACAAGTTTGACCTAAGTGGTACTAAAAATACATTAAAAATCACTTATCCATACCTTGAGCGTCAATGACTTTTAAAAGGTTAATTTTTTAAAAGACAAGGAGGGGAAGGTGTAACTAAGATCCTAAAAGCCAGTCTCAGCTCTTGTTGTTCCTCCAGCGTACAGCACCAGCCCGCAGGCCCAAGACGAGGCCACAGAGAGTACCATGTCTTTAGAGTCACAACCTCTGATCTTTGAGCCGCTTGAGGATGTCTCACCAGAGGAGGCGCTGTCTGACCACACCGTCACCGTGGAGACCGACAGTGAAGCCTCGCCTCCTCAGACGTCTACCACCGAGCTGCAAGGGCCAATCAGATCCTCTGATTCAGCTGGTGAGGAACACATTTTCTTTTGGCGTTGGGCTCAAAACATAATAGACTGTATGTCTGGACAATGCTAACCCGCTAGCTCTATGAAGCCTAATAGGGTTTTTCTCTTCCAGACTTTTTTCAAACTAATAGAAGCTTTCTAAATTAGTGTGTTACAGAAACTTGTAAATGGATATCTACTTACAGAAGTTCACTCTTTCTCTTTTCCAATGGTGTAAATATGTTGATACTCTGTGTTTATAAGCTTGGCAGGTTTGTTGGAAAGATCTTCTCTCATATAACAATGTATGTATACTTTTGGTCTGCAAGAAGGAATGGAAGTGCACCGCTTCTGATTGGATCTTTGGTTGCTAGACTGTTGCTAAACTCACCATTTAGCTCCAGATTCATGTCCATGGAGCCTGTTTAAGTCAGCTTCATACGGCCAACACCATGGGTAACGTCATGATTAATGATTAGGCACTCCGAGAGTTAAATTATGAAACGAGTAAATGATTCAAAACATCAAATATTTTCTCTACATGCAAACGTAGACCACTGTTTTTGTGAACAGGTGCATCAGACCTTCAGGGGAGTCCACAAAGCCAAACCACAGTGACCATGACCACGGTTGCCATGATCACGCAGCATCACACCAAATCCAGAGCCAGGTTCAACCAGATGGAGTCCGACGGTAGGGCCACCTGCCGTTATGAAAACACTCGGCCCTCTATGGTATTTTGATAGCATGTGGAGTCATTTCAGTGCAGATTTTGAGCTGTGTACTGATTTGGAGCAGGTGAAAAATGAGTGGAAAGGAATTAATAAACTATCAATTGGGTCGCATCCTGATTTAATCCGATGTGTTTTGATTGGAGAGTCACATAAGGCTTTTTCACATGTGACCAAAATTCCTGAGGTGCATGTTCCTTTCACACTGAGTGACTCTAGGTGGGCTGTCAAAAAAACTCAGTAATTGACTCTTTTTTGCCATGGCGTTTTCAGTGAGAACACTGCGACCAAATACAGAGGTACATTAAACAGCAACAAATGCAGACTGTTTTATAGGCTGTTTCTGACATGTGGGTCAGGCGAAGAAGGGGCGATATTTTGAATAATGAGGCCATAACAAGCTCTTTGAGGTTAGGGCTAGGGTTAGCTCTTACCATCAGAGTTTAGATCTTTGCATAATCCTCTCTTTCCTTTTTGAAGTTTTTCATGTAAAGATATGGTGGAAACATTGTGACAAAGCACAGGGAGTCATGGAAGATTGATTCAAGAGGCCGTAGTGCTTTGGTTGGGGCATGCTGATATGTAAGGCAAGGAAGGTATAGACTTAATTGACTCATTACAAAAACGTATACTCTGCATTTGACCCATCATTCAATGCCACAAGAGCATCCTGTCAGCGCCCAGGGAATTCCAGATGTTATTGCTCTTGGTCTGGACGAGAACTGGAGAACTTTGTCTACGGTGCGTGTTTTGGGTGGTGGAGAAACCGGAACGCCCGGAGTTAACCCACCCAGACACAGGGAGAACATAACTCCACAAATCAAACTCTACACAGAAAGGGCCGCGCTAATCCCGAATCAAACCCACCACCTTGCATGAGTTCTACCCCCATTCAGTCACCGGATAGGAGGAGCTTCATCCATGCGCTGTCATTATGTACAGTAAAGTCTGTGTTCAATGTTGAGACACACCAGGCCATGACACTCAGTGTGTAAGGAAGTGTGTATTTTTGCTCAGTGGAAATGAGGCTATTGAAAAAGAATGGCGCCAAAGACAGTAGGAACACTTCAAAATCAGACATACGCTTGTGGGTTTTCTCTTTTCATGCCTATATCCAGTAAAGCGCAATGTACTTTTTAAGAATTTGTGTACTTGATAAAACAGAGGACGCAGATGAGGATGAGGAGAACTCGGAGGAGTCGGTGGAGGACAGTGAGGAGGTCCAGACAGGAGCCCCAGGCGCCCCCACGCCTCCCCCATACAACATCATCCCTCCTCCCCCTGTGTGGGTCCAGCATAACCAGGGGCTAAGTAAGAGAGACACACACACACACGCGCACACACATTGTCAAATACACACATATACACAGGCAGGCATACACACACACTCAGGCAGGCACACACAAACGCACTCTCACACACACACAACCAGTGACGGAAGCTGATACTGTGCTTGTTTTCCAGTGCGGAGTTGGGTGGAGTTGATCAGAGAGAAGGTAAGATCGCCATCTGCAGTCCAGATGACAAACTCACAATAGTTTGACTCATGAAAAGTCAAATCCTTAGTCTTCTGTCTTGTAAATCCCCTATTTGTATATGGCCAGTTTCATTCTACCTTTTCTACTTTACTGAAATGAAATAAAAATAATTTTACTTTAGTTTGGCAAAGTTAAAAACACACACAGTGTCAATAGCAGATAAGAAAATATACAATTACGACAGACATTGGTCAAAAACAAACAACCATCACCGGAATTAAGTGGGTTACAGTGAAATAATTAACTAATATATACTTGAATTTTTTGATCGTTTTTTAAAACAAGATTTGACAATGGGACAAGCTGTTCAGTTCAGCAAAGGAAAAAAATATAAGACATTTTTTGTTTGTCTTCATGGAAAATTGATTCAAAATGCACTCAAATTAAGAAAATTGTTTAGTATTTCACGTCATTTTTCTGCTGTGCAACCATACATGTCAAGTTAACTCGAAAAATAAGGATTTTGTTTAAAAGTCCATTTTCTTCTGTAATCTGTGAAATGACAGACTCATCATTGAATTGCAGAAAGAAATGACCAATATTCAGATTTGATTCACCTGTGTTTCATAGAGAAATACAGTGTAAACGTGTGTGTGTTTCCAGGCGGGGTATGTTTCGGGAATGCTGGCCCCTGTGGGCATCGGAATCTCAGGCGCTCTGCTGCTCGTGGGCGCCCTCTACAGCATCAGGATCATCCACCGCAAGAGACGGGACAGCTTCAAGCACCAGCGCAGGAAGAGCCGGCAGCCAGAGGTCAGAGAGCATGTGCAGTCCTGTTTTTCCATACACTGGAAAAACATCGATCTTTGTTTGTACTTCTAATTTCTCTCTATGGTACAGTAATACAAGACTGCACCATGAAATATAAATATAGTACTTCTTAAATCTTAAAATGTTGAGCAATTTATTTATTCAATTGTTTTCTTTTTGAATTAAATAGAATTTCTCCTCTTCAAACACATTTTCCATCCAAAAGGAAAAACTGTGCGAGAAAAATTAAATGGTATTATATCTGTACCATAAAAAGGTCACTCTCACTATCTATATATATATATATATATATATATATATATATATATATATATATATATATATATATATATATATATATATATGTATGTATTTATTTAGGTAGTGCAACATATGAATATGAATCTCTAAAAGCCGTCCCTCTCAAAAGTACTAATACACATGTTTACAACAATAAACAAAGATTTTAATTGGATGTTTTTACTGATGGTTCACAAACAAGTGACAGACAACTGTAAAATGAAAGGAAAATATGATTTTGTTAATATGTATTAATAGAAAAGTGAAAAGTGGGGCGTGCACAAGTGATACAGAGTAGCATATTTCTGAGTACATTCCTAGTGATGTTGAATCTTCACCCAGTAGTTTTTTCCTATTCTAAAACAAGAAACACAAAAAAAAAAATCATAATCGTGATTTTCAAGGACGAATTGAACACAAACATATTGTGATTTCTGTGTCCTTGTGTGGGCAGCAGCCTCGAGAGCCCGGTGTGAGTGGTCAGGACCAGGCCATGTTGCTGGCGGACAGCTCTGAGGACGAGTTCTGAGAACCAGCTGCATTTTCAGGAGGAGAGGTGTTAAGCGGAGGTCCAGAGCCCCCGAAGAGAGTTGACTGTGGGGCTGACGAGGCCGGAGAGGGGCCTGGAGTTCCGAGCAGGACACTGGAGCTATGTTTACAGAGAATAAGGGAAAACTGGATCACTCTCTGAATCCACTTGTATCTGATTGGTTCATCTAAACCTGTGCACACTGATCAGGGTGTTAGAGTGAAACCAGTCCATTTATGCTAGAATGTAACCACTTTAACTGAATACTACTGAGACACGGCTAGCAGATGCATTTAGAAGCACAGGGATAATCTGTGCTTATACTAAAAATTGGCGACTCAATCACTGGAGCTGTGGAGTCCATTATTACCCCTAGATTTCCAGCCTGATTTGAAGGTTTCAGGGAGAGAGACTGGCAGTTCTTAAAGCTGCACTAACTGACTTTATTTTTGTATTTATTACGAAATGCTATCCATGTCCATGGAGTGCATTGGGATATACATCCTTTTGAAGAAAAAGTAGCGCGGGGTTGTGCTGGCGTTATATTTTAGATCGAGTTTTCATGAAACAAGGAAGACATGTGTTTTGGGTCGCAGATTGTGACCAATCACAGCGGATCACTAGCCCCCACTTTCGTGAAAAATCTACAGGTCCGTTAGCACAGACGGCTGAGTTAGCACAACAAGCCGAGGAGCTAACCTGAAGCTTGTGTCTTCGTCACCGGTTACTGCTTACACAGCGACAGCCATCAAAAGAAAGTCCCGTTCCTCCGCGCTTCCCGGTTCTATCGTTCTATGGTCACGCCATCCATGTGCAAATCCATGTCCATGTATTATCCATATCCATGTATTATCCATATTGGGAGACGCTAGCTCCGTCCCAACAGTGGGTGTGTGCGGGGAGGGGAGCAGAAAGAGAGAGGCCAGCGAGTCCGTGGCTTCAAAATCCCAAAGTCAGTTAGTGCAGCTTTAAGCAAAAATACAATGTACACAATTTCCATTTTATTTCCGTTCACAATTTCCAAGCAGATAATCCAATCAGAGAGCAGAATGAGCCTCAGCTTGCACAATCAAGAACTGCATATACTTTGCCCCACTGTATAAACCATAATTCACAAACAGAAAAATAGCACCACATTTGTTTAAATTAAAGCAGAGAGTCTGTAGCGTTTCTAGCTAAACCCTAGGATCATTGTGTCACAGCCAGAAAGATACTGACGAAAAAAATTGGATTGTGATTGTACTGACTTTATTAGAGGTCCCTTTAAGTCTAAAGCAAAGTGTATAAAAGTGTCTTTGATAAATGTTGAGCAGTGAAAGCATAAAAGTCAGAGCAGTGGTTCGGTCCTGGACATGACCTCTGTGTGAACACTCCTATGAAATATGAACTCTGTACAATACTGTTGTAAATACAGATGAATGTCTGGTCAACACAGGGTTTTGTTTGTCTCTAAAGAAAAGTGTTGTAATGTCTGTTATCACTGACCACAAGTGTAGACTTTCATTGTCTATCTGGCTTCAGTGTCAATGATTTGGAAAAGTGTCATTTTAAACAGAGCTGTGTGACCCACACTAAGTCACTTGTGTGATCGTTTCTGAAATGTTCCATACTCTGGCTTTAAACATCAACAAACAAAACCAATGCATTCATGAGCAAGAAACCCACCTGCTGTGGCCATAGCCCTCGTCTGGTGCTGAGTGGAGGAGTCCAGTCTCAGGTCTGATCAGAAGGATGGAGCGTGAGATTGACAGATGATTGACAGCGTGTGCAGTGATGAGGACGCTGTATCAGACTGTTGTGAAGAGAGAGCTGCATCTGATCATTCACATCGAGGGGCTCATGCATCTGTTTGGGATGACTCCTGGACCCATCCCTGGGGAGGTTTTCCAGGCATGTTCCACCAATAGAAGGGCTGAGAACAACCCAGGACACAGTAGACTGTCTCTCAGCCTGAGGACGCATGGGGATTCCCCTGGAGGAGCTGGAGGATGTGGAGAGGAAAGAGACTCTCCCTCTGCAAAATAGATGTTTTTAAATATGAAGTTTAATGCCATGTTTGTGAGACACTCAGAAAATCCATTTGAAAAGTTGCATTGTGCACCTTTAAACCCTGTTTATTTGTCTTTGTTGTATTCAAACAATCCTGGACAGAAATGTGTTGTCTCAGAAATTCTCAGTTTAAAAAAGAGAAAGGACAACATTAATTTTTTGTGCAATTTCTATAAGTTAACAAATATAAAGTCACACTGAGTCTTCACCATAAACTGTGTCCAAATGTTTACGTGTGACGTGAGGCCTACGCTGCTGTGGAAACACATTCCAGGCCTGAACCAGGCCTGAACCTGCTAAACTGCATCTAAATCAAGACTAAACCAGAACTAACCATGGACAGATCCAAACAAGAGCCACGCGGTGAACCTAAAGACCAGGACTGTGTGAAAGCCGGTAGAGCCAAAGCAGTTCTTAAATGAACTACATCAGGACCGTTTCTAACTCAGCACTGGAACATATTCAATGTTTTCCTCTGTACATACAAATCCACTTGCAATAAAACAGAAACACCGTTTATAGCAGTGGAATCAAATCATTATTTCTGTAGTATTATTACGTATTAAATAAAAGATATGGGACATTACGGAATCAGAATAAAAAAGTGGCATTGGTAAAAGTGTGGGGATTTCTTAGAGTAATAGATATGGTTCATGCAAAGAAAATCAAAAACTTCTCTCACTGTAAAAAAAGTAACATCCGACTATGTCAAAATTTGGTGCCAGATTATTCCGTTCTGGCATAAATGTTGAAATTTTACAAAACCTTATTTCTGACTGGATTTAATCATATTTTTCTTAATGAGTGGGACTTTCCTGAGCTTTACCATGGATCAAGTTATTGATCAGTCCATTTTATCCCCCTTTGAACCCACTAGCATGTTTTATGTGTTACACTGGCTGAATATAACAAACTTTCGCACATTTAGTCATGTCCACAACCACAAGCAAAGGAGATTTTTTTTAACACAGTAACTGTAAACTGTGAAGTGAAATCCAAATGATAAATTATTTCTTCTGATTTCAGCTGTTCTGTGAGGGCCTCAGAACTGTGAAGATAAAGAATGGATTGATCACTAAACAGCATCATGAAGTCCAAAGAGCACACCAGATATGTTGGGGATAAAGTTAAGGAGAAGTTTAAAGCAGAGTTAAAATTACACAAATACTTCCCGTGCTTTAAACACGGAGCACTGTCCAATCCATTAAATCCATTATTCTGAAAGTGTATTGCACCACTAAATATCCAACAAATCTAAGACTGAATCCAAAAGTGTTTTTCTGTTTTAAAATAACAAAATGTTGGGTTTTTTTTCATTTCCCTTCACACTTGTCTTAAAAAAAGTGACATGTGCACACTGTATGACCCCTTTACTCTACATTAAAACATCTTGTATGATTAAAAAAAATGAATCAATCTGTCCTGGTATGTCGTCTTTCACAATGGGCTCAAGTAGCACAGAATAATCTAGAAACCAATCAAAACAAGATCATAAAGAAACAACATGGAGTTTTATTGGGGAAGGTGGGTTTCCAAAAATGCACAAAACAGATTGAAAATAATTGGATTTTTGTAAACATCTTCTACAGCTCTCTGTCCACATGCATTGTCCAAAAACCTGATGACACAGGGCAGTTTGTAGTTTATTCTAATATTGTTGACATTTTTCCCAGAATTATTTAACTGTAGGAATTGTTTGGGGGTCAAAATGGGTTAAAAATTGTCAGAACAAACATTTTCAGAACATTGTGGAGAGCTAAACCTTCAACAGTTCAATTCTAATATTTCAGATCGTCAAAAGGTTTTGTAGAAATGAACATGACCTGTAATTACTAAGCCCTGTTCTCTTTCCCTACCTCCATGGTTCGTTCTCCATTGGGCCACAAGAGCTGCGCTAAAGCAGGACTAAAGCAGAGACTAAAGAAGGACTAAAGCAGAGACTAAAGCAGGACAAAAGCAGGACTAAAACAGAGACTAAAGCAGGACTAAATCAGAGACTAAAGCAGAGACTAAAGAAGGACTAAAGCAGAGACTAAAGCAGGACAAAAGCAGAGACTAAAGCAGGACTAAAGCAGAGACTAAAGCAGGACTAAAGCAGAGACTAAAGCAGGACTAAAGCAGAGACTAAAGCAGAGACTAAAGCAGGACTAAAGCAGAGACTAAAGCAGGACAAAAGCAGGACTAAAGCAGGACAAAAGCAGGACTAAAGCAGGACTAAAGCAGAGAATAAAGAAGGACTAAAGCAGCGACTAAAGCAGAGACTAAAGCAGAGACCAATAGAAGGATTAAAGCAGGGCTAAAGTCGGACTGAAGCAGAAACTAAAGCAGGGACTAATAAGGACTAAAGAAAGACCAAAGCAGGACCAAAGTAGAGACTAAAGCAGAGACTAAAGAAAGACTAAAGCAGGACTAAAGAAGGACCAAAGCAGAGACTAGAGAAGGACTAAAGAAGGACCAAAGCAAAGACTAAAGCAGGACTAAAGCAGAGACCAATAGAAGGATTAAAGAAGGACTAAAGTAGGTCTGAAGCAAAGACTAAAGCAGGACCAAAGTAGAGACTAAAGCAGAGACTAAAGAAGGACTAAAGCAGAGACTAAAGCAGGACTAAAGAAGGACTAAAGCAGAGACTAGAGAAGGACTAAAGAAGGACCAAAGCAAAGACTAAAGCAGGACTAAAGCTGAGACTAAAGCAGGACTAAAGAAAGACCAAAGCAGAGACTAAAGCAGGACTAAAGCTGAGACTAAAGCAGGACTAAAGCAGAGACTAAAGCAGGACAAAAGCAGAGACTAAAGCAGGACTAAAGCAGAGACAAAAGCAGAGACTAAAGCAGGACTAAAGCAGAGACTAAAGCAGAGACTAAAGCAGAGACTAGAGAAGGACTAAAGGACCAAAGCAAAGACTAAAGCAGGACCAAAGTAGAGACTAAAGCAGAGACTTAAGAAGGAATAAA